CCCTGATCGTTGGCAATGATCTCAACGCGTCCATTCTTGTAAACGCCAACGCTGCATAAGTGGAAAGGGAAAAGAGAAGACCATAAGTACCGATCGATTGGAATGGGAGTGGTTAAATAAAGAGAGGGGTTTGGCTTTTAAGATGAATAGGAATACCTACCAAGAGTATGTGGTTCCCAGATCAATTCCAATGACGGTGCCCAGTTCCTTGTCCTTCTCTTTCTTCTCCTCACCCAGCGAGAGGCCGACAAAGGCCACCACAGCCAGTAATATACATAACCTCATCTTGAAGATTCTTCAAAATAAACTGAAAGCAAGAGAGAGTGAAAATAATTTAAGATTAGTATTTATTTCGATAATTGCCTAAAGCTTGACTTTTGTACACGTCAACACACCGACTAGATGGCACACATACACACACACAAAAACACACACTAGGAACAGTGATAGAAGAGAGAGAGAACAAAATTGCTGACGTCGATGTCGATGATTTCAACAAGTTTCAACAGGTACCGTTAAGTGTCCTACTTAAGCACTGAGTGACGACCTCAGTGCCGGGCCTATAAGAATTTATGGTTCACTTCGAATATGGCACAATTGGCTTTTGTCTCTACCTGAAATGTTTCGAGCGATGGAAGTTCTTATTAACAAGACACACACGTCTACTTCAGATGCTAACTGGCCAACAACTGTAAACTGTAAAACGCTGCTCAAGACGTGTGTTGCCCCTCGCTGCTGCCGGCACTGACATTGACCGACGCCAACGTCAACGCAAGCAGCGCAGTAACATTGGGGGGCGAATTTTTTGTATACGTGTAACATTTTTCTGGTTCTTTCTGTTGCTTAATCTCCAAGCGAAGGCTGACAGAGAGAGAGAGAGAGAGAGAGAGAGAGATAGAGTGGGAGAGTAGTAGCCGGCTCTTAGTGTGTGGCGAAAGCAACAAAGAAAGCGTAAAACTGGTTTTTTTTGTATTCTTCTATAAACAGTATGCCATAAGAACTTTGTACAAAAGTATTTATGTATGTATGTATGTGCACTAACAAACACACTCGCACATTCTGATGGTGAAAGCTCTGTGGCGGCAGAGCCGGCAAGAGCCCCTAACAAAATGAATTTGCACAGCTGTTTAATTATTACTCTCACGCTCTCTCACACACTGCTTTATCTACACATTTTTGTGCTTCTATTTTTTCACTGACGTGTACTTTACCAAAGAGAGAGCCGGATCACAATGTGCGGAGGAAACTTTAAATCTGCTATAAATGACGTGTATAAAGCTGATTGAATGGCATACACACCCACACATGTGTACATGCATCGACGCACACAACTCAGCCAGACAGAAGAAGAAGGAGCGACAGATACAACGATAGTTAGCGCAAGCGCTCTAGTCCATTCAGATCAAATATTAATATTACAATTTATACTTATTTTTTGAAGGAAATTGATTGAGATTACAGTAGCCAGATCACAGGAGTTTGGGTAAAACAATTGAGGAGAAAATGGTACATAGGAACAGTTGGGGGCCGACCGTGACTGGTGAGCTCCCAGCCATGCCCAAGAGTGCACGGCACGAGTGAACAACGCAAAATGTGAATGAACTTTGCGGCATATTTGTTAATAACTAATGCTAATGAAATTTATTCGTCACCAACTGAAGACTAAGGCCGGCCTATTCGCGGCTTTGCGCATAAAATTGGTTAATTATGCACAGCACGGTCAGGAATGGAACACGTCATGGTGCCGGAGAAGAATGGAAAAAGATGTTGATGTTAATTGCATACGTTGCAATGAAACCAAAGACAAGCTTTGCCTTTTTCTTGGATATAATATTCGTGGGCACGTGTTGGCTTTCCTGTAGGCTGCTGTTGTGGCAATTTTTTTTAGGGGCCAGGGCCACCTTTTGCCAACATGGCGGCAGAATTGCAGTTGTCCGCCCTGCAACTGCAATAGCTCTTTTATTGTAAGCCCTGTTCCTATTGAACTTATCTAGTATTCGCACTGGGAAATGGCAATTTTAACACTTACATTTCAATGATTTTCGCTTAAAATTTGAACTGAACTCTATTTCTCGAAATATCTTGTATGAACAGTTTGACAGAGTAGTTATCGATATAATATACCGATACCGAGAATATAGCGAATACACCATATGATTAAAAAAAATACCGATGAATATCATATTTACCAATTTTGAAGTTCTGTTTCACATTGAACAGCACTGCACTTATGGTTTACCCTTCCATTTTCTACACGATTAGCTCTCTTTATTGTTTTGTTAATGATGTAAAAAAGAATTCACAAAAATATGTCCTTTTTTACATGGTAAATACACTGTAACTATCCATACCCTATTTATTATAAAATCGTTCAAAGTCAGTTTAACAGGCTGTTTCACAGACCATTAATGAAATTTGTTATTATTAGTTCTGTCTAAAATTTCCCAACTATACTTTTTAAACCAGTTTTAAAATGTCCGCGCTGGGAAATTTTGTGTGCCAAGTATGAGCCCAAAATACCTAGATATATACTGAGGTAAACATTGTTAGGTAAACCACGGAAAGTAATTATGTTTGTGAAATCTTATTCCTTTCTCTTTGCCAAAACAAAACAAACAAAATATTATTTGTTTGGTATTCCGATTTGTTTAAATTATGTTGTATCGAAAACTGAAGTATGCCATCGATAGTTCGCCATTACCGGCTAGGGATGATGAAATAGTATCGCTATACATATATTTACAATTTACTTTGAAATATTTGAACAATTTTACGGTGTGAAAGTCGCTAGTTGCTATAAATTTACGCTATTCAGTTCATTATTGAGTATTGAAACATACTTGATGCCTGACTACTGTGCCAACCTTCTACACCGGCACACACATGAACACACAACACACATAAAACTTTGGGCCACGTCAGTGCTTGTTATCGACGTAAATCAGTATTGGAGAACGGAATTGGAATTTGTACAAACTGATTTTCAAAATAATTATAATTTCACCGCCTTTACTTGTACTTACTTTTTCTAACTTAAACTTATTGCTGCACACAAAAAAAAATATTGTAAATAAATTTTCACTTTTTTGCGATCCCCTTGCAAGTGGAATATTCTTTGTTGTCTTTTTGGCTTGGTTGCGTATGATTAATGGAATTGTGTTTTGTTTGTAAATGGTATGATTTAGTCACAGTTTTCTTTTGTTTATTTGGAATTCTCTTGTATTTTGATAGCACTATTTATGTGATTCCAATGGATCGTTTATGTCGCGTCTTTTGTCTCTTGTGCTAAATCTTGTTTTCCGCTGACGTTTGTTTTGAAACTGATTCTCGCTCTCAGCGAGCGGGGCTATTTATGCGACGCCACAATGACGTGGTGCGACACGTCAGTGCATGCAGCAGCTGTGATTGGCGGCTACGGCGACGGCGACATCGTCTGCGCCCCACCCACTGGAAAGTTCGCCATTGAGCACAAATGTGAGAGAGCGATGTTTAGCCAAACATTTTCCGTTTCGAATAGTTCGAGAGGATTGGAGAGCGGTTGGATGGCTGGCTGTGATTTGGGTGGCAAATGGAGGTGAAACCGATGTTTGCCTGATGCAAATATCCGTTTACCGTTGGCAAGACTCTGACAGGCACTCGCCATTACTGACGTGTACATTGCCCAAATTTCATCCTACGATGATGTTTACCATTTAAATGGAATTGTTGTCAGGCACCGGCTAGACAACATACATATAGTATATGTGTATTTACCGGTACTTTGTGGGCAGCGTAATGCTATTTAGCGCTAACATACAAAATGGGACCTTTTGGGGAAATTTCAAAAATGTCTTGGAATAGAATAAGGGAAATATCCCAGGAATTGGGATGAACAATCAAGCAACTTCCATTCAATTCTGAAAATGTATAGTCCTTTTTCATTGAATTTTTACCTCTCAATATGCGCTAAATATTCAGAAATATCATGAGCAAAGGAAGTTCTTTCTGAAAAACCTAGAAACTTATTTTTCCATTAAACAAAATTTTAAAGTCTTTGAATTGATTTCGATATTTCCAGAAATTGTAAAGTTTTCAGGCTTTCCGTTTCATTTAAAGTGCAGAGCCTGCACATTCATTATCAGTGCAGAATAATTCGCATATGTTTTTGAAGCGATAAACGCTGCGGATGGCTAGCTTGTCTCTGGGAATGCTCTTGAACATTCACGAAAGTGCCAGAGCACCTGTGGAGTTTTCTGGAAATATGCCGTGCGCCCACAAATAAAACGCTGAGAATTTCTTTGGTTTTTCTCGACTTTTGTAATGACACTCAATCAATATCAATATATTTGTTCATAACAATACATAGATCATGTAATAATCATAGACCAATGACGAATCAGCATCCGTCTATCGCCCACCTCTTGGCCAGAAAAGTATCTGCTGTGAAGCTCTGCTCAGGGTTCCCCCAAAAACCCCAAAACCATTATCATTACCATTACCATTACTTTGTGTGTGTGTGTGTGAGGAGGGGGCGTATCATATCATTCAGTTTTCTTTGCTTTTCTTTTCTTATCGTTTTAGTCTCGGTTTTTTTTCCGTGGGGAGAGTGCAGGGACAAGCTATAGCTATGGCCGCAAGAAAACACATTCAATAATCTCTATTCGTTAATTTTGGTATCTAATCGTATAATGATAATATATTGTATATGAATTGTATGTTTTCTATGTTTGTATGTGTACAAAAAAAAAGAGTGTAACAAAATGTAATTTATCTATGGCAAATTGTTTGCTTGATTCGCGCGAGTCTCCTCTTTTTTTTCTTTTTGTTTTTTTTTGTACTGGACAAATATTATATGGGATAGTCAAAGTGGATGGGGGTGGAGGTGTAGGTGGGGGTGTCCACCAGCCAGCCACACATTATATGCATATATAGAAATAGTTCTTCTTTAAAGCTCAACGACAATATCTTCGTACATATAATTATTTTTCTTATTCTTTCTTCTTATTTTTTATGTTAAATTGTTTTTTCTTTTTGGTCAAAAAGGTTGTTGTTTTTTTTTGTTGTTTTGCTAATTGAAAATGAGTTATAGAAAAGGATTCTTGATGGTATACGCACACATGTACATATATATGTATATATATATATATATATAAAAGTTGGAGCACAAGGGAGGAGGTGCGGGCATGGGGGGGGGGGGGGGCGGAAAAAGCACATCGAAAAACGATCAGTAGTTAATACGTTATGTATATATATGTATATAAGAAGTACAGTTACAGTTACAGTTACAATTACAATTACAGTTCCTGGACTGGGCAATAAGAGTGCACAAAAAGTGTGTGGCGCTTTTTCCTTTCCTTTCTGTTGGTACATACAATAATTTTTGAATCCTTTGAATGTGTTTTTTTTTTTTTGTTTGCTAATTGCTGAAACTCTTGAGTTGCATAGATCCTTTATCCCAATTCAATTTCCAAGCATGTTTTGTGGCTTTCCTGTTTGGTCCGAAACAATTTTGGGTATATGTGAGTGTGTGTGTGTTGCAGATACATCATAGACAGCATGCGGTATGCGCCGTATAACCAAAAGAAGCAAGCGACACGGCAAGCTGCTTACACATGCGTATCCTTTATACATACATGCATGCACATATACATACATACATATACATCTATATTTTAGTCGTGTATATATATAATCTATATTTCTGTTTAGTGCGGTGGCAGCAAATTGTTTCCTTTACCCACTTTCATTCGATCTAATCCTACTACCACTCCTCCCCCTCGATTCCTATTCATGCCTGACACCGCATATGGACAGGAACGTACTGAAGTTGTGCAGACTGCACGCCGGCAGCACGGTATACACAATGGAGGCCATATCCTGGCACTTGAGCCGAAAATCATGCAGCGACTGCAGCAGCAGCTCCGTTGGTGGGGCTGCGTTCACCTGATAAAATAGTTTAAGGTGTATCGCTGGCTTCTGATGCTGTTGCTGCTGCTGCTGCGGCTGCGGCTGCTGCTGTTGCTGCTGTTGATGCTGTTGCTGCTGTTGCTGCTGCTGTTGCTGCTGATCCCCCCCACCGGACAGCGATGGCGTTAAGGGCGGTGTGCCACCAACTGACTCGCTGACAGCCGGCGCTGGTGCCTGCTTCAGCTTGGCAATGGGATAATCCTTGAGCAAACGATTCACAATGTACGTCAAAATCTCATCCATGTGCTCCGGACTGACGGACTGCGCCACGCGGCAATGGTTGCCCAATATATCGTCACTCAGCTGCGTTAGCTGCGTGGTGGAGGAGGCCAGGCCGGTGGACACATAGCAGACAATGGCCGCACAATTGTTCTCATAGTTCCAGCGGCGACGTATCGAGATGGTATAATCGCTAACCGAACAGCCAGTTTCCTCATCTAAATACAAAATTGCAGATATTAGGAGGAGAGGAAGGAGACAGCACAGAGACGCAAACACTCACAGTCAAACCGATCGTTGTGGGTATGTGCCCAGACCTGCCACTCGACGAGCGCCTCCCTCGGTAGGGCGGGCAGCACGATGTAGTCCATGATGGCATTTGTCGTACGCCGCTCCCACTGGCGTCGCGCCTCGCCAATGAAGGCGGGATGGGTAACAAAGCAAATGCCATGGACCACATCACGCAGCTGCCCATGGGCATTCATGGCCTTGGCAATGCGACTAATGTGCCGCAGCGTAAGCTTACATTGCGGTCGTATTCCGCCCTCAATGATTGTCATGCTGCCCGGCACCAGGGCGATCTGTCCCGAAATGTATGTGATTTCTCCAATCTGAAAGCGGATATCCCCGCTTCATTATTAATTGATCAAAGCGGGGACAGAACTGGACTGGACTCACCCTTGTGGACTGACTGTAAGGTCCGATATTGGCAGGCGCCCAGTGTGATATACCCTGAACATGCATCGTGCTTCGGCGTCCATTCAAAAGAGCAGCGGCCGTGTCCTCGCCCTCACGATCCCGCTCCTCGACGGTCATATGGGCCGTGTTGGACAGACCGATTGTCTGGCGATAGGCAATCGCCTCCATCACCACGTGACAGCCATCGGGAAGGGGACACTCGACACAGACGCGTGTCGGTGGGTTGTGAAAGTCAAAGGCCTTCAGGTAGACGCGATTCAATGCCGGATACTCGGCTATGGAGCGCACATAGAGCGTTATGTAGCATAGATCCTGCAGGTCGTATCCCTTGCTTGTGCACAGTGTCTGCAATATGTCGAGTGCCCTCTGCATGCCCTGCTCCATGCCCTCAGAGTCGCAGCCTGTGCCAGGGGAGACGGGGGAGAAGAAGCGGAAACAGATTAGCAATCACAAATGGTTCAGCCAGAAGAAGGATAAGGCGGAATGGCGGGACATGATATGGGGGGTGTGGGGCGCGGTGGGGTGGGGTGGATAGATAGGAAAGGAGATTGATATGATACCCTGTATGCCGGCCAGCCACATCCAGCCCTTGGCATTGATGGCCGCTCTGGCCTCGTTCGCTAATGGACGGAACTCTCTCTCGTATTTCATTGGACTCGGCGGCTGTGTCATGACAGCTCCTGTCCCAGTCCCTTGTCCTGGCCCTGGGCCAGCAGCTCCAGACGGATTGTGGCATGTGGTAGCGCTCAGCCCAAGCGAGGAGATGGCCAGCGACATCGAGCCGCATACGGCGGCCGTGCTGCTGCCGAGCGGATTGCCCTGGGTGCTGCTCGCGTAGCTGCCGCTCAAACCCAGGGCACTGGCCGATGTGGCCGATTGATTATTATTGGCCAACGATGCCGCCGCCGTCAGCAGCATAAGCGATGCAGTGGAGGCCGCTGCCGAATTGGCCGTCGGTATGGGCTCGTCGACGCTGGCGCTCTTCGTGACAATGGGTATGGGCGAGGAGGCGGACGTGGCCAGGTGGCGCCCGAACGAGTTGCTGCGCGATATCAGCTCGTTCTGGCTGAGCGATTCCCGCAGACGCGTCTCCTTCTCAATCAGCTCCAGTTCCGTTTCGCTGAAATCCGGATCACTCAGGTCGCTGTATGTCGACTCGTTGAGGTCGCTGATATAGTCGAGGGAGCGCTTCACAAAGACCACATCACTGCCGGTGCCGCTGCCACCACCGGAGCCGCCGCCGCCGCCGGACGAGCTGCCCGGCTCCTTTGGCTGTAGTGTAAGCTTCGTGAAATTGATGTAGCCCACCGGGCAGATGGGATCCGCACTGCTGATGATCGTCTGTATGTCCTCCACGGAGATGCGCTGCCGAAAGAGCGGACAGTCCAGCGTGAACGTCTCGTATTCACCGCCCTCGCCGCACACATTCAGACCGTACTTGTCCCGCATCTTGAGCAAATGCGGCTGCATCTCCCTCAGCGATTTCCCCAGATGACGGTCCGGCACCAGTCCCAGGGCAGCCACCTGTCGACCAAGCGGATGGTGGGTTCGGAATGGAGAAATAGGATCTGTGCCAGCGGCCACCATTCAATTCTTACCTTTATAATAATGGCATGCACCTGGCAGTCGATCATCTCCTGCAGCAGCTCAGTCTGGTCTCTCCGCCACAGGTAGGCCAGCGATATCAGACCAAGCCGGCTGCATACATTCTCCACGCGCACGCGCTGATAGTCCGACAGGATGGCTCCCACTGCCACGGCGTCCACCTGAAGTTCATGCTAAATGGGCGGAACAAAACAGAGAGAAACTTTTACTAGTTGCATCACAAAATGCCAAACAATTGTCTGCCCCACCAGCCCACTGCCACTATCTATAATACTATATTATAATTATTATTATTATTAGTATTATTTATATTTGTGTTTCTGTTCACGTGCACGACAACAGTTTGGCTACGTTTTGCGCGATAGTCCCGCGAATAGAGCGAGCGCGATAAGATTAGCCTCAAAAGCGACTTCCATTCCATCCAATTATTGCTATCTGTTGTTGCTATTGTTGTTGCAGTTGCAACAGTTACACCCTCGAATAATGTAGGGGAATAAACAATAAAGAGAGAGGAGACATTGGATATCCATGGGGTGCTAGCTACCCAATGGGTTGCCGCTGTTCGCAAAACTAAAGAAAATCAAATTACAAAACGAAATCAAAAGGTGCCATCCACCAGTTCGGAGTAATTGCTGATAAACAAACTAACAGAGTGGAATTTCAGATATACTTAAACAAACGTCAATTGCTTATCCCTCCGGTACATGCCCTGGACCTAGTCTATGCTCTTGGAGCCCGTGTACTGTCAATTAGCAACTGCAATCTGTGCACTCCCCCCACTCATTCTCATTGAATCCATCAATCAATAAGTCACCTTGCATGTCTCCAGCAGACTGTAGAGATCCTCCACCTCGTCATCGTCTGTGGGCACATACTGTTTGCCCGTCTGTGTGCTCTTGCCCTTGGTCTCGCGCCGATACAGGGGCAGTCCCATGGCATTGGCCAGTATCTCGATGCCCATGTGGCCCACTGTCTGGTACATAAAGCTGTCCAGCTCATCTGGGCATGAGGCAACAAGTAGATAGAGAGGAGGTAGTATCAGTGAATGAATAATCAGTTGTGGGGGCATGCATTGCTTGATAAAAGATTGCACAAATATAAATGTGGCATTGTGAACTCACCTCTGTCCTTTGGATGGAGATTGGCCAGGGCAACGATTTTATGGCCCTCAGCAACGCATTGCATCATGTTGTAGCAGCTATCCTTGCCACCACTGACCATGGCCACGACCCGCATCTTGATGGAATTTGTTCTCTTCCGTTCTGATCTTAAACTTAAAGAGAAGTTCCTTCTCTTACGCCTATTTCACTCTCTTGTTTTCTGCCTCGTGTACAGTGTGTGTGTGTGTGTGTGTGTGTGTGGGAGTCTCTCTCTCTCTCTGTCTTCCTTTATTTATGAGTGCAGATCTGTCTTTCTCCTTGCTCTGTCTATTGGTTACCCCTTCTAGCACACACTTTTTCTGTCTGTCTAGGGTCAGTCTGTCCTCCCTGTCCCACCCACTTCTATATTAGTAGACGTTTCCTCTATTCTCAATATATCTGTGCTATCTCTCTCTCTCTCTCTCTCTCTCTGTCTATGTGTATGTGAGGGTAGTAGGAGTGTGTCTGCGTTTATTCTCCTTTTATTTTTGGCTTAGTTTGTGCTGCTTGTTAGTCGCGAGGTGCGTGCTCATTTGGTCTAATTGTTGACTAGACTTATTGGCTAAAAGAGAACGAATTTGTTGTATCTTTATCTTTATCTTTATCTGTATCTGTGGCTGTAGTTTTCATTTGCGGTTGTGGTTGCTGCTGATGCTTCAGCTTCTGCGGGGTGTGCTGTTGTGTTGAGTTTGTGTGTGTGGTGTTTGTCGTGGCTAAAATATTATATTAACACAGATCGGCGGCTGTTCTGCCTCTGGGATTCCACTTTGTGGCGCTGGCGACTTTGCTCTTGTCAACTGAAAGAGAGAGAGAGGTAGCGAAAGATAGCGAAAAGAGTGAGCTGATGATCAGTCAAAGATGTACATTAATGTTCTATGGAAAAACTAGGCAGAAGTTTTATGGAAAAACTATAAGGATATCAACAAAATACATATACATAACAGCTAATTGCATACAGAAAGACGGTTATTGAAGAATATAGAAGAATTGTAAACACAGAGAGGAAAAGGACTTTTTTAACCGTAACTGCTATTGAAAGAGAAACAAATCGACAATTAAATATGGCTGTAACGGAAAGAGAGAGACAGAGAAGCGCTCATGGTAATCAAATCAGTGCATTCGCAACTGTAAAACGGATAAGAGAAAGCCTCTTTAGATTTGGCTAAAGAGAATGGATCAAATACCGCTCAAATATGATGATCAAAAAGAGTTCAAAAGAGATTGTGGAGAGAGAATCATCAGCTCATTATCAACTGTCAGCCAAAGTATATCTTTAACTGTTGGACATTTGTACATACATATGTATAATGGAAGAGGATGGCTAAAAGGGACTGCGTAAAAGCTTGTTGCTGCTGAAGAGGAAATTCCATTATGCGCAAAGTGCATCCCCATGCCACAAGAAAACAAACATATGTAAAAATGGACAGACACCTGGACACGCTTACAATTCAATTACAGTACCACCAATTGACATGGATTCCGTGCTGTTTCCTTATGCTCTCCAACCACTCCTTCTTATTCGCCGCACTTGCCTTTTCGTTCCACTTTCTTATTGTCACTTCCCGACACTTTCTGTCGGCCCTCGCTTTGCCACCTCGTTTCTGGTACGGGTTTCCTGCTCTTTTGGCGAGTCCTTTTTCAAGGGAGTGGATGCATTCAGCATGGAAGAGATTGCAAGAGATTGGATTCTAGTTGGAACACTCGACCAACCGAAATGATTGCACGAAGGTCACACACACACACAGCACTCGATGCACACACACACATGCTGACATCTATTTATTTATTTTGTTTGCATTTTTTTTATTTTGTTTAAAGACATATTGACGTTTGTTTGTTGTTTGGCTTTTTGCAGTAGTATAAATGAACATTTATAAATAAATTGAATTAGTTTCGCCGATGTGGGTGGGTAGGAGGAACACCAGTAGCAGCAGCAGCAGCAAAAGAGCACACACAAAAAAATTCAAAGAAGCGCGTGAGTTTTCAACAACACAACAAAAACAAAAGCAAATGGACACAGAATGAAAGTTTACAAAGAAAAGAAGGACCGCAAAATACGGACGATAGCACACATACACACACACACATGCAGTCATACAGCTATATTGTACATATGTATATACGCTTGCGAATTTATGGGTATAAATATATTTATTTGACCCAAATAAAACAAAATTCTTTTGCTATAATCTTGGACACTTTGGACACTTTTTTTGGCGACGGCTGAAAACACTCACTGGATACAAAACACATACCACACACGTTTTGGCACATCAATTCTTGACAACAACAACAACAAAAATGTGGATTTCGCATAGGATGCTGATGCTATTTTGCATCCGCTGGAATCCTTTGGGGAATTTAAAGCTTAAAACGTAGTTTGAAACTAACCCGTTGTTGGGGGGAAATGCTAAGCTGCGCTCCGTCTGCTGCTACGCAGCTGAATAGTTGTGCCACGAACTTTACGCGAAATTTAACGTGGGAAAAATATTATTTTGCCGCTAATGCAGCCAGCAGTGTGACCGCCGATATATCCATACAAAAAACCGCCTGACGCTCAGAAATTGTCGCTTTCAAAACATACCGTAAATATACCGAGGAAAGGTAAGCGCACTTAACCCTTGAGTTAACCAGCGTACAAAAATACTGTTTGTAAATGGACACCTCTACAAATATCTACCCTGCGACTAGACTGTTTTCAGAAGGAGTTTACCCACCGCGAATTGTACCTGCCTTAAGAACGATTAGTGAGTAATGTTAAAAGAAACCCATTTCAATGGAGATATGCATTTTTTTGTTTTCAAACAATATTATTTTCCGCGCTCCAACTACATTTGTTCACCTGTTTAAAACGAGTATGATGAAGTGGGTTAAGTTCATTCGCATATAGTGGTATTTTTCATACATTTTTTTGTATTTTACGGTATATTTCGGAGGGTATATTTTATCGATAGGTCCGCTGCCGTCCCACAGACGACGACGACAGCGACAGCGACAGAGCTGCAGACCAAACCAAAATAATAACATAAATTGTGTAAAGTGCAAAAGAGGTTACACAAAACTATAAGACGAGTATTCGTGGAAGAGCAGAAAGGCTGGCCAAATATATGTACATAATATATATTTTGCATAAGTAAAGGATAATTTTTTTTGTTTTTGTTTGGAGGATTTTTTATTGTGTTGTTGATGCAGCAGCAGCACAACGCAGAAGTGAAATCGATAAATAACGGCATAACGAACAACGTAAACAAGGCAAAGCAACAGAATAGCCCCGCAAAGAAAACGCAACAACCAAAAGTACAGATTTAATGTCGCAGTTAATTTGTGTGCTAGAAAGAAACAGCAATAGCAAAAGCCACAGAAGCAGAAACAACAACAGCAGCAGCAGCAGCTGAGGCAGCAACAACAAAAAATCATAAACGAAAAACGTACGACGCAACCGCTGCGTGTGTGTGTGTGTGTGTGCGAGTGTGCACGAGCAGGATAGCTAGAAAGCCATAGTGCGAGGCTACGCGTGTGTGCAAGCGAGCGAGCAATTGGGCTCTGCGTCGACGGCGGCAGTGGCAGCGACAGCGACGACAACAACGATTTTGACACAATTTAAAAAACTTCAAGCTCTTTGCAGTTGAAAGTTTGTTTCTAAGCTTGACTTCTGTCTGCGCTCAATAACAGAAGAAAGATCACATTTGTGTGTGTTTTCCTCCCACACACACACACACACACACCCATTTACACGAACTGAGCATTTTACGGTGGGCGTGTCGTTAGTGACGCAGGCACTCCCCACTCTGCAGCACCCAAAAAAAAAAATCTAAAGACGCAGTTTTGGATTTTTGTTGCCCCTGCCGCCTGCAATAACGGAAGATAACAAACACAACAAGACCAACAAAGAGCCACCATCGTCTCTTCTCTTTGCGCTATCAACGCACCCCCCAACGAACATCAACAAATAAGTAACAGATCAAGGGAAACAGCAGAGGAACGGGGCGTATAAGCAGCAACTGAAAACATATGATTTTTGTTTGTGTTGTTGTTTTTGCGCGCGCTCTGCTGTTGCTGTTGCGGGGAACAAGTGGAAAGGGAACGAGCGAATAGAGGGGAACAAGAGAGAACGGCCAAGTGCCTGGCTGCTGATTCAGACCAACGGAACACCAAAAGGCAAGAAGAGTGGGGTAAGTGTGCGCGCGTGTGTGTGTGTGCTCTTCCTTTTTTTTTTGTTGAGGCGCAAAAAGAATAATAAAAATAGAAGGAGAAGACTCAATATGCATTTTCGATTGAAAATCATACAACAATAATAAATAAAAGCAGAGAAAACAATTTTATGCAATTGTTTTAAAAATCATTTAACTACACATACAACAACTGTAAATTGTGCAAACAAAGAGAGAATAGTGATATAGAAAACAAGGCAGCGAGTTTTTGTGAAAGAGAGAACATGAGTTATTCGCGAAATATTTAAATGTCAAAAGCAGTGGAAACTTTGTTTGTCTTCAAACGAAAACAAAAACAAAAAATGGAAATATCAAAACACAAACAATATGGGAAAAAAATGATACTCCGTCTCTCTCGCTCGTTCTCTCTCTTTGTTTTTTTCTCGCATACATACATTCATACATACCTATAAGTGTTGGTCAGTTAGAGAAGAAGTGGGGAACATTGGTGCGCATTAGGCAAACAACAAGGCAGTGGGAAACGAACGGAAAATATATGAAACAGACTGATATTGAAACACATTTTGGCACTGTAGGTTTGATAAGTCAAGCCAAAGTGTAAAAACGTTCAGTTTTCGAAAATCTAGTTACTACTGGTTTTAGGGTACTAATTTTAAACAAACGCGAAGTTCCACAAACAATTCAAAATAAGTTTATGAACATGTTGCAGAACGAACTGATAGTGGAACACATGTTGGCGCACAGTGGGTTTTTGGGTATAATTCAGTTTTTGAATAAGTAGTTCGCGCTGGGTGTCTAGTTTATGCAGCTTTTGCCCAACAGTGCGACGCTGAGCTTTTGGCAGGGTGTGAGAGAGAAGGTAGATTTTTGGATGGGGGAGAGTGAAGCAAACAACATTTCGTTGCAGCTGAGTGAATGGCATTGCGCTTGTGTGTGCATCTGCCTGTGTGCGTTCAAGTTTTGGTTTTCGCTCTTGTTCTCACTCGCTCTCCCTCTCCACTGGTTTTCATACCTACTTATTTTGATAATTTCTTCTGCTGCTCCTCTGCCTCTGCTAATTCGCTCCTTTGTTTTCAAAATATGTACATACTTATTCAGAGCAGACGCAAAAACAAATGCATTGGCTTGACTCTAAATAATGTTTTCATTTTGTTTCATTTTTACAAACTAAAACGCACGTAAACGTTTCCATTAAAAGTGACATTTCTCTCTCAATTGCCTTGCTGCACTCGTACAAAAAGATAGAAGAGAGCAGCATGATTGTGATTATGCCTAATGGGAATGTTTGCCAAAAAGAACCATTTTCGAGAGTGAAACGGAGGCTTTGAATATTTGGGTGAGTGGGTGGCTGGCATTGATGCTGCTATTCCTCTCCAAACCCTCTCACTCTGTACTTCCAATCTCTCCAACGAACGGAAACCGTTGAGTATTGATGATAATTTGGGATTTACGGTATTGGTTTCTTTGATCCATTACTCGTATCTCTTTAAAAATTAAATGATGGACGTCTGCTACTTCTGGAGCTGTTCCCTCAATATTATTTCTGATAATGCCCTAGAAAATGTCCCCATAATCTGTATTTACGATTACAGCTGTCTGTGGGTTGATGAACTTTTATTATTTTACATATAAATACAAAATATATACAAGCGCTGATGATACGACATACATATGTATGTATGTTTGTACCCCCACGACACTCACCAGAAGGATCATGATAATACGAAATATGTCATATAACAGCCCCAAAGACTGATTCGTAAATAATTACATACATATGTATGTATATACATATGTAACTCAGCCAAATGTTGTATCCCAATCGATGTGTGTGTGTGTGTGTGTTTGCATTTATGGGAACACCTGTTCGCAGAATTCAAGTGAGTGTGTGTGTGAGTACTTTTGTGGTTGTCTTTGTCAACACAAACAAACAAACAAACAAAGAAAAAAAAGTTGTTCGTTGAGATTTTGTCAAGTGGCTTTTGGCAATGTATATACATTCATAGATATGTATGTATGTATGTATAATATAAACAATGGCCCCAACAATCACACACACGAACACACACATGTCTGCATTGGTTGCACTCTCTCGTTCTCCCTGAGCATGTGGATTGCGTGCACAAAATTAACCCTTTGCCTCTGGCAATGCATTTTAGCCTAAAATAGGTACATTGTATGCATGTATGTATGTACATACGTATGCTGGAGGTGGATATCGAATGTCAAGGATATCGAAACTTGAAATTTGCAGCACAGACAGCCACACACACAAACACTGTCTCTCTCTTTGTGAATAGGTGACGAACTAATGCTAAACAAAGACAAATGCGTTACTGATGAGAGCCCATGGTCGTGGTGTATGGGAGGAGAACCTCCCTGACTGACCCGTTCTCTTTCACTCTTAAAGCTTAGCGGGGGTGAACAGCTGTGGGTGCCTGCATGTGTGTGTGACATTGCTCGTAACATGATTGGTGTTGTTGTTGCGCGTGTGCAATGCCAATTGAGGAATGCACCGTTTTGCTAACTGCGCGTCTTCCACAACCCACCCACCGCAGGCCGCATGCTCTTTCCTGTACTCTGCAGAGGAACATTTTGTGATCGGTTTTGGGCTTTACCTCTAACCCAATAAAACCCAAGAAAAATATTAACAATACAGGTGTAAAGAAAAGGTTGCAGTTGCCTACATGAGTACATATGTATGTATGTGTGTATGTAACTTTTGAATTTCGCCATTCTTGCAAGCACAAGCGTATTGCATTTAATCATTCAATGACTTCAATTTTACAAACACGACTTCGTGTCTTATCATTTGCCAATTCAAATATGTATGAGTATTAACGAGCAGCATTTTACCTCAAATAATTACCTCATCTCTATCTTTATAGTAGCCACATCAGGTATAAATACATGCAGAAAAATACGTGGGTACATGGGAACACATCTGGTGTAGTGGTATTAATTAAATGAAAGGTTTGAATAATTATTGATAGTGATCGCTCTGAGCCCCCAGGCAGGGTATACCCCCTACCCCGTACGTGCGTTAGCCGTTACTATTTATTCCTGTGGGACAGCTGTTGCAATTTGTTTCGTTTCTGTCTTAATACTTTTGGCTCTCCTTTGCTGCTGCTACTCTTGCTGATTGGGTCTCCTAGCAGCCTCAGCCGCAGCAGCAGCTAACCGCAGGCAAAGTGTCCACTTACCTATCAAGTCCTGCTTATGACGGGAAACCCAACAGGTGCTGCCCAGCCCAGCAAAAAAAAAGAATAATAATTGCTTATCGCTGTCTTCTCTTCGCGTGCTTGTTTCTCTATTGCATTCATTGCTTGTCGAAGCTTAAATTGGAGCGTGGCAACGCAGCTCCTAAATCAAATCTGGAATTTAAGCTTGAAAGCTTAAACTGGAACTGGTACTGTGGCTGAGATGACCTGAAGCTGTTTTTGCGTGTGTTGCAAGTCGAGTGTTTTTCTTTTCGTGTTTTATTTTGCATACATACATATGTGCAATATGTAAACATTTTGTTTTATTGCACTCAATTTACCCCATGGATTGCCCCAATGGAATTGAAATTGACAATAGTGTGTAGAAGGGTTAGGCAGTGGAGAGGAGAGATAGAACGCAAGAGAGAGAGAGCGAGAGAGATAGTGTACAAACAAACAAAAAAGACACACGTAATGCGCTAATAAATTGGTAAGAGCAGACGCCAAATGCCAACGGTTCTCAGGTTGAGCAGAAACACAGCAAGAGAGTAACGAGAAAGAGAGGAAGGTCTGGAGGGCTGGGCTAGATATGCGCGGGTGGTGCTGTGGTGGTGGAGGGGCGGCTGCGACTGTGCAAAGATTAAAAGCAATTTGATTGAGACAAAGGGAAAACGAAACAAAGTGGAAGGAAAGACTAAAGAAACTATGAAATATGCATAGAGCACAACGAAACAGCTATAGACAGTTGTTTGTGTGTGTGGAGGTGTGTGTGAGGGAGCAAATAGATCTGTTATTTTGTGCTACCCTATTCAAAAGGTTATCTTATTATGATGTTTCGCAGGGATTGCTTAAAAAGTGCAAGTATTTCCAGCAGAAACAAGTTAACTGATCTAATATATTTGACAATTTTACAATTAATTTCACAATGTCGTAACATTGCACTTAAAATACAACTGCGTAATCCAAATTTCGCTATTAGTTTCAGCGATAAGTGAGGGTTATGTGCTGCAGACATATTCAAAAATGTAACGGTAGTACAGTTCTAATTGAAGGGTATCAATCGCTTCGGTTTGCGATGTTGCTTTATTTTCTCTTTCTTATTTTATTCAATGTTTTTATTTTTGTTCTCTTTTTGCTTGCAGTTGACGACAACAGTGGCAGTAGCAGTAGCAAAAACAGAGCAGCGGAGCTGTGGGAATAAAGAAGCGCAATTGAAAGAGGCAGCAGCAGCGCAAACGCGGAGGCTGAGGCAGCGCAGCGCTCATTCCCTATTCGAGATTGCACAGACAGGCTGTCTCTGTAGGTGGGTTCCAACAGTTCCAACTGACCCTGCTGCCCCATCCATCCATCCACTCACCCGCCAACCGACAGCCGCAGCTGTGGAGAGCAGCGCACTTCGAGGAGAATCAACCAACGAGTAGCAATTCGAAGGACCCGATAACCACAAAAATCCCATCCACATCATGTCCGCGGACTCGCCACGCCGCCATCCGTCCGGCGTTGGCGGGGGCGGTGTCGGTGGAGGGGGATTGCGCGGTGGCGGCCAGGCTGTGCCGGCCATTGTGCCGCCCCAGACGGTGTCGGATCGCTCGATACTGGACTCGGCAATTGGTTTCATCAACGATGTCACCCTGGCCAATCAGCCGGTGCAGGATCCCAAGGACACAATCACCTGGGCCCGCTTCGAGACCTGTGCGGACGTGAGCGATCCCCGTTTTGGTGATGATTGGGAACTGGAGGGCAATGCTGCTCCGCCGCTTCTCCTCATCCTCGGCTATGGCCTGGGTGTGCAAGTCTGGGCCATACCCGCCAACGGGGAGGCCGTTGAGGTGCTGTCCTGGCGCCATGGCGTCGTCACAGCCCTCCGAGTTCTTCCGACACCGGCCACCGCACCAGCCCTCGATGAGAACGGACGGGCCGATGAGCCAGTGGATGCCTTTGCCGAGAAACGACCCCTGGCTGCCCTCGTAGATGGTGGCAGTGCGGCGGCCAGCGGTTTTATGTCCGGCGGCAGTGGCGGCTCTGGCATCGGTGGGGGCAGCGGCGGCGGAATCGGCTCTGGCAGTGGTGGCAGTGCCTCTGGAGTGGCTCAATTCAGTGCAGTCAATTTTCTGTCGCTCAAGACGGGCGTTCAGGTGAAGACAATCAAATTCAAGAATGCGGTGCTCGATATCCAAGCCAACCGTTCGGCTGTGGTCATCACATTTCACGAAAGGATCGCCGTCTTTGATGCCCGGACACTGGAGGATCGCCTAACCATCACAACCTGCTATCCCAGTCCGGGGTAAGTGTGAAAACCTCTACCATGGGCCAGGCCTTTCATTGATTATCTCACCCTCGCAGAATCAATCCCAATCCGATTGCCCTGGGGCCACGCTGGCTGGCCTATGCAGAGCACAAGCTGCTGCACTCCAAGCGCAGCGGCGGCGGCTGCGATGGCGAGGGTGTGCCCAGCTATACGGCCACTGTGCTGAATGCGGCCAAATCGCTGGGCAAGGGTCTGCGAGAGTTGGGCGAACAGGTAGCAGCAGGTTTGACTGGGGCCACGGCTGGCAGCGGTGCCAGCTCAAAGAGCAGCAGCTTCGATTCGGCTAGCGGTGGTCCGGATGCCAAGCAGTCTGGTGTGGTCACCATTATCGATGTAAAGGTGAGTGTGCCAAAACTCAGTGTGTGTCCGAAACACTCATTCCATTCAATGCTACACTTTATTCAATGCTTCAGCATCCTGTTAAGGACTACAGCCCCACGACCGGCACACCGTTGAGCTCGACAGGCGGCGCTCAGGCTGGCGGTGATCCGATTGTGGCTCATTTTGTGGCCCACAGCGAGGCATTGGTAGCCATGGAGTTTGACAGCTCCGGGATGCTGCTGCTGACGGCCGATCGACGAGGGCACGATTTTCATGTCTTCCGTGTGCAACCGCATCCGGTGGGGCCCTGTCTGGCGGCAGTGCATCACTTGTATGTGCTGCATCGGGGCGATACGAGCGCCAAGGTGCAGCACATTGCCTTCTCGCTTGACTCGCGTTGGGCGTCGGTGTCGACGCTACGCGGCACCACACACGTCTTCCCCATAACGCCATACGGCGGCGCCATGGGCGTTCGGACGCACACATCACTGCATGTGGTCAACAAATTGTCGCGCTTCCATCGCAGTGCCGGCCTTGGGTCCGATGGACGCTCCAGTTCGCCCATTTCGCACTCGGAGAGCACCACATTTGTTCAGTCGCTGCAGCCGTATCACAATCCCACGCTTCCCCCCTATCCGCGGCCGTCGGTGGTCCAGCCCCTCGCTCAGCTACGACAGCCCTTTACCCTTGGTTCGCCGCCTGGTTCGGCTGGCGGCCTTGGTGGCGTAGTGGGTGTCGGGGCCGGAGTCGGCGGGGGTATGGGTGTGGGGAGCCATGGTGGCGGCATCGGTGGCGGCAACAGCAGCCAGAGACAGCGACAGCGACTCTCCTCGCTGTCGGATGACAGCGGGAAGCCATTGAGCGTCTGCTCAATATTCGCCAAATCGCGCTCCTGGCTGCTGGAGCCGCTGACGACAACACGAGAGGCACCGCATCGCGTTCAGCGCAAGGCCGTCGACTCGCTATTCGTGATGGCCGGCCATGGAGCGCTCATCCAGTACGATCTGGACACGAAGTTACCCTCAAGTGAGTCGGCCCTCACCGCACCTCATCTCCGTATATCCCTGACTAATGATTTATTCTTTTAAGATGTTGCCAAAGAGAAGATTTGTGATGACACGCCCATTGAACTGGAGGTGGAGGCCCGAGCGCAATGGAATCTGGGGCGACGCAAGGATGGATCTCATGAAATCGTACCACCGCTGGCGCTGGACAATTGGCTGATCAAGGATCGCCATAGCAGCCTGCTGCTGGACAGTGCCCATCAGTTCGATGAGCCCGACGAACGTGCCGAGAGCTGGTTAGCCCAGGTCGAGATCATAACGCATGCGGGACCCCACCGACGCCTATGGATGGGGCCGCAGTTTGTGTTCAAGAACTACAATACGCCCAGCGGGTATGTTGTGTGCTGCGAATGTCACCAGACCTACAAAACTACAATGGCGACCATCTTCTAATCTGTCCAATTTCTCAGCTCAAATTTGAACCATGTGGATGCTGAGGCTGTAGAGATTGGGGTTACAAAGACAACAACCACAACGCTACCCTCAACGGTGGCTGCCTCGTCAATGGGACCTGGCGTGGCAACTGGAGTGGCAGCCAAGGAGCGTTCGAGTCCCCTGAATATGCCACTGAATGCGGCCGCCTCTCTGGCAGCCAACTCGGGCATAGGAAGCACTGCAGGTCGTAGTGGTCCTGGAGTGCCGGTGCTTATCGAATCCGGTTCGTATAGTAAGTGTCTAGCATCCTTTATGATTTTCCTTTTCTCACTATCTCTCTCTCTCTCTGTTGCGTTCGTAGGCAGCATTGAGCAGAGCCCCAAGCTGATGGATCGCTTCCGGCATGGCCATTTGGACTCGGACTACGGACATGGCGATACACGGCTAAAGGAGGACCTGGCCGATGCCATGCGAGAATCGCCATCAATGGCAGCCACGCGACGCGAAACGGGTAAGACTGAGCTCCTCATCCTAGCCATAGGAATATAAGAATGCATGAACCGCGATACAGCCAAGAACATTTGAAGGAGAATGATGCTGGAGGGGATACCCCTCTGCCGCAGGCACACCATCCCATCTAAGGCGTTGTATTTTATCGTTAACAAACTCTCGTTTTTTACGTAATCCCCCATTGATTTATTTCATTTTTTTAATTGAATTTCAAACGTTTCTTTTTTTTTTGTTGAATTTTAAGCGAACGCTTTCGAAATGAAAATGTTTAATTCCGGATAAGTTTTGTTGGTGGTCAACAAGTAAAAGTAGAAGAAAAAAAATATAATCAATTTTTAATCTTCAATTGATGATGAGAAAGAAAAAACAAAACACCACAAAATTGGCATTAGGTTGTTGGTTGTTGATTATAATAATTATGATGATAATTCATCCATTGACACCGCTCTTACAAATCCCCTCTTGGCATTTTCTACTTCTCCATTTCTATCCTCCATTTCATTTCCATCTCCATCTTCATCTCCATCTTTATCTTTCTCCTCTCCAATCATTACTTTCTCTCTGTGTGCGTGTGTTGGTGTGTTGTTGCTGTTGTCGAACTTTAAGTTTTTTTTTTTTGCAATTTTTCTGTTCTCTAGCCTTTAACAAACGATTTCTTTCCTTTGCTGTGTGTGATCTGTTTAGCTTTTACAAAAAAAAAAAAAAAAAAAAAAAAAAAAAAATAAATATTTACACTTCATTTTAAATATATTCCTATTTTAATGAACAACTAAATTTAAGCTAACAAACTTTTTGTCACAGCAGAGCCCCCTCTACCGCCCCCACCAAAGCACCACTCACCAATGCTATAGTTATTCTCCACCTTGCCCCCTGCAACAGTTCTTCTAGAAGAATGTTCTTTTGTCACATAACTGAATACTCTTTCCAGACAGAACACCAGAAACCCAGAAACCCAGATTCGGTTCCATTGGTCTTTTGCACTTTGTTTCGCGTAGGGTTTTTTCTTTCTGTCTACTGCTTTCTTTTCTACCACCTGAAACACTTCTTATCCATCACACAATACACCACAGCACACCGGACCACAACACACCACACCACACGACAACACGAACTGTTGTCCTTTATTCACTTTCTCTTTCCTCTTGCCGCTTGGAATGTCCTTTAGATAGCGATTTTTTGTTTTTATTTTATTTAGCAATAACTTTCTTCTTTTTTATCCTGCAATTTTTAAATTAAAAAAACAAAATTATTCCCTTGAGTGATCGTGCAAGTCAGCAAACAAAAACCAAAACGTCAAACAGAGGTAGAGAGCGATTGTGTGAGCGAAAGAGACAGAGAGAAAGAGAGATGGAGAAAGAGAGAGAAAAGTTAAGATGAAAGAGCACATTTAATATACATGAATATTTTAATAAAAAGCCAAAGTCATAACAAAATCGAAAGAAAAGAACAGAAAAGAACAAATTCCAAATATCAATATCCAAAAATTCACGAAAAACAGAGTCAATAATTTCGAATATAATTTATTTTGTTCTTATACAAATTGTGTCCATCAGCTATATTCCTATTTTAAGTTTAATTATTTTTCGTTTCGTTTTGTACACTAAACAAAAAATTAAATAATTAAAAAAAAACCTCAAAATCAAATTTGTATACCTAATATTCAATTAAATTTTCGCGAAATTTCATTATCGTTTTATTTTTGAGTTTAAATTCATTTTTTTTATTTTTTGTTGAGATTTTTTAATATTTTGAAATATATTTGATTCATTTTGAGTGTTTTCCGCCATGTTTTTTTTTCCCTGACAACCAATGCTACAGCGCAGCTTATCCAAAAAAAAAAAACAAATTAAAAATTAAAAATCACTGACAACAACAACAAATGCAAATCAAATGAAATTTCAAGACTTTCATTTTAAATTAAACATTTTCAAATTTCGAGCGATTATCGACTAATCGAACTGTCGATGAACAAAACCACAGAACAATCGAACAAACCAACAAAAAAAAATGCATTTAAAAATCCCGCCTTTGGCTTTTTGTTTTCGTTTCCTGTATGAACCAAAGAAAAAACAAACAAAAAATGCGCTTTTCTCATAATTTGTTTTCTCTTCTATTTCTCTTTCTCTGCTCTGTGTTGTGTCCTGCCCCACCGTTGTTGACCCACCACCACCACCACCACCAACACTACCATGTGCCACAGGCCAACCATCAGGTTCTTCGGCATTGGCTTCTTTGGCGGAGGCAGCCTCCTCCTCCGTCTCGGCCAGCGATAATGTCTGCTACTATGACGCCCTCGCCGAGCACGAGCACCTAAACGATCCTGATCACGATCCCGAAATGGTGGGAGGAGGTGAGGCGCCAGATAAGGATAATTTGATCGATGAGGCGCCACGGACGGCATCAGATGTGAGGACAAGGGACCTGGGAAAGGCAGAGCGACGCCATCTGATCGAGCACATGAGTAGCAGCAGCAGCAGCAGCATGGCCGCCCTGGCCTCGGTGCTGCCCAATATATGCAGCTACGACTATCCCACCGGTGGACATCATTACAGCGGCGGCCATTCCAGGATCGAGAAGATCGTCAATCCGCTGGGCACGGTTACGGATGTGAATGCGGGCATCTCGGGTGAGCTGCAGACGGACATGCTAGACGAGGTGGTGTGCCAGCTGGCAGCCGAGGAGAGCATCATCCATGAGAACTGCGACGAGGCTCTGTTCCGGCCGGTGGTGGCCATCTTTTGCAACGATCTGGTCGAGCAGCGCAACCATCAGCAGCAGCTGTTGCTGGCCAAGGAGGAGCAGGCCGCCGCCGCTGCCGCTGGCTTGGGACCGGGATCAAAGGGTGGCGAAAATGATCACTGCAAGCCGCCGGTGGTGCTGGCCAATAAGCTCATTGTGCCCGTCATTGCCAAGGAAGTGGACGAGGTGCTTGTCCAAAAAGAAAAGCAAAAGTCACAGAGATCCCAGCACCAAAAGGCGCAGCAGCAGCAGCAGCAGCAGCAGAAATCTCAGCTCAAGTCCCTGGCCGCTGCCGAAGATGCGGCCCAGGCACAGCGATTTGCCGAGCTCTCGCATCTCAATAAGCCCAAAGGAGGGCCCAACAGCAGAACTGCCAGCAGTCAGAGGAACGCCACAGAGGAGGAAAAGGTCATCAGCAGTGGTGGTGCCAAGGCATCTAAGAAAGGCCCCAAGCAGAAGACGATCCTCAACAACAAAGGAGCAGACAAGAAACTGCCCTCCGTGGAAGTGGAAACAAAGGAGAAGCTTAAGAAGCAGACACAGGATAAAATGCAGGATCTAGATGAAATAATTGTAGTCGTGGAAGAGGGTGAGGACGAGTCAGAGGTAGAGTCGGATCATGCTGATAGCTTGCTGGCCAATAAGAGCAGTATTGCCGCCGTCATGGTGAGCAGTGCCAGCGCCCAGGGATTGAGTCTACTTGTGGAGACGACCACGCAAACGGGCGAGGATAATACCGAGGAGGAGGCTGAAGATGACGATAATAATAATGATGATGATGTTGTGGAGGAGGAGCTGGAGAAGGAACTCCAAAAAGACAAGAAAAAGCTGGAAACCATGACAATCGAAAGGGAGAAGGAAAAAGCCAAGGAAAGGGAGAATGAAAAGGAAAAGGAGAGGCTCAAGGAAAAGGAGAAACTTCAAGCGAAGGAAAAGGTAAAGCTGGAGAAGGAGAAGGAGAAGCAGGCTATCCAGGAGAAGCATAAGCTAGAAAAGCAAAAGGAAGTGGAGAAAGAGAAAGAGAAGCTGAGGCTGGAAAAAGAAAGGCAGGTCCAAGAGAAGGAACGGGAGAAAGAGAAGCAGCTTCAAGAGAAGGAAAAGCTGAAACAAGAAAAAGAAAGGCTCGAAGAGAAGGAGAAGCTGAAACTCGAAAAGGAAAAGGAAAAGGAAAAGCAGCTCCAAGAGAAGGAAAAGTTGAAACTAGAAAAGGAAAAGGAAAAGCAGCTGCAAGAACGAGAGAAGGAGAAGCAAAAACTCGAAAAGGAAAAGCTGGAAAAAGAGAAAGAAAAGGAAATGGAGAAGCTGCGTCTCGAAAAGTTAAAACTTCAGGAAAAAGAAAAACTCAAAGAGAAGGAGAAACTTCAGGAGATGCTAAAGCTCGAAAAGGAGAAGGAGAAAGAGAAACTCCTGGAGAAAATTAAGGAAAAAGAAAATAACCGAAACCCAGAGAAGCAGGGTAAAGCAGGCGAGATCTCTTCCGCAACAACGACGAGCTACTTGGTGAAGGTAATAGAGGAAGCTGCTCTCATCAAGAAGCCGATCGTTTCTGCAACGGTTCAGGCCAGTCCGTGGAAGCGAGTCGTTGTCGACAGCGATGAAGGCAGCGTTCCCAAGCAGCTGTCGTCAGCGGTGCAGCAGGATTATCCCACATTGGGCAAGAAGCAGAGTAAACCCAGCAGCCCAGAGAAGACCACTGGCCCACTGGCAAAGCCCCCCCGTGCAGCCAAAGATAACTTTGAGGACTTTTTGAGTGGCATGGAGTCGCTGCCACCGCTGCCTGATCTCGAGCCGCTCGAGGTGAAGCAGAATGAGACGCAGCAGCAACTCATCTCGGAGGGTGGCGCGTCGCTGAGTCTGATCAATTTCGAGAGTCCGCTGCAGGAGAGTGCGGCGACGATTATGCCGATCAAGATCACGCCGCCGCCACGAGGATTCACCGAGAAGAACCTTGTTCTGGCCCTTTGCGGTTCCCTGCACTATGAGGAGGAGCAGGAGCAGGAGCAGGCTCGAGAGCGGCAGATGGCAGGCACCGAAATTGAACTGGAACTGAAGCCCCATCCGTATGTGCTGCTGATGGCCGGAGATGAGCAACAACAGTCGCCGCTGGGCTTGCTACAAAAGTCTACATCCACGTCGAACAACTCATCTGGCTCCGAGGAGATTATCCTCATGGAGGAACCGGCCAGCAAGAAGCTCAGCAAGAAGCACAAACGCATGAAGCAGCTTCAGCTGCAGCAGCAGCAGAAGGAACGGGAGAGGGAGCGGGAGCGGGAAAGGGAGAAGGAGAAGGAACGTGCCAGAGAACGGGAGTCGGAAGATGAGGAACTTCGTCCGCTCATCAGCATTAGTATGTGCGATTCTCAGCTGGAGATGCACTCGCCCGTTAAAAAATCAAAAGCCAAACGATCCGAGAAGGACCCAATCGATGCGGATGCGGATGCGGATGCGGATGATGATCCCGAGGATGAGGAGGAGGAAGAAGAAGGCGAGGAGGAGGAGGACGAGTTGAGCCAAACACTGCCGGAGGATTTGCTCCATTTTGGGAGCAGTGGCGTGGCCACCAGCGCCACCACTGCCACCACGAACACCGCAACAACAACAGACAGCGAGGGACCCATCCCGGCCACCACATCCGATGACAATCTCGTGTATAGCTCATCCACAGCCGCATCGCCGCCGCACAAGCTCAAGACCAAGAAGCTGGAGCATAAAATAAATCTAATAGCAGCCATCGAGGCGGCCACCTCATCGTCCACTTCCTCGGCGGAGGAGAGTAGCGTGGAGACGGCCGGTCCCATTGTGGTCAGTGGTGCAGCCCATTCGGATGCCAACCCATCTGCAGGCACGGCCACGGCCACTGCGGCTACCTCTGGCGGTGCGTCTGCGAGCTCCGCCATTCCCGCGACTGGAGCTAGTTCCCCCGCTGTGGGTCTGCTCCATGGCGGCTCCACTGTGGGCATGGCCGTGGCCAGTCAGCCGAGTGCCACAAAGAAGAAGACGAAGCGGCGCAAGAGATAAGAATTAGCGATTTGTTTGCTGTGCGTCTTCAGTCTCGTTGTGCTCTGGCACTTGTATGCAAGCCAGGAGAGAGGTGTGAGTGCTGGTAACAGTGACAGTAACAGTATCAGTGCTAGTGCCCTCCATCAGGAGCTTCAGGTAGTGCAGGTAGTGGAGCAGGAGCCAACTGAGGTGCAGGCAACAGTACAGCCATCACAGTCTGAGACGGAGCAGAATAAGGATCAGCAGCATCAGCATCAGCAGCTATCGGTCAAAGACATTGCCAGTGCCAGAGCCAAGTAGTGGCTACAACAACAACATCCAAAGACAGCAGCAAACAAAATTCCACCACACAAGCGAACAGCAAGGGCCATTTCGTCACAAAATTGAGTTTCAGAATAAACATAAAGAGAGAGAGAGAGAGGGAGAGAGAGAGAGAGATGATGAACCGTACTCCATGGTGAAATTACTTTGTACAAGGTGACGTCTTCACCACAATTCACTCTCTTTCGGTGACCACTACTCGTATCTCTATCGCTTTCTAGCGCTTGTCTTTTTGAGCGTGGTGAATAAGTTAGTGGTCCTTCCCACTGCGGACAACGTCACCTTGTTGGTAGTAATTTCAGCATGCCGTGCACCGTACATCGTTCCCCTCCCACTTCGGATGGATACCCGCCCAACCATAAAAGATACAAGATTCTAGCTTAATTCTTTAGCTGTTTTGCCAGCAAAATATCACCAGAAAAGCAACAAACCGACAAGAAAAACACAAGAAAAACACAAAACTCTACAAAAAAATTGTGATTATAAAAAAGTACATAAACAACAAAAAAACACAAAACAAAAAAAGAATTGTAAAAAATAATTTAAAACCCAAAAACAAAGGAAAATTTACATCTGTAGAGGATTCGTTTGGACAAGAAGCATGGATAGAAATGCAACAAAAACAAAAACAAAATATATACATACAAAAATTGATTACTTACCATTTTTAAGTGCAAAGTTATACTGTTTAAACCAAAAACAAAAATCATACATATATGTATACACGACACAGACACAACCACACCCACACACTTATATGTATGCTATATATATAGAGGCCTAGGCTTAAAATGATCCAAGAATCAGAAACAGAAAAGAATTTGCAAAAAAATGCTCTCAACAAAAATTGTATATACAAAATAGAAAGAAGTACTAAATATCCTGAAAAATAGTACGAAAATCGCCCAAAAAAAAAAAACAAAATTGTAATAAATACGCTATAATATAATGCCCCCTCTATTTCCATCTGGAAATTGATGAAATTGACATACTCCTTGCCCCCCACCCCCCCACCTAAACCCTCCCGATAAAGCTTGTGGAAGAGATAATGAATTTGAGGCAACACATGTTAGCCCATTTAATGTGTAATTTTGAGAGCGAGATATGCGGACAGTGAGAGAGAGAGAGATTGAGAGTAAATCCAATCCATGGCTACAACCCAAGAACACAATTCCCAGACATATTTTGCTGGAACACATCCACAAGGATTGGCTTTCGTTAAGTTTTCTGCCTACATGATGTTCAAGCTTTCGTTTAGTTTCTTACCACAGCCCCAACCCTCCCGCACTCAATTCGGTGTCCTTGTTTTGTTTGTTTGTGTTAATTTATTGAATTTTGTATAGCAAACGTTCGACTTTTTCTCATTTTATCATACCCGGTACTCGCGAAGAGTAAATAGGGTATATTGTATTTGTGCACAAAGTATGTAACACACAGAAGGAAACGTTTCCGACCCCATAAAGTATATATATTCTTGATCAGCATCAATAGCCGAGTCGATTGAGCCATGTCTGTCTGTCCGTCCGTCTGTCCGTCCGTCCGTCCGTCCGTCTTGTGCGTCTTGTCCGTCCTGGATCTCAGAGACCATAAAAGCTAGAGCAGACTTCTGTATACACACACTGTTACAAGTGTATTTCAAAAATGAGCCACGCCCCCTTCCGCCTCCGCAAAAGGGCGAAAACCTCCCAAATCTACAATTTTGAAGATAAAAGAAAAGTAAAAACGCCATTCCGTAGGGAATGGCCATATCTATCAGATCACCAATCCGATTGGATCATTATTATGGCCACAATGAAGAAATTAATTTGCAGTGGCTAAACCCACCCTGTCCCGCAGCTTTTGTTGTTCTTTTCACATTCTCTCATTCACACTCTGATTTTTCTTCACTCGGCCCCTGCCTCTACCGTCCCTCTGCCGCTGCCTCTGCCGACTTTTAACCCACCCCGTCCCGCAGCTTATATATATATTTTTTTGAGTGCGGGCGCTGCCTCTGCCACTGCCGCGAGTCTGCAGTGTGTGGGTCTAGGGAAGGGCGGCGAGCTAAAGGAGCGTGTTGGTGTGAGAAGTGTTGTAGATGGAGATGACAGTTGAAGAAAAAATTTAAAATTTGACAAAACACCGCTGGAGATGTAGTACTGAGGGCCGGGTATAAAAGTTGTGACGCGTAAGAAGCGTCTCACACGTCCCTTCTCGTTTTTATTTTTATTGTGTTTAATTTTTTTGTTTGTCTGTAAAAAAGAAGGGAAATAAATTAATTTGTTGTCTTTATGTACATATATCGATCGTATTGTATGAAGAAAAAAGAAGAGAAATTTATATCAAATCTAACTGGCAGTATTTATGATTTACGATTGTGAGAGTAACAGTAAGAGAGGAGAGAGTAGAGTTGGAGTTGGTGGAAAATGGATGGAGAGCAAGGTGGAATCGCTAAACACTCAAATTTAATTTAATGAATTAATGTATGATTAAATAAATGCAATTTTAGTTAAAAACAACAACCAAAACGGCCAATGAGGAATTTTTTCTGGGAAACTGCGAAACTTGGGAGATTAATATACGATTTTTCTAGAAATATGTATCCTGGCGCTAATCGAATTCGAACATTTCTTTACATTATTTCACAGGCAATTACTTTACCAAGGATCAACTGGATGGATTGTCGTCACACAACAATAACAACAACAACAACAATATAATCTTCTCGCCAGGCAACAAGAAACACAACAATATAAATCCCAATTTAAATCCCATTCCCATGGTAAATCATTATAAATCCCAAAAATCGCAGGAGCCTGTAGCTGACTTCGATCAGCCGCCCCCAAAGCCCACCCAGGTGACCCAGGTGGCCTATGATGGCGGCGAACTGTCGACAGTGGTGAACATCGAGGTGTTTGACGATCAGCTGAGCATGAGCAGCATTAGCACCAACAGTCGCCTGTCGTTGGAGGGACCGCCGTCACAGTCCTCGCCGCCACTCAGCCTCACCAACGGCCTGGGCCTGATGGACACCAATCTGATGCATTTCAGCGAGAGTACGGCGGTGAGCAGTGGTCTGGCCGCTAGAGCTGCAGCTGGACCGCAACCAGTCACCGAGCTTGAGGTAGAAGTCGATCTGGATGCGGTGGACGAGGGCGACAGTGAGCCGTTGGCTGACACTGTAGAGGAGAGATCGAAGCGCAGACAGAATTTGTGAGAGTTAATGCAGAGGCCGACCGCCCAGCGACGACTGCTGCACAGGACGGAGGTCGGTGGCCGTATTGGTAGCAACTTTTACCTGCGGCGCCTCTGTGCACAGATCCTGCAGCCCAATGCAGTCGAGGAGCCCTAAACAGACCCCGTTTAGCCCATTTTAACGTTGTGAAACCTTTTGTGTAACTGTAACGGTATCTTTATCGGTATCTTTGTATCTGTATCTTTATCGGTGTCTAATGTGTGTCTAGTTTCCGCGGCGTCTTTTATAGTCCCATTATTTAGCCGGAGAAACCTCCCCCCGCGCATATACTTTTTTCTATATTTTTTTTGTTATGCAAAAGTTATGTTATGTTAAATGCAAAAGCAACAAAACGAAAATGAAACAAAAATGTTTGGAAACAAAGAATACAATATATAGAACAGTAATAAATAGATCAGATCAAACCTCAGCTGAATGCCGTGATATTTAAAATAAAATTTAACAAACAAACAAAAAGAAAACATGTGAGAGAGTGAGGAAGTGAGAGAGGAGAAATACAATATACAATTTTAAATATGTATCTTAATAAATCAATGGCAACAAGAGAGAATGAGAACAAGAAAGAGAAATAACCATGAACCCATGATCCATACATACATATATATACATTATAAATACATAATTATACATATATTCTAGCAATAATAAATCCATTTACTTACCCTAGAGACTAAGAAGGAATGCTGCTTATGCCAGAAATTCGATTCGCAAAACCGATTTCAGATACCTTATAGTTTTTGTAAACTTTTCTATATTTCTATGTACCATAGTTCCGAAAAGAAAAAAAAACATATAAATGGCACACTTATTACCGATTCCAATTCCTGATTCTGCCTTCAGCATTCATCATCGTATGTATACATATAATTTTTTTATTCCCAAACATAACTTCATTCCAAAACTAAATCCACACAGACTAGATCCAAATACAAAAAACAAAAACAAAAATAAACTAGAAAATTAACTAATAAATGCAAAACATATCCATATGAAGATCTACAGACGTATACATAAATATGAATGCATATATTTTCCAATAATCATCAGTGAATGAATATTAACCAAAAGAAAAATAAAAAGTAAAAATAAAATGAAAACTCGTGAAACAGTTCAAACTCGCTAAGCAATCCAGACAGGGGCAGGGGACTAGTATACATACAATATTTTTGTAATCAAAAGAAATATACCTAAATAGAGAGGAGAGATATGCATTGAAGATTTTTCCAAAACAATTTTAGCACTCTTGTTGCCTCTTCCTGTTTCCACCTAAACATTCAATCAAAACAAATCAAATTATAAGTCTAACAATAAAATAAAACACACACACTGCTGGCCAGGTTGCGGATATATGTATGTAGATCGATGAATGTCGATTCTACCACATATACATACATAAATACATCCTTTAATACATACATACATATGTATATTTTGATATAAACCAGAAGTAATAGATGAAACCGTGAAAAAAACGAGGAGAAACATATTTTTTATACTTGTACTACTGTCATGTCGTCTTCACTTTGTATTTCGATTTCAAAAAAGGCGCCGACAACTGATCTATAACTATCTACATACATAAATAAATAAATAAATGGATGCATGAAATTGGCTGACAATTTACTTAAACTTATACCCATAAATACATATGTATGTACATGCATATACCAATTTGATTATATTCAAAAATATATATTGGATATAAATATATCCAATCTGATGCTAATTTTATGTCGCATGTCTTCTTTTCCCTTAGTTAAACGAGAATTATGTACACAAAACAAAACAAAATACCCAAAAAAAAAAAAAAGAAACTTTTTAAAATCCATTTGTATAACCAAAAGTGTCATAGAATTCATTTTGAGAGATTGATTTCCGAATTGATTTCATCATATTATAAAAATAAATGCATAAACTACAAAACCTCAGTGTGGTATGAATTTTTATTAAGAATTAACCCACTAGTCACTGGTGTAAGTATAACATAATTACCAATAGCTTGCCAATAGGGAAGTGGAGTAATGCACAAGCACAAGCTACTTGAATACAGCTTCAAAGCACACGTTTAGGATCTGCACTCTAGGTGTACCAAACGGCAGAGATATTTGGGGAAAGATATTGAAGGACAACCGGCTTCTGAAGTCTAGATACAATTTTTGTTTTTTTTCCCTCTCTCTTTATATTTACAATCTGTTTATTTAAACAATAAGTAAATTGTATAATTAATATTAAATTAACAGAAATATTATTATTTATTTGTATTATATGTAACATTCTTTCAGTTTGTTGGATTTATCTATCGGGGAGATCGAGAATGTGGTATCTTTTCAGTCTTATTACTGTTAAGCTAATGTCTAATAGACTTAAGGCTAAATTATTTTCATGGTTGTGGAGTATGTCGATGTATTTCTTACTAGTTTTCTTTATTTCTTCTTTAATGGTTGGAATATTAAGATCTTTGTGGATAGTTGCATTAGATATGTAAAACGGCGCATTGACAATGTGTCGTAAAGTTTTTGATTGGTAACGCTGAAGTATCTCCATATTTGAGATAAAATGTATTGTTCATTCCCCAACACACCCCACACCACTGTTCGTATATTTCATGAACTATTTATTTCCCAAGTTGGCTCTGCGGCAGTAGAGATTATTTCTAGAAATCGTATCTGGATTACAATCGAAATTCCCAGTTCAATACGAAATTCCCCGTGTATCTATTTATGAATTAGCAAACAATGGCCAGGCCAAAGAAGACCCAAAAAGCACCATCTAGTCCGAAGAGGCAGCAGACACCAACTCGACGGAGTAACCCATCGAACAGCCCATTCATGAATTTCCTTCGCCACTTTAAATCTCGCTGCGAGAGGAGGTTGGCGCAGAAGGCAGCCGAAAAGTGGCACCAGATGAGTACCAAAGAGAGGAAGGTGTACGAGACAAAGGTTACCGAAAGAATAACAAATAATAAACAGAAAACGATGGTTCCGGGAGTGAAGCGACAGCTAAAGCGGGATTATTCCACCGAATGAACAGAAACTACCAGAGAGAAGTCCAGTGGAGTCTGGATACAGAGCTAATCCGCAAAAGGTTTTCCCCTTTCAAATCGAATGCNATCGCCACTCATTGAACGAACTCTCCGATAGCACCTATCAATCATGGGTGAACATCATAAGCACATCCCAAATGATTGATGATCCATGCCAAATCCCAGCAGCCTCCACTCGTTCCCCTGACATTGACATTGTTGCGGAGGGGCAGCCAAGGCGTAGCCAATTGATTTCAGCTCGGAATACCCATACTACGAGTGTAGCAGATCGCTGGGAATTAATTTAGAGATCCCCCAACACACTCCACGCCACTGTTCGTATATTTCATTAACTATTTATTCAGTTCCCAAGCTGGCTCTGCGGCAGTAGAGATTATTTCTAGAAATCGTATCTGGATTACAATCGAAATTCCCAGTTCAATACGAAATTCCCCGTGTATCTATTTATGAATTAGCAAACAATGGCCAGGCCAAAGAAGACCCAAAAAGCACCATCTAGTCCGAAGAGGCAGCAGACACCAACTCGACGGAGTAACCCATCGAACAGCCCATTCATGAATTTCCTTCGCCACTTTAAATCTCGCTGCGAGAGGAGGTTGGCGCAGAAGGCAGCCGAAAAGTGGCACCAGATGAGTACCAAAGAGAGGAAGGTGTACGAGACAAAGGTTACCGAAAGAATAACAAATAATAAACAGAAAACGATGGTTCCGGGAGTGAAGCGACAGCTAAAGCGGGATTATTCCACCGAATGAACAGAAACTACCAGAGAGAAGTCCAGTGGAGTCTGGATACAGAGCTAATCCGCAAAAGGTTTTCCCCTTTCAAATCGAATGCAGAGAAGGATATTTCCGGTTGTATTTGGCGATTATTTATTAAAGAGTGATTAGTGGAGGATCGATGATCCTATGGATGGATGTGATCACTTGGATCACTTGAACTGGACATTGTTTTGCAGCAGATCCATCAGTCGCTCTTCTGGGGCTGCCCATTTGCAGTGGGGATACTTGGAGGTGCAGTGCTGTGGCCTGGGATCCTTGCCAGCCTCGAAGGCCTCTCGAAGTGTGGAGTCCAGCTGCAGCCAGGTGAGGATCCAAGACCAGTTGGTGGCTGCATCCAGCACGTGATCCAAGTCGGAGGCATGATCCTGGTGCTTCCTCACATTGTCGCTTGCCTTAAAGGTCAGAGTACAAATGGACTTGAGCAGGCAAGCGGAGAGATCGATCTCGTTCTTGAAATAGGTTCGCTCCACGGTGCTGAGTACACTGGGGAGGCTGCTTTCTACTTTCACAGGGAGAAGCGAGAACGTTATGCCTGTACCCAATCAAGAATGAGGAGAAGGACTTACCCACTCGCTCTCCTGTTTCGTTGCGGTAAACGAGCCTAAAATTCTCAAACAACTGCAGGAGACTTCGATTCCTCCGATCCGAGAGACCACGCGCCGTGGCATTGGACACCAGAGTGTCGGGGTGTGGCTTTCCACTTGTAGCTGGGGAGTCATCCTGGGTGACGGCGTCCAGACCCATGCTGCGAATCAAGTGTCCAACGAGGAGTCCGCCAGCAGCCACGAGTCCGCAGCTGAGCACAGCCGCAGAATTGATGATGACCAGTGGCTGAAAGAGATGGTAAAGGTAGAGATTGAATGGAGGATCAGGATCAGGAAGGAGTACGCCTACCCTTGGTGGTGCATTTCGTTTGCGTTTGACGGGCACCTCCAGGAAGGGCAACAAGTAGTCCAATCCCAAGGCAATGTGTTTGCCCACAGCATCAAAGGATACCAGCTTGAATCCTGGACTATGCGGACTCTGTCTTGAGTCCCGTCCGTCCTCCTCTGCCTCACTGGCTGCCCAGACCAGGGCACAGTTGGTGAGCAGAGTGCAGATTATGTGCAGCAGCTTCATTGTTTCCGCTAGGAGCACCGTTCGACAGCGAAGCTGGCGAGCATTTGAAATTGAAATCCATGGATGCCCCATGGATGGATCTGCTTGGGTGGAGTGCAGAGTGGAGTGGAGTGGATCACATGTGGGAGTGCGCCGCTTGGTTGCCTCTTGGCTGCGATAATTTGGCTCTCTTTGGATACTTTCTTCAGCTTGTCATCCAAAGTGCAACAAAGTGCTTCTGTGACATAAGTAACTGGAAAAGGGAAGGCGCGAAAACGATTAGCTGGAGAAAGAGTCGAGTGGAAAGCGGAAGATGGCTGATTGCTGGGGAGTTTGCTGTTACCTTCACTAATTGGAGGAGAGTGAGAGAGAGACTTAAATGAGTCTAATGCTCGGCATTTCCATTACACAAGAATAATAATAAATAATGCGATTAAAAAGCTACTGGAAGTGGGTGTACGAGTGGGAGTTCGAGTGGGAAGCGATTGACTGATTATTTATTTATTATTAATCGCCAACAGATTTCTGAATCTTTTACTGACTAAACTAGCTTAATTCTATCTGAAATATTACATCAAAAAGAAACAATTCCTACCGTTGTAGACTCCTTCTAATAAACCAGCCCTCCTTAGTTAATCGCAGAAAAATGCTTTGTGTCATTTTTATGCACAAATTGATCAAGGGAGATGTAGACAGCCCTGACTTGCTGAGCCGCATAAACTTTACGATTCCCATTAGACACACTAGAAACTTTATTCCTTTGTTCCTTCCACTATGTAGATCGAATTATGCCTCACACGAACCCTTTAGGGTTTTATGCTCGGATTATAATTCCCTCTACAACATTATATCCTCAACTAACTCCCTTCCTCTTCTTAAATCTCTTATGCCAGCCTAGCTCTCCCGTAGTTAGTTTCATTTTAGTTTTGTCTTGTTTCTGATTTTGGTAATATTTGCTTGCTTAGCTATAATTGCTCTAGTTTATTTGTGTTTAGCTCTAATTTTCCTCGAATATTAGCCTAACATCTATCTTTCCTGCATGCTCGCGACCGGTTCGGTTAATCGCTCCGCGCGTCATGCGGCAGCGCCCCTCGGTTGGTTGGGTGGGAGGAGGGCTGCTTTCTGCTGGGTGCCGCGCGTAACAGGCTTTGGCTTGGTGTCGCATGGGCCACTTGGTGGTGCAGTCATTGCATATCAACGTGCAGACAAAAATCAGAATAAAAACCGTTTGACTGAATCGGCTCCCTTCACCTGGCAAAAGTCAAATCACAAATCGCAATCCCATCTGGCAGTGCATTTTGTCTACGAAGATCCCTACATATGGGCTCGTTATTGTCACTGTTAGTCCGATGGCAACCGACCTCAAAGAGTGCATTTCCTCTTAGACTCCATTGAATGGTATTGATTTGCATTTCATAATTCACAGGTTAGAGGATGGAGGGTGGTAGCGCTCATCCACTTTTATTGGAATATTATTGCATATATTGTACATAATATTATTGTAAATACGATCGAAAATACTCTAACTTAATAATACAAAAAAAAATGGTTAAACATTAAAGGCTGTATCAGAGGATACCCCAATTATGTATGAACTATGTATGAACTATGTATGGAATCATGTATGTCAGCCATTGAAATATTGCAGGACTTTTGGCAATGTCCTCGATGTCCAGAAGGGGTTTATGTGGGGTTTGTCCAGAGTGGGGAATCTGCATCTCGCATAGGTGTGGCCACAGGTGCGACTGCTCCGTGCCGTTTGGATGGCATGCAGCACTGCAGTGCCTCTGGTGAGAGAATCCAGCCAGGGAGAGCTGCCACAGAGAGGAGACAGGCATCAATGGGGAATGAATAAATGAATGAGTTATACACGAACCTGGCTAGCACATGGAGGAGTCGCGCATAGCTCGAGGAGACATTGTGAGTCAAGTAGTGGCAGATGTAGCGCTGGACACAGGCGGACATGTCAACGTTGTGCTCCTCCAGGTGGGACTCAACGACATTCGTTAGGCGGCGCACTGTCAGGGAGGAAGGAGTTATAAGCTGTTGAGACTGTTTCGTTTTCTACACTCACTGCCTCTGGTGGTGTCCGATCTGTAGGGGTATCCATTGCCCAGCGACGTGACCACCAGCGGGGCGAGGAGAAGGCGCACCACTCCTGCAATTATGGCTCCTGCAGCCACCACCACTGCCGTGTTGAGCAGCGTTCCCGTTCGCAGATTTAGGAGATTCTGCACGGCATCCCGAGCCATTCCCATGCTCCGCTTCACCGGCACCTTGAAGAATGGAACGATGAACTCCAGCTCAACGCTGACATCCTCGCCACTGGCATGAAAGTGAAAGCCACGTCCCTCCCGCCCAACGTCAGTATCCATATCCATCTCCACTTCCATCTCCTCCTCGAATTGAAGCTCTCCTTGCTGGCGTGGCTCAAAGTCTCGGAAACGCAGCAGCTTCGCACTCGCATTGCCATAGAAGTCTCCATTGACACTCTCCCCACAGTGGCCCAGCAGCAGAAAGACCGTCAATAGGCCCGCAAAGTACAACATTTGCACCAGCCACATTCCGTTCGGTCGTGTTGCCGTGTTGCCGTGTTGCCGTCTCAGCGATTCGGAGGTGTATGAATGCGATCCCAGTCGGTTACTCTCAGTACTCTCTATGGGAATTACATGCCCAACGCCTCCCCCAATCAAGATATGATATTCATTTAATCCGAATTTGAAGCGTACAAATACGAACACGAGCAGCAGTGGGACACTTAACGCTTCGCGAACTGCCAGAGTGCCAATGTGTGTGCCTCTGGGATGTGTGTGTTTTATTTGCGGTATGTGTGATTCCAACGATTGATTCAATCACGAACCACTGAGGACAATTGAGAAGAAACAGAAAATCTGGAAGACTGGTAGAAGTCGGATATAAGTACGAGTATGAAACGTGTTTCTGAAGCAGAAAACGCCAACAGGCCGCAACGGGAAAGTAGAAGAAAATGGGTTGGAAAATTTGCATACGATTTGTTAAATGCAAACTCACTCAGTTATGTCACCTGCAACAAAGGTTAGATAAACAATAAGAAATAAAGAAATGGAAAAATGTTAGATAAAGTTTAATAATTTAAACGAACTCCGAACTTCAGGCGAAATAAACAAATCGTGGCTTAGGCTTAACAGAGCGATAAAGGTTGGATAAACAAAGTGGCGGTAAGTGTTTTTGCCTGTCCAATATGCTTGTCCTGCAGCCAGTATTTTCACATGGGTTTCGAGGCTTTGTTCCCGTTCTTACTCCACCTGTTGCATTCAAAGGAAATCGATCGGCAGAATACTGGATTTAGCAGTATTTTTTTGGAGGTTGGCAGGTCGAAAGTCGAAGGGGCAAGGCGATAAACGGTGCCGGAGAGCGAGACAAGGGGAAAATAGAAGAGAAGCTCGAAAACATTGCGGGATCCACAAGCCAGCTCACCCACACCCTCGAAAATGCCATCAGCTGCAGCAAGAGGGATTGCATAGGGCAGCTACGCTGAACATGCTGGTAGTGGGAAAATAAACATCGGCAGTGTTAGAGCGTTTTGTGTGTGTGACCGTTTAAGAAAAAATCGGGAAAAAGGAAACAAACAGACCGGCGGGACAATCTAGAGGACCTTTTTATCAGCATCTAATTATAAGTGACTCCAGTCCAATGGAGATAAATTGTACCGGCTGGGCTCCCGTAGATGGGCCAAAATTTCCAACCCCCGACCCGCGAAATCCTGGTCACACCCCTGCCCTGGCGCGAGCCCGCCACAGCGCCACAATTAAATAATACATAAATACCTACGTATGTAGGTATGTACATATTTATGTAACTAATTGAATGTAGTCTTTGTATTTATATTTACATTTATTATTTATATTTATTTCCACCTATAAATTTTCCACCCACTAATATAAGTTGAAGGGGCTGGAGTAGGCGGACGCGCCACCAAGTTGTAGTGTAGGGAATTGTAGTTAGGTATGTATTAAGTTTTTGAGTTAAATATTATAACGTTTGAAATGCAGTGCAAGTGTGTTTAGTATGGGGGGGGGGGGGGGGGGGGGGGAAGGGGACCACAAAGGCCGCCGCACTTGGGAAAGGAGATTCGTAGTCGTTTTGAGTCGGATCTCAAGTAGAGTACGCCCGAGGTAGACCATCGGCACCTCAGACTTGTCCACGTCTGTGTCGAAGAGATGATTGTCCGTTAGATGTAGAGTAAAGTCTGTTGCATTGTTTTTGAATTATCGTTTTGTTTTCGTATTTGTACGAGATGTCCGAACAGTTGGTTTGTTGTGCGACCTGGGAAGATCTCAGCCCTGGGATGACTGGCTAGCCGGCCTTGCCTCAACACCAATCGTAACACACCTTCCATCTTGGCAAGCTATCCCCCAAATATGTAGTCAGTTCAAACAGATTATGTCCCTGCCAATAATGCTGCGCTCCGCGTTATTTCTACACTCAATGGATCCAAGGATCACTGTGTTTGGCTGTGATTACTTTTTCTTCCCATTGCCGCAAGACGTTGTTCAACACTGCACACACCCGTTTGTTTATCCAACCTTTATCGCTCGCTAAGCCTAAGCCACGATTCGTTTATCTAACCTTAACACATTACCCACGCAAAGTACCTTATTATTGTTGCGTAGCCAACGTTATACCATTGCTTAATATCTTATTGTTTATCTAACCTTTCCGCAGGTGACATAACTGAGTGGTGAGTTTGTACTTCACAAATACTCGCACGCACCACAACAGTCGTATGCAAATTTTCCAACACATAGCCCAGTGTCGTCTAAAAATGTCTTTCCAATAAGTTGAGGGTTCCTCTTCCCCGTTGCGGCTTGTTGACGTTTGCTGCATCAGTACAAATGTACATGCATACATGCATATATGTGCATACATACGTACATATGTACATGTACATGTGCATGCTTGCTCCATACACACCTGTGCACAGGTGCGGACCACCCCAAGAGAGCAGAGAGCAGAAAAAATAGGAGAACACGAGAGCGAAGAAGAGGCAGCAGACGCCGTTAAGTGAGCTTTCGGCAATCAGTTGTCAGTCGTCAATATGGGCATTCGAATTTTGCGTCGGTATCAGTTGCATTGAAATAAGTCTTAATGTCATAAGTCAACAAGTTCAACATTTTAAAGAAATAATTTAATTACACATTCATGATACATATGTATGTGTACTAAATATCAACCCAATAAACAATCCCTTAAATATAACCATGCACACATACATACATACCCGACTTCTACCAGTCTTCCAGTTTGTCTGCTTCTTCTCAATTGTCCTCAGTGGTTCGTGATTGAATCAATCGTTGGAGTCACACATACCGCAAATAAAACACACACATCCCAGAGGCACACACATTGGCACTCTGGCAGTTCGCGAAGCGTTAAGTGTCCCACTGCTGCTCGTGTTCGTATTTGTACGCTTCAAATTCGGATTAAATGAATATCATATCTTGATTGGGGGAGGCGTTGGGCATGTAATTCCCATAGAGAGTACTGAGAGTAACCGACTGGGATCGCATTCATACACCTCCGAATCGCTGAGACGGCAACACGGCAACACGGCAACACGACCGAACGGAATGTGGCTGGTGCAAATGTTGTACTTTGCGGGCCTATTGACGGTCTTTCTGCTGCTGGGCCACTGTGGGGAGAGTGTCAATGGAGACTTCTATGGCAATGCGAGTGCGAAGCTGCTGCGTTTCCGAGACTTTGAGCCACGCCAGCAAGGAGAGCTTCAATTCGAGGAGGAGATGGAAGTGGAGATGGATATGGATACTGACGTTGGGCGGGAGGGACGTGGCTTTCACTTTCATGCCAGTGGCGAGGATGTCAGCGTTGAGCTGGAGTTCATCGTTCCATTCTTCAAGGTGCCGGTGAAGCGGAGCATGGGAATGGCTCGGGATGCCGTGCAGAATCTCCTAAATCTGCGAACGGGAACGCTGCTCAACACGGCAGTGGTGGTGGCTGCAGGAGCCATAATTGCAGGAGTGGTGCGCCTTCTCCTCGCCCCGCTGGTGGTCACGTCGCTGGGCAATGGATACCCCTACAGATCGGACACCACCAGAGGCAGTGAGTGTAGAAAACGAAACAGTCTCAACAGCTTATAACTCCTTCCTCCCTGACAGTGCGCCGCCTAACGAATGTCGTTGAGTCCCACCTGGAGGAGCACAACGTTGACATGTCCGCCTGTGTCCAGCGCTACATCTGCCACTACTTGACTCACAATGTCTCCTCGAGCTATGCGCGACTCCTCCATGTGCTAGCCAGGTTCGTGTATAACTCATTCATTTATTCATTCCCCATTGATGCCTGTCTCCTCTCTGTGGCAGCTCTCCCTGGCTGGATTCTCTCACCAGAGGCACTGCAGTGCTGCATGCCATCCAAACGGCACGGAGCAGTCGCACCTGTGGCCACACCTATGCGAGATGCAGATTCCCCACTCTGGACAAACCCCACATAAACCCCTTCTGGACATCGAGGACATTGCCAAAAGTCCTGCAATATTTCAATGGCTGACATACATGATTCCATACATAGTTCATACATAGTTCATACATAATTGGGGTATCCTCTGATACAGCCTTTAATGTTTAACCATTTTTTTTTGTATTATTAAGTTAGAGTATTTTCGATCGTATTTACAATAATATTATGTACAATATATGCAATAATATTCCAATAAAAGTGGATGAGCGCTACCACCCTCCATCCTCTAACCTGTGAATTATGAAATGCAAATCAATACCATTCAATGGAGTCTAAGAGGAAATGCACTCTTTGAGGTCGGTTGCCATCGGACTAACAGTGACAATAACGAGCCCATATGTAGGGATCTTCGTAGACAAAATGCACTGCCAGATGGGATTGCGATTTGTGATTTGACTTTTGCCAGGTGAAGGGAGCCGATTCAGTCAAACGGTTTTTATTCTGATTTTTGTCTGCACGTTGATATGCAATGACTGCACCACCAAGTGGCCCATGCGACACCAAGCCAAAGCCTGTTACGCGCGGCACCCAGCAGAAAGCAGCCCTCCTCCCACCCAACCAACCGAGGGGCGCTGCCGCATGACGCGCGGAGCGATTAACCGAACCGGTCGCGAGCATGCAGGAAAGATAGATGTTAGGCTAATATTCGAGGAAAATTAGAGCTAAACACAAATAAACTAGAGCAATTATAGCTAAGCAAGCAAATATTACCAAAATCAGAAACAAGACAAAACTAAAATGAAACTAACTACGGGAGAGCTAGGCTGGCATAAGAGATTTAAGAAGAGGAAGGGAGTTAGTTGAGGATATAATGTTGTAGAGGGAATTATAATCCGAGCATAAAACCCTAAAGGGTTCGTGTGAGGCATAATTCGATCTACATAGTGGAAGGAACAAAGGAATAAAGTTTCTAGTGGGTCTAATGGGAATCGTAAAGTTTATGCGGCTCAGCAAGTCAGGGCTGTCTACATCCCCCTTGATCAAGTTGTGCATAAAAATGACACAAAGAATTTTTCTGCGATTAACTAAGGAGGGAAGGTTTATTAGAAGGAGTCTACAACGGTAGGATTTGTTTCTTTTTGATGTAATGTTTCAGATAGAATTAAGCTAGTTTAGTCAGTAAAAGATTCATAAATCTGTTGGCGATTAATAATAAATAAATAATCAGTCAATCGCTTCCCACTCGAACTCCCACTCGTACACCCACTTCCAGTAGCTTTTTAATCGCATTATTTATTATTATTCTTGTGTAATGGAAATGCCGAGCATTAGACTCATTTAAGTCTCTCTCTCACTCTCCTCCAATTAGTGAAGGTAACAGCAAACTCCCCAGCAATCAGCCATCTTCCGCTTTCCACTCGACTCTTTCTCCAGCTAATCGTTTTCGCGCCTTCCCTTCTCCAGTTACTTATGTCACAGAAGCACTTTGTTGCACTTTGGATGACAAGCTGAAGAAAGTATCCAAAGAGAGCCAAATTATCGCAGCCAAGAGGCAACCAAGCGGCGCACTCCCACATGTGATCCACTCCACTCCACTCTGCACTCCACCCAAGCAGATCCATCCATGGGGCATCCATGGATTTCAATTTCAAATGCTCGCCAGCTTCGCTGTCGAACGGTGCTCCTAGCGGAAACAATGAAGCTGCTGCACATAATCTGCACTCTGCTCACCAACTGTGCCCTGGTCTGGGCAGCCAGTGAGGCAGAGGAGGACGGACGGGACTCAAGAGAGAGTCCGCATAGTCCAGGATTCAAGCTGGTATCCTTTGATGCTGTGGGCAAACACATTGCCTTGGGATTGGACTACTTGTTGCCCTTCCTGGAGGTGCCCGTCAAACGCAAACGAAATGCACCACCAAGGGTAGGCTTACTCCTTCCTGATCCTGATCCTCTATTCAATCTCTACCTTTACCATCTCTTTCAGCCACTGGTCATCATCAATTCTGCGGCTGTGCTCAGCTGCGGACTCGTGGCTGCTGGCGGACTCCTCGTTGGACACTTGATTCGCAGCATGGGACTGGACGCCGTCACCCAGGATGACTCCCCAGCTACAAGTGGAAAGCCAAAGTCCTCGGAGGAGAACACATCCCCGTCCACACACTCCGACACTCTGGTGTCCAATGCCACGGCGCGTGGTCTCTCGGATCGGAGGAATCGAAGTCTCCTGCAGTTGTTTGAGAATTTTAGGCTCGTTTACCGCAACGAAACAGGAGAGCGAGTGGGTAAGTCCTTCTCCTCATTCTTGATTGGGTACAGGCATAACGTTCTCGCTTCTCCCTGTGAAAGTAGAAAGCAGCCTCCCCAGTGTACTCAGCACCGTGGAGCGAACCTATTTCAAGAACGAGATCGATCTCTCCGCTTGCCTGCTCAAGTCCATTTGTACTCTGACCTTTAAGGCAAGCGACAATGTGAGGAAGCACCAGGATCATGCCTCCGACTTGGATCACGTGCTGGATGCAGCCACCAACTGGTCTTGGATCCTCACCTGGCTGCAGCTGGACTCCACACTTCGAGAGGCCTTCGAGGCTGGCAAGGATCCCAGGCCACAGCACTGCACCTCCAAGTATCCCCACTGCAAATGGGCAGCCCCAGAAGAGCGACTGATGGATCTGCTGCAAAACAATGTCCAGTTCAAGTGATCCAAGTGATCACATCCATCCATAGGATCATCGATCCTCCACTAATCACTCTTTAATAAATAATCGCCAAATACAACCGGAAATATCCTTCTCTGCATTCGATTTGAAAGGGGAAAACCTTTTGCGGATTAGCTCTGTATCCAGACTCCACTGGACTTCTCTCTGGTAGTTTCTGTTCATTCGGTGGAATAATCCCGCTTTAGCTGTCGCTTCACTCCCGGAACCATCGTTTTCTGTTTATTATTTGTTATTCTTTCGGTAACCTTTGTCTCGTACACCTTCCTCTCTTTGGTACTCATCTGGTGCCACTTTTCGGCTGCCTTCTGCGCCAACCTCCTCTCGCAGCGAGATTTAAAGTGGCGAAGGAAATTCATGAATGGGCTGTTCGATGGGTTACTCCGTCGAGTTGGTGTCTGCTGCCTCTTCGGACTAGATGGTGCTTTTTGGGTCTTCTTTGGCCTGGCCATTGTTTGCTAATTCATAAATAGATACACGGGGAATTTCGTATTGAACTGGGAATTTCGATTGTAATCCAGATACGATTTCTAGAAATAATCTCTACTGCCGCAGAGCCAACTTGGGAAATAAATAGTTCATGAAATATACGAACAGTGGTGTGGGGTGTGTTGGGGAATGAACAATACATTTTATCTCAAATATGGAGATACTTCAGCGTTACCAATCAAAAACTTTACGACACATTGTCAATGCGCCGTTTTACATATCTAATGCAACTATCCACAAAGATCTTAATATTCCAACCATTAAAGAAGAAATAAAGAAAACTAGTAAGAAATACATCGACATACTCCACAACCATGAAAATAATTTAGCCTTAAGTCTATTAGACATTAGCTTAACAGTAATAAGACTGAAAAGATACCACATTCTCGATCTCCCCGATAGATAAATCCAACAAACTGAAAGAATGTTACATATAATACAAATAAATAATAATATTTCTGTTNAACAATGTCCAGTTCAAGTGATCCAAGTGATCACATCCATCCATAGGATCATCGATCCTCCACTAATCACTCTTTAATAAATAATCGCCAAATACAACCGGAAATATCCTTCTCTGCATTCGATTTGAAAGGGGAAAACCTTTTGCGGATTAGCTCTGTATCCAGACTCCACTGGACTTCTCTCTGGTAGTTTCTGTTCATTCGGTGGAATAATCCCGCTTTAGCTGTCGCTTCACTCCCGGAACCATCGTTTTCTGTTTATTATTTGTTATTCTTTCGGTAACCTTTGTCTCGTACACCTTCCTCTCTTTGGTACTCATCTGGTGCCACTTTTCGGCTGCCTTCTGCGCCAACCTCCTCTCGCAGCGAGATTTAAAGTGGCGAAGGAAATTCATGAATGGGCTGTTCGATGGGTTACTCCGTCGAGTTGGTGTCTGCTGCCTCTTCGGACTAGATGGTGCTTTTTGGGTCTTCTTTGGCCTGGCCATTGTTTGCTAATTCATAAATAGATACACGGGGAATTTCGTATTGAACTGGGAATTTCGATTGTAATCCAGATACGATTTCTAGAAATAATCTCTACTGCCGCAGAGCCAGCTTGGGAACTGAATAAATAGTTAATGAAATATACGAACAGTGGCGTGGAGTGTGTTGGGGGATCTCTAAATTAATTCCCAGCGATCTGCTACACTCGTAGTATGGGTATTCCGAGCTGAAATCAATTGGCTACGCCTTGGCTGCCCCTCCGCAACAATGTCAATGTCAGGGGAACGAGTGGAGGCTGCTGGGATTTGGCATGGATCATCAATCATTTGGGATGTGCTTATGATGTTCACCCATGATTGATAGGTGCTATCGGAGAGTTCGTTCAATGAGTGGCGATTTTTTGTGTGACAGATTGCTGATGCCAAGTCGAGACAGCGACTCATTGCTCCCATTCATGGAGAGCATTTTGGGAGCGTAATGCCAGTGCAATTGTTGACCTTTGGCGGTTATGAGAATAAAGCATGGTGGCTAATTCGATAATGGGTCGCCCCACACGCCACAAGCTTCGTTGCGACATCGCTGACACGCAACGCCAACCCAGAGGCAGGGGAGAACCAGAGGCAAGAACCCAGCACCAAAGCACAGATCAGAGAGCACAGAGCACAGAGCACAGAGCACTCCACTCAGTGTTTCGTATACCTGCGACATGATTGGATCATTGTTGCTGGCTGTGTGCACATTTGGGGCGCTGCTTTATGCCTTTCTGGTGTGGAACTTTGGCCACTGGCGTCGACGGGGTGTCAGGGAGCCGCGGGCGCTGCCACTGCTGGGCTCGTTCCCCAACATGGTCTGGCCACGGCAGCACTTTACCATGGACATGCGGGACCTGTACATGTGAGTGGCACAGAGAGAGAGAGAGAGAGAGAGGCCAGTCATCCGAGGAGCTTAACTCTTACAGGAAATACCGCGAAACGGATAGCTACATTGGCACGTATCTGCTGAGATCACCGAAGTTGCTGCTGCTGGAGCCGCGGCTGGTCTATGAGGTGTTTGTCAGTGCCTTTCGGCACTTTGAGGACAATGATGCTGCCCGCATGGTGGACACTGGCAAGGATGTGCTCGTCTGCTGCAATCCGTTCGTGCTGTTGGGCAACGAGTGGCGCCAGCAGCGCGCAATCTTCTCCAGTCTGCTGACCAACGGGCGCATTCGCACCACCCACGCCATCACGCAGCGCGTCTGTCGCGATTTGTGCGACTTTATTGCCAGGGAATCGCTCAAGGGAGAGCCACAGGACGGGATGGATGTGAGCTGGTGGAAGCTCTCCACGCACTGATGAACTTCATCTGAATCTCTCGCTTCTTACAGCTCGGCCTGCGCTTCACCGGCGATAGCCTCTTCGACTGTGTGCTGGGCATTCAGGCGCGCTGTTTCAGCGACTCCCCGCTGCCCGTGATCCGGCACAATCGAGAGATGTCCAACGAGAATCCCGGCCTGGCCATTGCCGGCGCCCTCAATGGCTTGTTTCCACGCCTGCCCCGCTGGCTGCGGCCCAAGATCTTTCCGCGCTCCTACGATCGCTTCTTCGGGGATCTCATCCAGCAGGCCTTCCGCCTGAGACGTGGCCAGCACCAGGAGCGGAATGACTTCATCAATCATCTGCTGGCCCTGAAGCGGGAGCACGGACTGACCGAGCCGCAGCTCACATCGCATGCCATGACCTTTATGTTTGATGGCCTGGACACCACCTCCTCGACCATCTCCCACTGCCTGCTGCTGGTAAGCAAAGTAAACATTTGCGAGGGGGACTTACTCTTCTTTTGCTGTTGCTGTTGCTGTTGCAGCTGGGACGATATCCGGAGTGCCAGCAGCGGCTGTGCGAGGAGCTGAACAAGGCCAGTCCCACGAAGGAGCTGCCCGACTTGGATGCGCTGAATGATTTGCCCTATCTGAGTGCCTGCTTCAATGGTGAGTGCCACAAGGGACTCAGAGACTACCCCTAATGGTGTGCGTCTTCCCAGAGAGTTTGCGCATCTATCCCGCCGGCGGATGGGCCTCAAAGACCTGCACCGAGGCCTACAAGCTGCAGGGCAGCCACCACAGTCAGCCGCTGCAGATGCTGCCGGGCGACAACATCATGATACCCATCTATGGGCTGCATCACGATCCACAGTTCTATCCGGAGCCGGAGGAATTTCGACCCGAACGCTTCCTGGACGGTGGCCTAAAGCGCTACAAGCAAATGGGCGTCTTCCTGGGCTTTGGCAATGGACCGCGCCAGTGCGTCGGAATGCGTCTGGGCCTGGCCCAGGCCAAGGCTGCTCTGGCGGCCATTGTGCAGCGTTTCGAAGTGCGAGTCAATCCACGCACCGCCGAGGGTCTCGAGCTGGATCCGTATATATTTGTGGGTTGCCACAAGGGCGGCATCTGGCTGGATTTTGTCGCACGGCAGGTTTAGGTCTTTAGGTTTTTAGGTTTTAGGTTTTAGGTTTTAGGGTTTTGCTTTCCAAACAGTCTTTCGGTTGAGATCAATAAAAATTAGCTGGCAATCATTTACAAGTAATGGGTTCAATCTGTCTGTCTGTTTTCGATTCGAGCCTCAATGCATTCATTGATTGGGGACTTATGACATCGAGAGATTGCCACAAACAGAGGCGATTCAACGGATGACTACACAAGGGCCTAGATCCGGTTGGGTGTTGTCTCCAACGCCCATTTGTGACCTTGATTTTAATGCATATACTTAAGGGCCGGTTCAGCAAATTTCTAAAGCATTTCTGAGCGAAGAAAAACAGAGGGAAAAAAGTTTAAATTTTAGGCTCTCATAAAACTGAACATATTTCACGCAAAAGGTTGCATTCAAGTGAAGGATTTTTAAACTTAATTGAAAGTTAATAAATGGCAATTAATTGTATGATTTTTTTGCAGCTAAAGGTACCAAATTTGCCTGAAAACTTTCATCATTTCTGCCTCAATTATCTGGTAGCCAATGCAGAAGATGCGTAAATCAAATATAAGTCAGTTGAGTCTGGTTTTATGGTAGGTTGGCAAACCTACACAAACCTTTCACAATGAAAACCAATTGAAAACCCATCAAAAAGATGCCACAATGAAGGTCACAGCTAGACACGCCTTCGGGCTAACCCAAGAGATCACACACACAGAGAGAGAGAGAGAGAGAGAGGGAGAGAGAGAGATGAGGGTTCCCCCCAACTCCCCACTCCAGTCACAGTTTAAAAATCAAATTATTTACATATATATATATTTATAAATTTATTAGGTAAGAAATTCGATTCGTTGGCAGCTGTTTTTGTTGCATGCAAATGACTTCGATTTGGACTGCGATTGCGATGGGGATTCGGATTGGATTCGGGGGACTGGAATTTCAACAGAAAATGCATGCGAAATGAGGCATTAACAATAAACGACAACATCAACAAATAAAAGCGGTTGGTGGATGATGAAAATTAACAACTAATCAGTGCTAGAGCGTATCCGCTTGGGTCCAAGCCGTTCCCAACAGCTCTTACAGACCTTTGGGCACCGGGAACAGGCGCAGTGTCTTGCCAGAGGTGGAGGATGTGGATGTGGCGGGTGTCTGACGCACAATGCGTGTCCTGGGACGCGGTGGCAGGTATCCATTGGCTCCATTGTTGCGCACAATCTGGGCTCTCAGTGGCTGTGGGACATAGGCCTGCACATCGTCGTAGATATTCACCGTCTGTACGTGACTCTCGACGCCGCTGTGCGCGTCCTGGGTGACCACCTTGACGACATGATGGTGCCCATGGGGCTGCTCATTGGTCGCGCCCAGAATCTTGATCGTTTTGACGCCGGCCTGATCGATTGTCTCCAGCACCTTGAAGGTACGCACCGCATGGGGCTTGACAATCTGCACAGTGCGCACGCGGGAGCTACCGCGATGTGGTGCCGGTGCTGGTGCCGCAGCCATGGCCACATTCACAGCCACCTGCACATCCTTTGGCATGAACTTCTGCAGCGATTGCTGCGCCCTCAGGCTCAGAGTGGGTGCCGGGCCAACTGGCAGCAGTTTCTGGGTAATCACTTGGTGCCTGGCCTGTGGCTGTGGCTGTGCCTGCACCACGCGATGATAATGATGATGCAAATGATGCTGCTGACGTGGCACGGCATTGCGCACATATGACATGGCTGGGGCATAGAAGCGGGGACGCTTTGACTGCTCACGGTACATGGGAGCCACCTCGATGACCTGCTGCTGGTAATGTTGCTGCTGATGCTGCTGATGCTGTTGCTGCTGCTGCTGCTGCTGGCGGAATGCCACTGGTTGGGCATAGCGGGCAAAAGGCTGCACCGTATTCATGTAGCTCCTCAGCGAATGGATGTGCGTCACCTGGGTGGGAGCTGGAGCACGGACAGCCACTGGTGGCAGGTAACCAGCAGCGTTGTACTGCTGCTGCTGCTGCTGTTGCTGTTGCTGCTGTGCTCGGTAAGTGGTGGCCGTGGATGTTGCTTGGACAATGGCAACTGGGGCTGCAGCCACAGCTGGTGCTGGAACCGGAGCAGGAGCTGGCAGTGGGGACGCAACAGGAGCTGCAGCGGGAGCAATAGCCACTGGTGGCAAGTAGCCAGGAGTTGTGTACTGTTGTTGCTGGGGCTGTTGCTGTTGCTGCTGCTGCTGCTGCTGTTGCTGTTGCTGTTGCTGTTGCTGCTGCTGCGTGCGATAAGTGGCTGTGGCTGGTGCTGGAGCGGGAGCTGGCTGTGGAATGGAGATGGAAACTGGAGCTGCTGTCTGCACAGAAACTGCTGCACCTGTTGGTGGCAGATACCGAGGAGCTGTGTACTGGTGCAGTGTCTGGTGTGCGCCTGTTGCCACCAACTGTTGTTGTTGCTGCTGCTGCTGTTGTTGGAACTTTGGACGGCCATAGACAATATCGGATCCCTGCTGCTGGTTAGAAACCTGCAATTGAGATTGCACCACAATCTGCTGCTGGTGCAATTGCTGCTGCTGCACTTGCACTTGCTGCTGCTGCTGCACTTGTTGCTGCTGCACTTGCTGCTGCTGCACTTGCTGCTGCTGCACTTGCTGCTGCTGCACTTGATGCTGCTGCACTTGCTGCTGCTGCACTTGCTGCTGCTGCACTTGATGCTGCTGCACTTGCTGCTGCTGCACTTGCTGCTGCTGCTGCTGCACTTGCTGCTGTTGCTGTTGCTGCTGCAATTGCAGTTGCAACTGCTGCTGCTGCTTGAGCAATTTCGTCTGTGTCTGCAGGCTGTGCAGCTCGGCAATGGCTGCCTCCGCGTTCTCGGGCTTCTCAAAGTCATAGCCATCGGGCAGTGCCACAGTTTGACTCTGGCTGACAGTGGCCTGAGTGGGTGCAACAATCAATTGCTGCTGCTGTTGTTGCTGCTGCGGCTGCTGGTAGATGATGTTCGCCTGTGGCTGCTGCTGCTGCTGGGGCTCATCGTAGCCGGGTGGTAGGTAGCCAGGAGCACGGTAATCGCCGACAACTTGCTGAACAGGAGCAACATGCTGGACAGGAGCAACATGCTGGACAGGAGCAACATGCTGGACAGGAGCAACATGCTGGACAGGAGCAACATTCTGGACAGGAGCAACAGACTGGGACTGGGACTGGGACTGTATCAGCGATAGTGGGATTCTATCGGGATTCTCAAAGTCGTAGCCAGGTGGCAGATATCCAGGTGCATGATAGTCTTGTGCTGCTGCAGGTGTCTGCTGTTGCTGTTGCTGGACTTGCTGTTGCACTTGCTGCTGGACTTGTTGCTCCACTTGCTGCTGCTGTTGAGGTGGCAGATAGGAAGGAGCATTGTAGTCGGCCAGGCTGGTGGCTGTGCTGTGTGCCTGGATTGATGTGGTGGCAGTGGCAGTGGCAGTGGCACTGCTGCTGGTAGTAGGTGGCAGATAGGCAGGAGCACTGTAGACATTCTGTTGCTGTTGCTGTTGTTGCTGTTGGGGATAGGACACTGTGGGAGGCAGATAGTCGGGTGCCCGATAGTTTGTTTGTGTAACTTCCGTGGCAGTGGCAGGTGGCAGATATCCAGGAGCCTCATAGCTTTGCTGTGAGTATTGCTGCTGCTGCTGCTGCTGTTGCTGCTGCTGTGTCTGCACACTGGGCGTGGCGGAAGTAGGAGGCAGGTAGGGCTGAGCGCCAAAGACAGAGGAGGATGACTGAGCGACAGCCAATGGCTGCGTACGCTGGAAGTTATGCTGATAGCTTGAAGGGAAGGGCACGGCAACGGAAACGGATGCTGGAGCTGGAGCAGCAGATGGAGCTGCTGCAGCAGCCTGGGCATGCGACTGCAGGCCTAAGCTGAGGAAAGACACATCCAGACTGTCATCCTGGGTCTGAGCTTGAGACTGAGACTGAGCCTGAGGCTGAACCTGAACCTGTGCCTGGGTAGGACGGGTGCGGGCAGCCTGCTGATAGGGCGGCAAATAGGCGTTGCTCTTGCCCTGATAGTGATTGTGCACCTCAAATATTTGATAGCCAGAATTGGCGTAGTTGCTCTCCTGGAAGCCAGCACCAGCGCTTTGGCCGCCGCCCGTCTTGTAGTACTGCTCCTTGATGATCAGCGGCTGTTGTTGCTGCTGCTGCTGCTGCTGCCGTAGCTTGAGTGATATATCCGCTTGGGTTAATCCACAGGTCGCGCAAATGGCGAGCGCAAAGAAGGCGCCAAAGAACTTAACGGGGAAAACAAACGAAAACAAGAACCAAAAACGAAACGAAAAAAAAAACGAAAAAACGAAAAAACGAAAAACGATTTTGTAAGCACAGCAAATAATAATCACAGTAAAAAAAAGAATATGATTTACAGAAATAATATCACTTAATGGTATTATGTAGTTTGTGTCCTTAAATTTGATTCACTAATTTCACTGGCAATCCTTTTTTCGTTGTGTGGCACTTACATTCATCGTCGCGTTGGTCGTGCTTAAGCCCTCGATGTCCAACCGTTCAATGATGGACCAAACTGACCTGCTCACGCATTTTATACAAAGGCAACCTCTGCCTCAGCCGAACCCAGATACAAGTCGTCGCGGCTCATCTTCATTCACATCTTCATTCACATTCACGACATCTCCATAGCCCTTTCCCCCACCAAACCTACGATCATCATCTTCCATCATCTTTTGCTAATTCCCATCTAGCGACACGATCGCTCGAGTTTTTGGGGCTCGTTCGGCTGTTCGGACTTCGGGCTGTTGCTGTTGTTGGGCGCCTGCGCAACAAAATCAATTGGCCGCCATGCAGATCGTATCGGATTGGCTCGTACTCTCCGTTCAGGGCGGATGTAATTAATACGCCTTCTCCCCAACCAAGCCATGTGCCGCATCAGTCATCTGTTCTCTCTCTCTCTCTCTCTCTCTCTGTCTCCTTGCATAACCACATCGACATGCATTTGTTTGTAATTTGAATTTCCTGCTAGTCGTCGCAGTTTTGCATTTCGATTTCACACGCACATTTTGCATACGAGTCGAGTGGCTATCGATCGACCAAGGGGGGTGCTTCATTTCGCAAATGTTTGATAAATATTTGCAAAAAGAAATATCCAAATTATTACATCTGTCATTAGTATTCATTAGGGGTCAGGAGGCCACAGCCATGAATTAAACATGCCTTGATAAGCATATCGCCGCATCTTCGACCCATGGATTCAAGCTCCCGTCCATAGCTGGCGGCCGCCTCCTGGCATCTGTCTTTGTCTTTTGTGAAGACTCTCAAAAGACGGGAACATCTTGCTTCCCATCCTGCTGAAGTGTAATTGAATTTATTTATTGTATATCCTATTTTCGTGGACTGTAGTTAATGCCGTGTTCTGCCTCAATTACTTCCGGTTACAACAATCAATGATTAATCGAAATCCAAGTAAACATTTGCCTAAACACACGCTTAAAATAAAAGAGAAATATCCAATTTACAGCTTGGTAGAAAGGAAAAGGTCTTGTAAGCTTCTTAAACGCATTTCGTGGCAATCTCCATTCATCTTTTCACGATCGAATCGCACCAAAAGTTGCATCAGCTTGATCTGTGACATCTTTCCGCAGTAGGTTTTCCACTGCAACATTTATCTTCTTTATTTTCCCATGGCGCTCGCTCTTGGCTTTCCCCCAGCCAGCCAGCCAGCCAGCCAGCCAGCGCAGAGCATCATTAAATTTCTGGGACAACCTTGACCCATCTTCTGATTCAAATATTTTATGCATACTTGGCGGGCCAGCCAATGCATACATTTGAATGTGTGCTAAGCGACGATGATGATGGCTAACAAGTTGGTCAACACAAAAAGCCCCCGAAAGCAAGAGAAAGACAGAGAGAGAGAGAGAGAGAGACTGTCTCGGAACCCGATCTGGCCCAGCCATGCAAATAATTGAATTGATTCGAATTGAATGGAATTGAAATGAATTCAATTGAATTTGAAATATTGATGGGGCCTTCACGGCAAAAACAAAGGTGGGGCAGTGGCTCCCATCCCATCTATTCCGATCCGATCAAGCTTTTGAGTGTTAACTGATTAAATACAAAACTATTCAAACAGTCGTTCATTTGTTTTACGATCTTACGAGTGCTATGGATTTCATAACCCAAAAAAGGCCGTTTCATCAGTGTTTCTATTCGAACAAAAAATCGTTTATTGGGAGTTTTGGCTTCTTTTTGAGAACTTGTCATACAGACATTAGCGGCGCTAATGGAAGGAGACGCTGGAGGCGGACACCATTCTCCCAAATACGGCCAAAGGGGCAATGGTGCACAGGTTGACTTTTGGCGTGCAGTTCTCATGACACTCTCGGTTGCCTCAGAGGAGAGAGAGAATTAGAGTTATATACTCGTAAATATATAATTAAAATGTAAACATTGTGGAATTATTACAACGACAACTGATTGGAGATATGTAGCTGTAAAATAGTACAGTTTGGAAATTGCTTGACCAAAAATTGAATTGAAAATTAATAAATTAAATAAATATAACTTGTTACTGTCTGAAAGATAGGCTGGAACGAAGAGTACAACAATGAAATATTTTCTGGCTGCCCAAATTCTCCAATTAAATGGACCCGAATTATGTAACAAATTTCCTCGCCTGCAGCTGGGAGGCTCTTTCCTAAGCCCATCCCCAATCTTCGATTCTTTTTGGCCAATTTAAATTAGCATTAAATATTTATCTGTATATGAATACTCTTACATATTTATTGATTTATGCTCTGGGGCTTGGGGTGTGTTGCAGTTGGTTGGCATAAGAGCCCACGAAATTCGATATGCATATTCCCTGCCTTGTTAATTATTTAATTTCTCCCCTACTTACCTCTCTCACTCTCTCTCTCTCTGTCCCTCTATTGGAAATTAATACATTCACATTAACAAACATCGCGGACCATTAGAGGGCCACTCGGAGGGTCGATTTACATACTTATTGTTTATGCATATTGTTGAGATATTTATCAATATTAAATTTGTGCCATATCCAAGGGCTGGCGGGCAGTGGATCTGTCGAATGGTGGCTGGGGGCATCTGCAACTGACATACGAGTAGTAACACCAAAAGCAACAGGTTGCAGCGCAGCAATCAGAAGCAGGGGGGCCTCCGTCAAAATATTTGGCAAAGAGCCGCAGAGGCTGATGAAAATCAACAAAAACATACAACAAAAGCGAAAAGAAAAACAAAATGAAAAGGCAAACAACAGAAATGATTATGGAGGAGGATGATCCAAGAGTTGTAACAAGTAATTAGTTAAATAATACAAATAGTTAATGAACAATACATGAAATATATGTTTCCAAGTTAAAGTTAACAAATCTTTAGTACATATTTGCCAACACATATGATTCCCTCCCTCATGCTTGCTAAAACTTATGGAACCGCCCTCGCAGCAGTGACGGATGAGCTAATTGATACATAAAGCATGGAGGAGAGGATCGTCTGCGAAGCGACAGCGAAAGCGACGGCGACAACGACGGCGATCGGGGCAGCCAAAGCGGCGACCGATTACTGCCAAAATAGAGCCGAAGACATGCGCAGAGGCAGTCAGTGGAGGAGGGGAAACAAACGGCAGATGCACAGATGAAGGGGAACAGGGGAAATAGGAAGTTTGAGGCGTGTTCAAGTTTTAGCTTGTGGCAGGGCAGGGAGCATAACACAGTCGATTGTCATTGATTGCCATCATCAGTGATCCGAGCTTGAAATGAAACTGAAACTGATTTGTATTTGCATTTGGAGGAATAACTCGGGTTCGGTTTCCATGCGACAGAGTTGATTACGGTTTAATGGGGGAACTCTTCCGACTGACTTATCGAACTGTGACCCCATTGGGCCTGGACACGTGTAAGCTGCAGCAAGTTTTTATGCATAATTACCATGAAAAATGTGCCTGAGGTTTGATTAACCCAGATGTGACACCAATTAATCTCTTGACGGATCGATCGTTGAGATCTAATAGCTGCTCTGCTGGCAATTCATTTACAAGTGTCCTTCAGCTACTGCATACTACTTCGCACCTTGCCTTTCACGTGGCTGGCTCAGGGCTTTGAGGCCTTCATTTTGTTGATACTCGCACCAAACAACAAAACATCAAAAGTGGGGGAATAACCACAAAAAAAATACACATGTGCTACAGAGCGCCAACATTGATGAGAGATTTAGCCAATAACCATACGATCGTAATTGTGGGTGCAGATAGCTATTATTTGCTCTGCTAATATTCCATAGATACTCATAAATACTCATAGAAATTATGAGTTGTACATAAGCATCTTCAAATCCTAAGCCAGCAATATGTATAAACTGACTATTTGTCCCAATTTGTTTTCATATGGTTTTTGGCGGTGACAATAGATTTTATTGATTGTTTTGCAGTCAATTTTGAGCTACCATAATTTGGCATCAACAATGAAAGCTCCAATGACAGCTCCAATAACAGTTAATAAGATTTATTGCGTGTGGAGCAGCTGTTAGCGCAACTGCCTGCCGAATGGCATTATCGTTCGAAATTTTTGCATAATATAAAAACAACGAGAAGGGACGTGTGAGACGCTTCTTACGCGTCACAACCTTTATACCCGCCACTCAGTACTACAGATGCACCTTAGCGGTGTTTTGTCAAATTTTAAATTTTTTCTTCATCTGTCATCTACATCTACAATACTTCTCACACCAACACGCTCCTTTAGCTCGCCGCCCTTCCCTAGACCCACACACTGCAGACTCGCGGCAGAGGCAGAGGCAAATATAACAAATATAAGCTGCGGGACGGGGTGGGTTAAAGTCGGCAGACGCAGCTGCAGAGGAACGGCAGAGTGTGAATGAAAGAATGTGAAAAAAACATATATAAGCTGCGGGACGGGGTTTAGCCACTGCAAATTAATTTCTATATTCTGGCTATAATAATGGTCCAATCGGATCATCAGATATGGTCATTAACTACGGAATGTCGTTTTTGGTTTTCTTTTATCTTCAAAATTTTAGATTTTTGAGGTTTTCGCCCTTTTGCTGGGGCGGAAGGGGGCGGTGCTAATTTTTTAAATACATAAGTCCGGAGCCAAAATTTGGTGGCGCTTGCTCTTATAGTCTCTGAGAACTAGCCGACAAACAAGACGGACAGACTCGGCTATTAAAGCTGATCAAGAATATATATACTCTATTTGGTCGGAAACGTTTCTTTCTGTGCGTTACATACAAACGTTATTCCCCACAAATACAATATACCCTATTTACTCTTTGAGTACCGGGTTTAAAAATTTAGCTAATATTTATTGATTGCATAATTATAAACGTTTAGTAACCATGCAGTCTCATTAGCATACATAGATAAATGAACATGAAAACCCATAGAAAAGCAAATCTTATCTATCATCGAAAGAACTAAAGATCATGCTCACCCCAGAAGCGATATAATGAAATTATCGCAGATCTACGGAAAGCAATCCACAGATGATAGAATATCCTGTTGCAAGATTAATGCATTCATATACTAATTCAATATGAATTCCCAACACTTTTAATACGAGCATTTATTAGCCCTTTGGCTAAATGCTCAATCATGAATAACGGCATAAGCCGTAAAACTGTTATTAATTTTGTATTAATTCATAATCGCCATCAGAAGTTAACATGATTTAATAAATCAAATTAAATTATTTTAAATTTTTATTCCCACCAATATAAGGTTTTTTTTTAATTGGTAAAAAGTTGACAGATTTAAGGTTAAAGAATTTTAAACCCACAACTCACAACTGATTGATCAGGTAGGCCTGCCATTTTCTATCAACTTTCAGGAAATCATTTTCATTTGCCTTATTCGCTTTAACAGTAAAGGGAAATTTTTTTAAAATGGGTCTCAAGGATAAGATGTTATATTTTTACTGTCGCCACAGGCCTTCAAAGAGCAACGTGCAAATTGCCACTGCCTTGTAAGTACAAACAAGATAACAAAATCAAATATACAATAAAGGATTATGGAATCCACGAAATATTTAATGGGAAATGCAAAGTTAAGTTACCAGCGCTTCCATCAATTTCTTATGGGGCTGCCAACTTGTTCTTGGCAGCAACTGCACTTTGCTCTTTCTTTTGGTAATTTATTTATTTTTCAAATGTTTACACCCCGTAGTATGCCTTCGGCTGGATATTTTGGAGCTGCTGCCCTGTTGACTTTGGTTTACTACACCGATTGGAAGGTAATTGCCGGCTATATTCCACTCTACAACACCAAATTCCCAAAGCCCGAAGGGAAGGAAGCCAAGTAAAGGGAAAATGGAAGCTGCAGCAAAAACAGTGAGTGCAAAATGATTTATTTATACAGAATGTACATATGTTCAATTGTTTGTAAATGATTGCAGTTCAAGACCACAAACGAAACAAAAACAAGAATTACTCACATACTCTCTCAACTAGAAAATCGAAATACGAAGACAATCGAAACAAAAACAAGAATTTATCGTTCCAGACTCTCTCTCAACTAGCAAATATAAATACGAAGACATATATTGTAGTTCAAGACCACAAACGAAACAAAAACAAGAATTACTCCCCTACTCTCTCAACTACAAATCGAAATACGAAGACATGTGAGAATCCAACAGTCGTCTGCTACAGCCAATTGCAGCAAACAAATAAGTTCAAAACATTTCTTCAATTATGTTCAATACTTATACGATTAATTTACATGAAGACAGGCAGAGCCCAACCGCTCAAAGTGGCCTCCTAGCCAGGATATCTAGCAATGGCAGCATTAATTTCACACAACAAACTGTTAGTTTTATCGGCGTTAAATAAACATGTGTTAAATTCCGATTTGAATTTTTATTGCACAGTAGCCTGATCGGCTGGTCATAGCGGAAGAACGCATGGAGGAACGACACACTGTCGGCCTTTTCAATCCCCTTTGACGATCTTTCACTGCATCCTTTGTGTGCATAAATCTAACAATAAAATCTAACCTATGTACTTTCGTAGACATACAAACTTCACAATCGAATTCTACTTGTATGGATTTGTGAACGTTTGCGATCCAGTTCCATATAAACGGATCTCTCCCAATTACATTTCCTCTCCCACAAACACGCACACTCGCACGCGCACAGGTACAATGTTGACACAGCTGTTTTGTCCCGCTATGTTTTCCGTTCGTGTGGCTTATTTTGGAGTGGAGGCAGCATGGAATTAATGGACACGACACCCCTCTGCTAGAAGAGAGAGAAATGGCACAATGAGCATAACTCACCCATTAAAAACAACCGCTATCTTCTTTTAGCTATCGAATTGTGGATTGCGTATATTTAAAAAAAAACATTCTGTTTCCGGGTGGGGTCAAACAACAAAAACTATTACATGTCATTGCGATTCGGTGTACGGTGTACGGTGAACGGGGGACGGGGGGCTGGGCTGCACCACACAAAAAGCTGAAGAAAGGCCCAAAGGGAATGGATACATTTGTGGATAAGGCGCCAAAAGGAACGGAACAAGGGCACTTATCGCAAGATTTTAAATTGAGAGAAAAGCTTATTTAATGCTTGCATGATGCACGTCCCTAAGCTCACACTCCTTCACGCTCCTCGCTCCTGACCAGGCGTTGACCGTGCTGGCGCGCACCGTGCGCCCCGTCTTTTGATGTCGGCGGCCCGTCTCCTACAGGCGGCCGTAGTGCGCCTGGCTGGGCTTGCGGTCCGTAAAGAAGTTGCGCAACACCATAATCTGGGTGATGCCGATGAGGACAACGGCGGCCGTCTCCAGAGATGACCAGACCATGACGCGCTGGTTGAGATCCTCGGCTCGCTTGCGTCCCTGCGCCTCGCGCAAGCGATGATGCGTCTGGGCATCTAGTATGTCGTTGAGGCCCTTGTGTATCGCCTGCGATGAAGTCTCCATCTGGGTGAGGACCGTGGCATGCTCGTCGACGCCAGGCAGGGCTGGCTCGTCGCCCACCTGGAAGTCCACGTAGACGATTTTGTGTGAAAAGGCCGAGAACTGGTTGCCAAAGCAGGCCGTGTACACGCCCGTTGTCTCGGCCACGAACTGGTGGCTATCGAAGGTGGCACGCTCCAGCTTGTAAATGACCTTGCCCTGCGGATCCTTAAGATGGACATCAACGTCCAGCTGGCCGCCGGCGGACACCTGGAATTCGAAATAGGCGCTTGTGTTGCGCTTGATCTCCTCGTAGAAGCAATCCTCCGCATTGTCGCCCAAATCGAAGGTGAACTCCACCCCAGCAGCGAACTGCAGCAGGGCGGCGGCTGCGAGCAAAGCCAGCACCAACTTGTCGGCGGTCTGTGTGTATCGTGCACTGCCCATTGTAATGGCTGCTGCTTGCTGCTATTTGGTATGCCGCTGGCTGGAACTAAACGTAGTCTTAACGCTGCTATGCGTCGGTATTCTCGAGTTGGGCACAGTTATCATCCGCTGCCACGCAGCAGCTGGCTGTGTCAAGTCCGAACTTCTTGTGAATATTGATGGGGTTGGGCTGTGTTGGTTGGCGCTTGCTTGCCGTACGCGGAAGACAGCAACTGCAAAGATGTACACGAACAGCGATAGGTTAGAACCTGGTTCACTTGATTTTCAGTTTTTTCTTACAATTTGACTTGTTTGTTTTGCGCAACGACTGATTTTTAGCCTACTTACGTCGTTTGTTTGCCAATTGTTAAATGCTTAAAAATTAAGAGCTAGATGAAAACACTAAAATGTTCTGACACGTGTCAACACTCTTTTTCGCGCATCCTTACCAGCACTGGAGGAACACGTATCTACTGTGCCGCCCTGGCAGAACAGCTGAGTTCAACTTCAATTCAATATATATGTTATATACGGTATATCGATATATAATGGTATATTTCATGAATTTTTTCCATCTAGTAAATACCATATATCAATATAGGGTATCGAAATTCCAATACGCATGATTTCAAATGTCCCTTAAGGATGTTCTCTCCATTCCGTTCGGATTTGTTTCTCTATATTGGGGGATTTTTCTATCGAGCATTATGGGATCCCCACATATGTATGTACATACGTTGAATTCCATTCCCACTTACGATTTTTACCGTGGGCAACATAAATTGGAAAACAACATGCTGCGAAAAGTGATCAGCATTACTGAATGAGCATCATTATGCTACCCTTGGGAAAACTAATATACTCTCATTGAGGAAATGTTGGAAATCTCAGGCTCCATTCAATGCAAAAACACGATAATCTGTGTTGGAGACCCATTTTAACGAAATTTTGCAGATTTTGAATACCGAGAATGTATGTAGATCGATATATGCATATATATACATTATATATACATAGAACACGTATGAAAAAGGTTGACAACAAGTCTAAACAAGGACTAAGCCTTAGACTCTAAGGTAAAGTTTAATGTTAAACAAAGTAAATGCTTAAGATCCGATTTGAAAACGAAATTCTAATATTAATTAAGGGAAATATGGTACACACATTCCCATATATTACCATACCACCGGTTAGCCAGCAACAAATGTAATGCTAGTTTATTAGTTTTCACCTTATTTTTCAAACAAGTCATAAAAACCTAGTCAATCTAGTGGAAAATTATTTGATGAACCAACTAGCTAGTAATATTAAGCAGAATATCAAAATCGAGGGCATTTTTGTGGTATACACCGTATATTCATGGTATATTTTAAAAATTAAATAGTATATTTAGGTATATTTGAGAGTGTCAGGAGGTATGTTTTATCGAAAATTCCGCTGTCACACTGATCAAATGAATCAAATTTCTTGCCTAACAGATTCGATATATACAATTTCCCAGAAATAACAAAACAACGTCGAGACTAGCGTGAGCAAATCATAGATAACAATTGCCGCCATGCCCGCAAGCAAGTCGGGCCCAAGTGTGGCAGTGATACCGGCAGAGAAACCGGAAACCGCGACAACAAACTCGTCCCATGCTGCCGCCGACGTAGCGGCAGCCGCCACAACAACATCAGAAGCAGCCCCAGAGGCGTCACCGAACGGTGGCGATGATGCTGCCAAAGAGGCGGAGGAGCGGGAAGAATTGCGTCTGTTCATCCACGAGCTGAGTGAGAAAATAGAGAGCAAGCGACTGATGCGTCAGCAAAATGCGAACATTGAGCTGCCCGGCGAGGAGTTCTTTGCCCGCCTCGACTCCAGCCTCAAGAAGAACACGGCGTTTGTAAAGAAGCTGAAAATGTTCACCACCACGCAGCTGGACCCGCTGCTCCGGGAGCTGTCCGCCTTGAATCTGAGCAAGTACATATCGGAGATATGCGCCGCCCTGGCGGAGGCCAAGCTCAAGATGAACGATGTGCCCTCGGTGGTGATGCTGTCCTCGCGCCTTCACGCCACCTACGTGGACTTTGACACACACTTCCTGGAGGCCTGGCAGAAGGTGCTGAACATCAAAGGCGAGAAGATTGGCAACCCGAGCAAGTTGCGCGTCGATCTGCGCCTCTTTGCCGAGCTCATCAGCTCGGGTGTTATCCAGATGAAGCCCGGCCTGGCCCTGTTGGGCATGGTGCTCGTCCAGCTGATCGGCCAGGACAAGGACGGCCACAACAACTTCTCGATTATACTCTCTTTTTGCCGTCACTGCGGCGAGGAGTACGCCGGCCTGGTGCCACAGAAGATGCAACAGCTGGCCCTCAAGTATGGCGTTGAGGTGCCCAAATCCGATTTCCTGGTCGCGGACAAGCAGGCAAATCTGCGCACCATGCTCAAGGGCTACTTCAAGGCATTGTGCAAGCATGTCCTGGCCGAGCAGACCGAACTGATGAACATGACCAAGAACATACGCCGCACGATGGAGTGCAAGGGCGAGATTTCATCGGAGAAGCGCGAAAAGTGTGAAATGATGCAGGCGAGCTTCGACAAGCTGCTGGCCAGTGCCCAGACCCTTTCGGAGCTGTTGGCCGAGCCGCTTCCGGAGCTGGCCAAGGAGTCGGAGTGCTGCAGTCCGGGCACAGTGATTGACAACATGCTGGACAGTGCCGCATTCGGGGTGCTCGATCCTTGGGGTGACGAGGAGACGCGTGCCTTTTACACAGATCTGCCCGATCTGCGCCAGTTTCTGCCCGACTTCTCCGCCCCCAAGGTGGACCTGGAGACCATGGAGGAGCCCAGCGAGCTGACCGAAGAGGCCATCGATGCCAATCTGGATGCCGAAATGGACATTGATGATCCACCCTCCACCAATTCGGATCCGCCATCCGAGAGCACTGCCGACGACCAGCCGCCACCCGGCACGCCACCCCTGCTGCTGGCTCCTGCTTCGGGCACCTCGTCGAACGACCTGAAGCCTCAGAAAATGTGCAGCGCTCTGATGGAGCTGGGACGCCAGCAGCTGCAGAGCCAGCCCCAGACGACGGCCCAAACGCAGCAACAGATACGACAGCAATTCGATATATTTCTCGTGAATCTCTTCAACTGCGTCAACAAGGAGCTCATCGACTCGGCGGCCATCGAATTTCTGCTCAACTTTAACACAAAGCCTCAGCGCAAGAAGCTGACCCGAACGATATTCTCGGTGCAGCGCACCCGCCTGGATATTCTGCCCTATCTGTCGCGCTTCATGGCCATCGTGCACATGTGCAACACCGACGTGGCCGCCGATCTGTCCGAGCTGCTGCGCAAGGAATTCAAGTGGCACATACGCAAAAAGAATCAGCTGAATATCGAGTCGAAGCTGAAGATAGTCCGCTTCATTGGCGAGCAGGTGAAGTTCGGTCTCTTCAAGAAGTTCGATGCCCTCGGGTGCTTGAAGATGCTGCTGCGTGACTTTCAGCATCATCAGATCGAGATGGCGTGCGCCTTTGTGGAGGTGACCGGCGTCTATCTGTACAATTGTCGCGACTCTCGTCTACTGATGAACGTCTTCCTCGATCAGATGCTGCGCCTGAAGCTGGCCACGGCCATGGACTCACGTCATGCGGCCCAAATTGAAAGTGTCTACTATCTGGTGAAGCCGCCAGAGTCGTCCAAGCGCGAGTCGGCGCCACGTCCCGTCATACACGAGTACATACGCCACCTGATCTTTGAGGAGCTGTGCAAGCAGAACGTTGAGCGTTGCATCAAAAATCTGCGTCGCATCGACTGGCTTGATCCGGAGACCAGCGGCTATGCCATCAAGTGCCTGAGCAAAGCATTTCTATTGCGCTTCCCACTCATCCGCTGCCTGGCCGATCTGGTGTCCGGCCTCAGTTCATATCAGCCCCGTGCCGTCACCATTGTCATTGACAATGTGTTTGAGGATATACGCGCCGGTCTCGAGATTCATTCGCCGCGCATGGCACAGCGCCGCATAGCCATGGCAAAGTATTTGGGCGAAATGTACAATTATAAGCTGGTGGAGTCCACACACATTCTGAACACTCTTTATTCAATTATCTCGCTGGGTGTGTCTACGGATCAGAGTGTGCCATCGCCGCTAGATCCACCTGAGAGTCTGTTTCGCCTGAAGCTAGCCTGCATGCTGCTCGACACATGTGGCCCCTACTTTACCAGCCAGGCCACGCGCAAGAAGTAAGCCACGAAGGGGGCAAGGGGAAGACACTCAATCACTCACTGAATCACTTTCTTTCTTTTGCTTCAGGCTGGACTATTTCCTGGTGTTTTTCCAGCATTATTATTGGTTCAAAAAGTCACACCCTGTGTTCTGTAAGGATAATGAGAGCTCAGCGAATCTATTTCCCATCCTGGTCGATCACACATATCGCGACTGCCTGGGCGTTGTGCGTCCCAAGCTGAAGCTCTACACAAGCCTGGAGCAGGCCAAGGAGGCCATCGATCAGCTGCAGGAGAGACTCTTCCCCAATCTGAAATCGTATGCCAGCAATCCCAATTTGGTCAGTGAGATCAGTGAGCTGGACGAAGGCGTAAGTAGATCCATTGCCGCATTCTGGATTCCCTTGATTGAATTTGATTATTTTGTTCGCAGCCCACTGACGAGGATTCGGGCAGCTCGAATGATCAGCGAGAGCGACAGGTGGCCGGCTTGGAGCCGGAGCAAAGCAACGAATGTACTGAGAATGAGACAGATGCTCCAATGGGTCCACCGCCAGCGCCGGAGTGGTCCAAGGAGGACTTGGACTTTGAGCAGCAATACGAGAGAATGACTACCGATTCGTATCAGGAGCGGCTGAAGGAGCCCGTCAAGGCAACTGCCAAGGACATACCCGTGCCCATGATGGCGCGTCTGCAGAAGAAATCCTACGATCAGATCACAGCCGGCCAGATCTCAAAGGTGAGCAACTGTCCAGAACTGCCACCTCGCTCGCCAGCACCCGATCTGCCCGATGGCAACTCCGGCAAGACAGCAGTCAGCAATGCAGGCGGCACAGGTGGGTCAGGGCCCGGGCCAGGGCCAGGGGCTGTGCCATTTGTGCTGATGGTGCGCGGCAACAGGGGCGGCAAGCAGCAATTTAAATCGTTTGTCTGCGCCTCGGACTCCCACTTGGCCATCAATCTGAAGGTGCAGGAGCAGAAAATACGCGAGGAAAAGGAGAAGGTGAAGCGCCTCACACTGAACATCACGGAGCGCATTGAGGAGGAGGACTATCAGGAGTCGCTACTACCGCCGCAGCATCGAAACTTCACTCAGAGCTACTACCAGAAGCCCAATCGGCACAAGTTTAAACACCAAAAGGGCGCACCCGATGCGGATCTCATCTTTCACTGAGACGGCCTGCTATCTGCTGGCTGCTGCCTTGGGCCGAAGGACACACACACACACGACCGATCCAAGTCAAGTTAACAACCAGGGAACGCAAACCCACACTCACACACAGACTGGCACATTGCCAGCGCAATTATGGTTAAAGCGGATGACGGATGATGGATCGGGATGCAAATCGTTGACAGACAAAGAGAAGTTGCTCCCAGCGACTCTTGACTGCTCCAGCAAGGAGAGCAGCTGCCTGCATACACAGCCAAACATCGTGTCTCATATCCATGTCGCATGTTGCACAGGATCACTGGGATATAACACGCTTTTATAACGTACTTAAGTTGACAGACATCACAGCGGCTCATTCATCCGCTTTAAGCCATCGCCAAGCCAGCGCTAGCATGCCCCAAGAGATTCTAAACTTATTGCCAATGCCATGCCACTGCGCACAGATTGCGAAGCATGGCAGCTCAAGATATTGTAAAGTCCTTAGTCCCCCCCAGTCCCAATCATGAAGCACCTATAAAGGAGTGCCCGTCGTCGGCAGCGTTCCTCGGGTCATTTCCCCCCGACCGTGGTGGAACGCAAGTATGAGCAGCTTGTGCTCTTATTATTTAAAGTTGCTCTCTCTCTCTCTCTCTCTCTCTCTGCACGCCCTTTCACTCGCACTTATTGACAGCATTGTTACGTTTCCCTCTAAAAAGCCGACGGGCCCTCCTTTATAGTTGCTTCATGGTCCCAATCGTATAGTCCCCACGCTTTGGTGTACATAGAGCGCTGGGCAGAGATCCCTTCGAAAATTAACCATAAATAGTCCCACTAAGCAAACAACATATAGAGGGTTCAAACTACTGAAAAACCTGCTGCCTAATCAGTATAGGGGATTGGCTCCCAGTGCCTTCGGCTCTTGGTAAGAGAGTTTGGCGTTGGCTATCCTGAGTCCTTCCTTTCAAGTCTGATTCGTATTTTCATGTGTGCGGTGACACATATGCACATACATGATGGCAATGCGTGTATCTATTCTCGACTTCATATGCGTTTTCATTTTTAGCGCTTGAGACGTTTGGCACATTTGTGTTGCTTCTGAGCTCACATACCCTTCCTTCAAACTTGAGACTTTCAGCTTGCACCAAAAAAAAAAAAAAAATTTACTTTGTGTATCCTCTCTATGCTCATATATTTCTTAAATACAGTTAGGACGAAAGGGATAAACGGCTATAAACATCTAAATATGTATATAAATAATGCATAGCCGCAATTGACTTGGCGTTGCAAATATTTTTCATTCGAGTATTCAGCGTACACTGTGTGAACACAGAGAGACACACACGAGACTACGAAACCACTTTAAAATAGAAAAACAAAAAAAATTCATTTTTGGCACAGCTGCCATGTCTCCACTTATAACTCTGTGTTTATTCACACAGTGTACTCTGAATACTCTAATGAAAAATATTTGCAACGCCAAGTCAATTGCGGCTATGCATTATTTATATACATATTTAGATGTTTATAACCGTTTATCCCTTTCGTCCTAACTGTATTTAAGAAATATATGAGCATAGAGAGGATACACAAAGTAAATTTTTTTTTTTTTTGGTGCAAGCTGAAAGTCTCAAGTTTGAAGGAAGGGTATGTGAGCTCAGAAGCAACACAAATGTGCCAAACGTCTCAAGCGCTAAAAATGAAAACGCATTTGAAGTCGAGAATAGATACACGCATTGCCATCATGTATGTACATATGTGTCACCGCACACATGAAATTACGAATCCGACTTGAAAGGAGGGACTCAGGATAGCCAACGCCAAACTCTCTCAGCCGAAGGCTCTCTCACCAAGAGCCGAAGGCACTGGTAGCCAATCCTCTATACTGATTAGGCAGCCGGTTTTCAGTAGTTTGAACCCTCTATATGTTGTTTGCTTAGTGATAGTACGTACAATTGCCTAGACTTGTTTTGAAAACAATAATTCCCCCCCTACTGAATCGTTTAATATATAAAAATGCAAATATATATACACACACAGACATACATATGTACATACATATGTTGTAAATATATGCAATGCCCCCCCGTAAATAACACCAAAACCACCCAACTGATGGCTGTTTCCAGACAAAGGAATATCTTTTATATATTTGAGATATATTGATAAGGGGTGCCCCTGCCCCTACCCCTTAGTGTCTTGACTGGACTGCGAACACACACAATTGAAAGAAAATCGTTGGACATTTGTTTTGGATTTATTTTTCGTTTTATTTGATTTACTCTAAAATTAGCGTCAAACAATTTTGATTCCTCGTTTATTTGAAAATGTCCTCGTTCATTGTATATTGCCAGTGTATAGGTGTATTTGTTAAATAAAAAAATATTCCAAAAATGTTTAACGCTCTTTTTTTTAGTTTTTGTTTTGTTTTTTTTCATATACAAATATTTTCGTTCGTTTGTTTTGTTTTACTTTTAAAATGTTAATCAGTAATCAGTACAAATGGCAAAAGATATAATATATTTATTATATGTATATATAGTAGTATTAATTCACTATTAATGAACGAAAATCAATTAAACACGAAGAAAACACACAAAAAGGAGGCCAGTAAATCTCTCATATAAATTCTCATAAATACAGAAATTACAAAAACGTACAAAAAAAAACAACTAAATTTAATACAAAATAAAAAACGTACAAAATGAGTTCAAAACGAAATGAAAATCATAAAAGAAATTAAAGTCCCGGTCGCACCCTTTGCATTTTTTTCGATTTTAGATTAAAAATTACAAAAGCTTAAATGTTAACGCTTAAATATTACAATTTTAAAGTTAGAATTAATTTTTTATTTTTTTGTTAACAAAAGAAAAAGACACATTAAGACATCAGAGGGTGGTGGGCCCGTTTCGGTGCGGGTTGAGGCAGGTATGGAGGAGGGAGTTCACTTGTCAATTCATTTTGCAATATTGCCTTTAAATAAGTGATACACATACAAACAGACATACATGTATATAAATATATACATATGTATATGTAAATAAAACGTACAAAAAAAAACATTGCGCTTGAAAACTAAGTGTTTGAAAAAAAATAAAATCAAAGAAAAACAAATTAAAATAATAAAATACATGCAAAAATGTGCGCTCTGGATAAATGGTGGGGGGTGCTGGTAGCGTTTGAACACACACACATAAATCATAAATCATTAATCATATTTAAATCCCTAATAATAATCGTTTCGTAGTTCATTTTCTTGGCTGTTTTGTTTGTGCAGTTTGTTGTTTCTGTTTCTGTTTATGTTTCTGTTGGCTCTCTGTAGACGGAAGCTCTCTTTCTATACAATATACGATATGGGGTATCTCTATATATGGATTATACAAGTCTAAAACGTTTTATAGCAAGGCACACACCGACACACACATCGTTTGCTCGTTAAGTATACGCATTGTATAAAGGCTGCCCTCGAAGGGGTGGCTGTTTTTGGGGGCGGTATATATATATCTTTATCTCTGTATATATATATATAAATTTGACTTAGTTTAGAACGCGTTTTCAGTGGCAGTTGACTTCAACAGGAAACTATCGTTGATTTAGATTTTAGATATTTAATTTGGGGAAGAGACACAGGCACAGGCACAGTCGCAGTCGCAGGTCTCGTCTCTCGTGTCCCTTCCCAGGCACAAACAATCCATCCATGGATGACACAGAATTATTTCACTAATATTTAGTTAGATGGCGGATGGTGGGGGATCTAGCGCGAATTGTTTATTTGCCCGCATACATGGGATTCTTGAAGGTGGAAGTTGCCTGCTTGTAGATTGGATTCTCACCCTTTAAAAAACAAAACAAAAGACAAATCAATCAGCAAAAGAACGAGCGAACGGCAAGTATTTTCGAGAGCTTACCGCATTCCATTTGGCATTCATGCTCTCCTTCTCGAAGCGTGCAAACTCACGGCGATCGTGAATGGTGGTTAGCAGCTTCCAGAGCAGCAGAATGGCCAGGCCGACAAGCACAATGGCAGCGATGACGCCGAGCACAATGCCCAGCATGAAGACCTTGGGCGGGCATTCCTTCTCCTCCTGGGCATGGACCACCAGCTCGCCCTGTTCGCTGTACTTGAACATGAACTTGCAGTCGTCTTCGTCAAAGAATGTGCACATCTGCTCATCCTTGTGCTCATCGATTGTCACCTTCTCAACGCCCACCGGCGTGAAGGCCGTACAGTTGCGTGCACAGTCATCGACGTTCTTCAGCACTCCGGTGTGATACATTTGGCACTGAACGCAATCCTTTAGCTCCTGACAGCGGCCCGAGCATGTCGGGCACTTCTCGCAATGGCGGCCAGAGTAACGGCCCTGGTCGTTGGCCGTGCACTTGCAGACGCCGCACTCGCAGGTGCCGTGACCGGAGCAGAGCTCGCCACCGCCCGGCGGCATGCAGGTGTCGTTGGAGGCCTGGCAGGCACAGCTGCTGCCCGTCCAGCCGGGCTTGCAGACACAACGGCCGCAGTCACAGGTGCCGTGATCGGGTCCAGAACACAGCTGGTTCTTGTTACGCTCACAGCTAAAGTTCTCGCACTCGCAGAACTTGCCGGTGATCACCTCCTCGGGATTGGGACGCTTGAAGCACTCACAGAAGCCACAAACACAATTGCCGCGCCCGCTGCAGTCCACATTGGTGGTGTTGTCCGCCCTGCAGCTGGCATCGTTATTGATTGTCGAGTTCATGTCCGAGACGGAGCACTCGCAGGTGTTGCCAAAATGATGCTCGCCACAGTCACAGATGCCGCACATGTAGGTGCCATAGTTGTTGCAGTGCGGCGACAGCGGCTCATAGCCAATGGAGCCGGGATGTTCGCAGGGGCAGGAGCAGAGCATCTCCAGCTTGATCACCATGCTCTCGTTGATGCCAACGGGATAGATCTGAATCACCTGATTCCAGTCGCGCGGATCCTCCGGGCACTTCAGTACCTGAATCTGGGCCGTGAAGCTCACCTGCTTGCCCACCGTCAGGTTGTCGCATTTCGAGGTCTGGATCTCGGGTCCGTTCGTCAAACAGGAGGAAAAGTATGTAATTTTCACATCACCCGTGGCATTGTCCTTCATCTCCACCGACGAGGAGATTTTCTATAAAATGTTAAAGCGTGAGTTTAGACAGAGAGATTTAAAGGAGTTTGCTTGCTCTTCCGATCTACTTACATTGTATTCCTTTTGCACGAGATCGACCACATTGGAGGAATCATTCGAGAGGATGGCCGCCGAGGAGCCCTGAACGTGGGCGGCCAGTTTCTCGTACACGGTATACTGCGAATTGGTAACCGCAAAAATGATGTTGATGGCATTCTCTTTGACCTTCTGGTTGATTTGCGATATGCTCGGATAATCCTGAATCACCGAATGCGTGTACATGCCCTGCAGATCCAGATGACATTCACCATCATTGGGAGCTATCACGCCGCCCAGTTTGCCATCGCCCGCATAATGGAACCCAGCATCCGTTGAGAAGACGAGCAGGCGACGGGCCTGCTCACGCCATCCCACCTGCTGACGGCAGGCAATGGCCTGCATGATGGCATCGAAACCGCCCTCAGGCGCATCCAAATTACCAGAGACAGCGGCATCTTTCACCTCGTTCTGAGGGCGCACACAGGCGAATCAAATAAAAAAAGGATTAGTTAATGGACACGATTAATGGTGTGTATGTTGTGCGAGCAGTTAGCCAACGAGGGGGAGAATAAGCAAGTGAAAGTGAGAGATAGATAGAGAGAGAGATGTGATAGAGGGGGAGCAGGAATTTGAGACCACCACCTTCGTTTGGTTTCCATCAATATTAGTCAAGATAAGATGTTGGAAGTGTGCACGATAAGATATAGTATGCACATACATACATGACGAACTGTTGAGTTGTTCAAGGTTCTATTATCAAGAAACAAGGGTTTCCATAGAAGCGTATATAAGTATATATACGAAATTCAATCGGTTTTTAGGTGCCCATGACATCATAGCTGTTAAACGATCCCATATTGTGGGGTCACAACATATAGACCAATACTTGAAGCTATTTAATATTTGCAGCTCTAAAGTTGCACTTTAGAATTGCTTCAGAACAGCTGTCGCAATCTGTTAGTTATGGCAAAATACTCGTTTATGTATGTACATATATCCATAGCAAGAATGGAATATTATGTGTTGACTTTTGGATAAATAGAGAGATAGAGGAGTAGCAGTGGAAGGTGTGGCTTTAGATGGGAATAGGAAAAGGATATATGAAGGTGTTAGATAGATAACAAATGCGTGCCCGTGCCCATACCCAGTAAATATAAATATAAATATATGCAGTTAGGGATAACACCATGTATGCCATATAGAATTTAATATAGATAAGTAGCAAGCCCATGCAACGTGCAAACAAAAACCATTTAACATTAGAATAGATACAAAATTAAATTAAATAGAAGTAATAAGTGTTAAATGGTTGTGCTTAAAATGCAAAAATGCCAAATTTTTAATTAATTTTTGTTGTTTCGGACGTGTGTTAGAGCCAATCCGATATCGATCTGGTTGTGGATCTGGCGCATGGCGCATGGCGACGACTTACAGAGAATCTATATGTGTCCGTGCTCAGGCCCATGATGTTTCGATAGCCATAGGGAGCAGCGCATTTGGGGCATGGCTCCTCCAGGCTAATTTTGATATTTTTTGATTTTTTGTTTGGTTTCGATAATTTTGTATAATATTTTAGCAAGGAGTTTATAGTTTATAGTGACATAGCGGTATAATAAAGAGTGATAAATGAGAGATAGAGAGAAAAGAGATAAAGAGAAACACAAAAGAGAAATTGTATAAAAATGTTTTGACGACATCGAAACAGTGCATTAAATGACGATAAATAATACGATACGATAATGCAAATACGATTTATGCTTAGAGTATGCCATAGGACACCCAAACCCCCCTTCATTCCAACTGACTAAATGGTAGGACACACACACACACACACACACAGACACAGACACTTAATGATAATATATTTATAGCTCTTACGATCTAAGTGCGGAATATTATAAATATAGTGCCATAAATATATATAAGCAGGGGATCTACCATATGGTTAGTCTTAGAGTTAGTCAGACGAAAGAGAACAAAAGCAATAAATGAGTAGATAAATGGGTTGAGCGTATGGATGGATATACATATTTGTCCTTGTGTTTGGTGCAGGCATAGCTAGTATATATTTATGTATGTAAGTTATCAAATTGATTAATTGTCTCTTACAGAGAAGCTTTCGGTGTTATTGTTGAGTGGCATGTGATTGCGGTAACCATAGGGAGCCTTGCAGTTATCGCAGGGATGCTCGAGTCTACAGATTCGGTTTCGGTTTCGGTTTCAGATTCGTTCATTGGATGGTGTTGGTTGGTTGGTTGTTGTAGTTTGTTGTTGTTGGTGTACATGATGTGGTTGTAATATATATTTATCATATATAAATTATCAAAAAGTTAGTGAATTGATTTAATAAAATTAGATAAATTAGGTTCAAAAACCCATTCTAAAAAGGTAAAGCTTAGGACATAAGTAAATACTGTATATGTACATCATTATGTATAATCATGTATGGTATAGCCAGCCTATGATGATTTCAAATCGTTAGATCAATATTCGACTTAAATGAGTCCCTTCGAAGCTAATTATATAATTATTATAATAATCTGACAATTTTTGTTTAGCTATTTTTAGCATGAAAATTCTACCAAAAGCAGTCGGTCAAAACCTGACTCAACAATTACTCATATCTAGAGTCCAATCATCGACTATATATGTATAATCCGTAAGTGTAGACACACTCAACGGCCGTCTCCAGGAAAATACTCGCGCGAGTCATGACTGAGTCATCTGATATTATCCATCAAAAGACTTCTTAGATGCTACTTTAAACTGCACTTAAGTCTAATTTAACTTTTATTTGGTCCATCTTGGATGGTACTCACTTTTTGGGTATGGTGGACACATAGGGCATGAGCACCTTGTCCACAAATGAACCGAAACCCAGGCGGAAATTCGATGTGATGCTCTTCATCGTCTCGGACAGCTTATCGCCCAGAGCGGAAAGCTTCTCTTTGTCATCCTCCATGGACTTGGAGAGGTCCATCAAGTAGTAGAGATCCACGGGATAGCCCTCGGCCTGGGTGTAGCTCACCTTTAGGTTGTGCACTTGATCTGTAAAGAGAAGAAGCAGCTGCAACATTAGCGAAAGGCTTCTTATGTGGATTCCAGACTGACTCACTGATGCGCAACTTCAGGTTTACGGACTGTGGTTTGATTTGGACAATCTCGCCGGAGCTGGCCGACCAACCAGAGTATTGGGAGCCATAGGAACTGGCGCTTGAGCTTGAGCTGGAGCTGGAGGAGCTCTGATGATAGGAGCTGCCGCCAGATATGTATTGACCGCCCCCGCCGGCGCCACCACCGCCTCCAAAGCCACCGGCTGAGCCGTACGCTTGACTCTCGCCAGCTAGCGTCAGGTTCTTGTTGATGAGAATTTGCTCCGAGGTGTCGGGATTCCAGACAAACTGCTCGGGACAGACATCCGGCGAGGTGTGCTGGAAGCAGCGCGATCGCCCCTCAAAGTTTGGCTGCATGCACCACGCACAGCTCTGGGTCTGGATGCACGTGTGGCACTTGTCCTTGCCGCTGCACGGATTTTGGACGAGCTTCCCCGCCAGCTGGCATTGCACCAGGGACGCGTGCATCAGCGCCAGGACTAGCACCGATAGCACCGCCAAATGGCAGCTCTGTTTTGTCGCTGCAACGTACATTGCTCTCTCTCTCTCCCTCTCTTGTATGCTGATCTTATTGTTAGCCGTTGCTCGGCTATCTTTCTCTGTCGCACCTCTCACGCGTTCGCTGTCAGCTCTATCTCTGTCTCTGTCGCTTTGGTGCAGCTGCAAAAGAATAACAAAATTATAACTGCACTTGAGTAATCGAGTATTTCTTCAAATTTGAGTATATCCGTTAGGAATTTCATGTGTGTTTGTATATGTGTGCTTGTGGTGAGTTTGTCGCACTCCTTCACACCTCTAGCATTCGCGAGTTTCTTTTAATCATCCATATTTATTTGTCAGATATCATACCTCATACCTCTTAGTGTGTGCACGGGTATTCTGGACTAGCTTCTACCACTACTGCTAAAAATCTATTAATTTACATTTTGGCCTTCATCGCGTTCCAGCTTATGGTTTAGAGGGTATTACTAAACTAGGTTTGTGACGGGTTGGTCACTTTGTTTTCGTCTTCTACTTTCTTTCTACCTTTGCTTTTAATTATATTTGGCTCGACCTGAACCCCCCCCCCCCCCCCCCCCCCCCCCCCCCTTCCCGTCCCATTCATCATGCCAACATCTAAAATGGAACATCATCACGGCCAGATGACTCATCACACGCACGCATACACAGTAGTATTCTCTCTCACATTTGCAAATAAACATAAATATGTGTAAGTCTGTGTATGTTTGTTCCACTCAATGCTTTCGTGCTTAAGAGGATGGGGGACAATCGTTAATAAACACTTTGTAGCTGTCAATGGCACACACTCAGTGACTCCCCTACCCATTCCGCATTCGCTCACTCCCACCCACTCCCCCTCTCGTTCATAATTTCTCGCTCACCAGCCCACTCCTATTCTCATTCATAGTTCCTCTGGCAGAACGCATATCCCCCCACCCCCACCCCACTCATTTATCACTAACTACCACTCCTCAAAGTCCGTTTTCGCTCTTTTTCCTTTGACCATTCCTCTTCGCATTCCTTATTCCATCACTCACTCACTCTCGTCCATCCACTCCCACCACTCATTCATCATTTGCTCAGTCCCTCTTTTTTATTCCTGAATCCCCGACTGTCCCCTCTCTATCAATGGGAAATGCAAAACGTAAACAAAGGTCGGCCGTCGAGAGAGGATGATTGTGAGTCGTGTGGGAGCGAGACGTTACGCAGACAAAGGCAGAGCTCTTTGTGACTGCTGACTGCACTCCCTTAAAGGGTATTACGGGCGTTGCGACCACTTCCGAATTGCTCAGCATGTCTTCCGGGAACACGACACGCGCACGATGATGAATATGGTTGGTTGCTCGACCGAAATCTCGTCTGCAATGATTCATTCCAATTCAATAACGGAACAGATTTTCAATGCAATCTCAAAAGGGCTTCTTTCTCACTTTGCCATAGCCTGCAGCAACATGTACGTAAATACGTACTTATGCAGACATATGTATGCGTGTGAGTGAGTGCGTCTATTTATAGCCACCCACGCACAGTGGAGACGCTTTTTAAAAGATTTGTGCGCTTTGACAGCGCAAAAACCAAAAACAAAACTGAATCGACACATCTGCACACAGCACAGGGGCAGGGGTTGGGGGAGTTCGCCAATCAGATCAGCTATGGGCCATTAGGTTACTCCGCCGAATCTCCACTGTGTGGGCCGCCCACAGACCAATAGACAACATCTGCGGCACGGCATATAAATGTGGGCGTACTAGTTCCAACACCGCCAGAGGGCGCACACTGGCTCTCCTTCTCATTGGAAAATCATGTTGTGTTTGCAGAGGGAGGGGTAAGATGTGGAGTGGGGATCGCAATGGAGATAAAGAGTAATCAACAACTGCGTCAACATTCGAGGCTTGCGGCCGATCTTTAAACTTAAAAAAAAACTGTCACACCAGGCAGAGTACACCCTGTTGAGGATTCAGCAAACCAAATAAGATATATGTATATGCACATGTGTGTCAGTGTCTGTGTGAGTGTGTCGTCATTGCGAATGAAATCATCAAAGCACTACACACAGAGAGAACACACATATCCAGTTTTACGGTTTTTTGTGTGGATGGATGACTTCGTTTTTGGTCAATTGCAGTCAAAATTGATAGCATTTCTTACGTAATTCTACTACTTTTTTGATATTTCACTTGCACTCTAGCCACTGGCAGCACTTGAAATCAATGTTTGATGCGTTTTCAATTGGATTTCGAACAATATATTTCCATCAGGGGCGGGTTTGCGCCTTTTATTTTGATTTTCTCGCACACTTGTGGAGTTGATTGCCCACACAAACACACACGAACACACGCATGCACAGCAGCACCAGAAGCTGACTCAGCTCAGTAGAAAACTCTATTAAAACTTCGTTTCTTGTATAAGTACACAAAGGTTGGCATATGTACCAAGTCAATAGTCAGCGTTTTCGCAACAAAAAATTTAAATTATTACTTCTTTTCGTCTGCCTTCGATGTTGTTAACTCAAGTGTGACCGCAGGTTTATAACTAAAATATCTCTTGCTGCCAGTGCTGCCACTTTAGCAATTTTCTCACTAGATATAGAGTTTTTCAATTGCCAAAGGCGGGATAAATTGTAAAATAGCGGATATCGGGAATTATAGCTATTTTCCAAGATATTTTTGCATTATTTAAGCAAATATTTTTTGAATTATTTTCAAAGCAACTTCCATCTTCACGTATTTTTATGCTTGAAATTGCCAAACTTAATTACTTTGTAGTATTGTTTCCATTTGAACGGGAAGGAGAAGATCAAAAAGTACTATTACTGACGAAATATTTCACATTGTGTGGTTCTAATTTCTGAACAATTTTGTGCATTTCTGCTTATTAGCCATTTCGGTAGAAGTTAATCATAAACTGGGAGCCCCCGAGCTATTCGTAGTGTTTTAACGCTTCATCCGCTTGTTCAACTTGATGTCAGATGATGACTGAAGGTCAAATTACAGATTAATAAAGTTAAGTTTAAGTAGTAAAGCAAAATTTTGAATGTTTTTCTATGAGTTGAGTTAAACTCTATAAGTTATTATTAAAGTAAATTAATGGTGCCCTTATTTTTATTGGTTTACTTGACATATTCTGTGCAAAATAAATAACCAGAAATTAGAATCACCCCAGGAACAAAATATTTATAATTGGCGCGATTCTTCTGCATTGTAAATCTAGCATTAGTGCAAAGGACAACGATTTGCCAGACAGCCAGACATACATACATATGTAAGTCGTCGTCGTCTGCTTTTGCAAAAACGAACAAAATACCGTTTGTTGCATTATGAAGTGACCGCATAATTCTGATAGGGAAATTAGGGACCATTCTGACTTCCTTAAGTCGAGCTGGATAGCGTTTTTTTTTGTAACTGTCATCAAGATTTACTGGCTATCTCTATCTTTTTATGACCCGAGGAGTTGGCAGCACTGCACCAAATGGGCAACGTTCCAATACCCTGGGGAAGGGTATTTCACGGAATTAAGGGGTTTCGACTCATATCTTTTGTAAGTCTATCCATATGCCAATGGTTAAACCTAACACCAGGGCTACCAACCACAATGAAGTCACATTCCGTACACATTTACGGTTTATGGATTGCCTTATTTTGTTTCAACCTTATGTTGTTAATAATACCAGGGAGTTTTTAAAACTAACAAATCTTGTGGAAAATGTCTAATCAATAATTTATGATCTAAATGATCTGTTCAGGAAGTGGGCTAGAGTCCTTATGATTTTTGATCATGAAAATACAGCGAAAATGAGTAAACTTGAAGAATTTAGCAGCTCAGGTAAAAGGTTGGTGTATATTATTTGAGGTAAAATATAAATGGATTAACAGGAATAATATAATGCACAACAATTATTATTACCTGTTCAAATAGAAAGGTTTTAGGTGGGTTGAATTTGTTTTCCCTCGGTATATAACGATAAATTTTGAAAATAAGAAGGTATATTTGGGTATATATATGAGGGTCCCAAGCAGTGCTGCCAACTCTTCGGATCTTAAAAAAGATAAACGACAAATTTGGAAAATGAGAAGGCATATTTTGGAATATTCATGATGGTTGCCAACTCCTCGGTCATAAAAAAGCTAACGTTTGAAAAATCTAGAAAGAGCCAGATAATTTTAATGGAATCTAAAATAAACGAAAAAGTGTTGAAACGGTATTTTAACAGCAGAATCTCGCATATTATAACCTTTTGTTCCGCGGTGTTTCTAATTTCTGAAATATTATAACTTCAATGCTGGACAGTACAAAATGCTAAATAAACAAACAATAAAGTATTTGAGATAGAATTTGAATAAAAATGTATTCAGTTAATTTATAATAAAACTGTTTGGATCATTCATAAACATTTATTTTTTTAACATTAATATTTGAGTCCTTAATTTGACCTTCTTCAGTCATCAACTGAACAGCTGACATATGTATGTATTTGTGTTCACTTAAAAAAGCGTATCGAAAGGGTATACGTCTTGCATATCTCGGGGACTCCTCATTTTATTTTACTTCAACCGAATTGACAAAGCTGTGTAGCAACACAACAAGCACACGTTTTAATTTTTGAGACTCTGCTGTAATTGCAAAATCATTTCCCATCATCGGATAGAGCCACACAATATTTTGGTTCTTGAATCCAGACGACGCGGTTATGTGTATTCTTATGCATTTTCACATTAAACTCTCGAACGATTAAAAAATTTGGCAAAATGTTTCTCCAGTGATAATATAAAAATCGGCTCTGCTGAAATACTTCGTCGGTGATGGTATAAAACTCGATTCAATTAAATGCTTTTTTAACTTGTCGATCTTTTTGCCTTTCAAATGGAAACAATACCACAATGTAATTAAGTGAGATTTTTTGAAAAAGCTGAAAAACGCAAAACAATATTGGAAAATAGCTATAATTCCCGAAAACCGATTTTTACAATTTGGAAGTTAGAAAACGCGAAAATAGCTAAATTGGCAACGCTGACTCCGTTGTTGGGTCATACAAAAGAGTGTGGGAAAAAGGAAAACACCTGCGTATGGGAGTTTCGACACCCTATATTCGTGAATATAAATCTTTGAAAAAATCATTGATATATTGAAAGACCGGAATACATTGATCTCAATATCGATGTTAAAATATCCAGAATAGTCTCTTATATTCTCCAATATGTACCCTGCAGCTAGATTTTTGTTATTCGACAATTGAGATGGCAGTTCTTCGATATGTGCAGTGAATGCAAAATCTCGGTGGTGGAACTTCTCCGATAGCACTTTTCAATGGAAAATATAAAACCGGTAATTACATGAAAATGTAACTTATAAGTAGCAAATGTGTAGTTGCTATGTAAAAAACATTGTCGAATTTATGGCAAAATCACATGGATCGCAATCTTAGCCCTGGCTATGAATACTTCTTAGTTGACCGGCTTGGCCGCTGCTAAGTCCAAGCAGAGCAGGGCCGGGCTGGAGTCGCTGGATAGCAGCAAAATTTCCGATTCCACGCTCAGGTCTGCTGTTAGCTGCTGCGGCAGCGCCATTTTGTTTCACTGTTACGTTCGCTCCTCGTTTCACACGTCGGATGTGAAAATTCACCACCCTACAATATGGATACAATATCTCTCTCTCTCTCTCAGCACAAACCAATTTTCGATTACTCACACAGATGCAGGGCTTGCTCTCTCTCCCTCTCTATCTCTGAGTACTGGCCTGGCTCTCTGTTGCACACATGTCTTCGAGGCCATGCGCCAGAGCGAGATGAGCGTATGCACGATGCGCGTGCTTGCGGCTGCTCTTTCGTATTTCTCTGACTGTCTATGTGTGTGTGTGTATTCGCATTTTCAGTAAATTCGAAAAAATTTTTGTATATTTGATGGCGACAACGTCGCCCGTGCTGCTTTACTCACAAGAAACGCGCGCTTGTCGAAAAATCGTACGCGCGGTACGTACGTCGAAATTACTCAAAAAAGCTGGTAAAAATCGCTAAAAATTATATAAATTTGTGATAAATGTGCAGTGTGTAGTGCAAGGCATGCAATGCGGTCGAAAAATTATGAAATATAATGTGAAATTAGCGCCAAAAATGCATTTGAAAAATGTGAGACTTCAATGGACATGACGGATTTTTTTTTTCATTTCATTTGGGTTTTTTTTTTGGTGGTGGAACAAAAGCAAAATGAAGAAGCAGAGAAGGAAGATGAAGAAGAAGAGTGCTGAGTGTGTGTCTGTGTGTGAGTGAGAGGCATACACACACGCAACACAGAGACGCGCGCGCCAAATGCGAAAAAAGTTTCACTGCTCTCTCCCTCTCTCGTTCGTCTCTTTATCCTTCATGAATTTAGTTGTTTTCTTTGCGGCAATTGAATTATACATATACACATGTGTACATGTACGTATGTACATATAAATATTTATATATGGACACTATGTATTATGATTCGTGAATTTTTTTTTATTATATTATAATTTTGCGTGTGTGTTCATGACGTGACGGTTACGTTGTATCTTTGCTCCCCTGCTCTCTTCCATTCGGTTCCCTTGTGGGAAAAAAGTGTGTGATACAAGGAAATGTGATTCCAAAGTTTATTTTTGTGTGTTTTGTTTATTTGCAGTTGCCTTTCCCTGTAACATGTTTAAAGATTATTGGCTCATTTGTGTACATATATATTCGCAATTAAATGCAGCCTCAAGAATAATAATTACAAATAAAATCCAATAACCGGATGTATCTTAAGTGAAAATATATCGAAAAATCATTCACGGAACAAAACAAAACAGTGTTACATTAACAACAGCAGCGGCAGCGCAAAAGAAAGGATTAAACACAAAAAAGCACCGGGCAAAAAAACTAGCTATACCACAAACCGGCAAAAGCAGCACCAGCAGCAGAAGCATATTCGGAAGCAGCGGCCATATAATTCATTTGGATAAATAAACACACAAAACAAAACACAACAAAAAGACCCTGAACGTGTAAAAAATGTAAGTTAAATCCACCAGCACAGCACGTGGGAGGCTCTTCCATGGGATCCCAAAATGTTGGATGGGAAGTCGTTGTCGTCGGTTCGTAACAGAGAGAGGGAGGAAGAGAATAAGAGCCAAAGGGTCCGTTCGCAGCCGGCAGCTGCATTCCCAAGCAGTATTTCCAACCCCCTTTAGTTTGGCCACCGGCCATTGGCAGAAGAGAATCTCTACACTAAACGTTATACACGGATGGTTTCTTACCGATCAAATGGAGCAGGTTTTCCATGGCTGAAGTAGGGACATTCTTACCATCAATGACCATCAGCTGTCCCAAATTGAGTTTATTATTGCGAAACAACAAGTAACGTTCCAGGGATGGAATTCGCCAAAGAAGTCTAATGATAAAGAGAAGGTTCTTATCATCGAAGAGGCGCGATGCAATCTCTAAAATGGGCATGTGCTATGTGATAGCCACAAACTGATTGCATTTACAAACATGCAAAAATCAGCAAATATAGAAATAAATATTGTTAGTGTAGGAATATCGTTCTTTGACATCAGTTTTCCTCAAACGTTGGGAGAGCTGCCTCGGATGAGGAAATTCCTTGACAATTGAGTTTACGTCCCCCTACCCTGCCCGCCACAAAGTACCTTTTCTTCCCATTTACGTGCCTTTTACTCCCACGCGCCCGCTTGAGCTCTCTCTTTCTCTCTCGCTCTCTGGGTTAATGTCAGTTTGCCGGCTACTTTTGTCTTTGCATTTGCTTTTGCTTATGTTTGTTTATTGTTCTTTCTGCCATTTGTTTAGAACTATTTTCGCGCCTAAACAAAGGCAAAAAGACTGGCTTATTTATGTGCATCAGTGGCAGCAGCTTCAGTCAGCAACTAAGTGCACTGTAAATAAAGCAGTTGTACGCTAAATACAATCAAAATGCGTAAATGCACTAGGGATTGTCATTTGGGTGCGGGGAGAGAGAGAGAGAAGTCTCTGAGTTGAGCGGCCCATAAATTTCATTGATGCTTTTCGGTGGACCCCACTGCTGACATCGCTGCCGGCGTCACTGTTGACTTCGTAGGTGTTTCGGGCAGCATGTAAACCGGCTTTAAATTCGTGCCACTATTAGCACGATTTATTAACCTAGAGGCATGTGGCAGAGCAAAGCACAGAGAAATGGAGAGAAAAAGAGAGAGAGTGTAGTAGCTATCCGAATGATTTTCGGCATACTTGCAGATACACAAGCAGCAGCACCGTTCGAAAAGATTCCTCTCTTTTTCGGCACTCTCTCCCATCGTGCGCTCTCTCTCCTTGCTCTGTGTCTCGTGTCTGTCGATATGCCGCCATATTTGCATTTGGCTACGTATTACGTCGGACATATTGTTGTCTCGCTCTAGCACACGCCAAAACCCCTGGCAGATGCAACTTTTCGAATGTTTGCTTGTGTGTGTGTGAGCATTTTATTTATTTAAATATTTAATTTTTGTATAGCTGGTTTGGTTTGAGCATAGTTCAAGTCCAATGCAAAAGAGTACCAAAAGGAATTAAAATATAATCTTAATGAATTTTCAGTTTCTTAAACGGCTTCGATTTTGAAAAAAAAAAAAACATCCGTTAACCTTTGTTTATCCGAGAGAGAGAGAGTTCTCTCGAGACAAACTTAGCTATTGGATCTACTCTTAGAGAGCAGGCAGGGTCGGGCCGGTGAAGTATCATTGGTAAATGGTTTCGATTTAAAATATCAACTTTTGGTCCCCCTAATCCAAGTCGTACCCACCATCTCTGTTCTCTTGTGCATGCCGTTGCTGTGCGCTGCTTCTACACACCTCCCTATCTCCATACAATCACACTCTACGTCATCGTCATTGTGCTTTGCCTTGAATTTCTCATTACGAAGCACATAGCGTGCCATGATGATGCCGAGAGCCGAGCGACATGCTCACGTTCGGCATCAATGTTCGTGGTTGGTTCGGGACTCGGTTCTACGGAAATTCTGTTGAAAACTCAAGTCTACTGTACTACATAATTACAACCGCACACGTTCGTTCGCTTTACTCTCTCTTCCTCTCAGAGAGAGAGAGAGCAAGTATGAGTGTGTGTGTGTGAGTGACAGTTAATGTTTTGTTTTGTTGCGAGTTTGAAGAGGGGAACGGGAGACTAAAAGATAACCAGCCGCCCGCTATTGCCGTTTTTGATGATATTTTCTCCCTTTTAGAAATAGTGAAAAAAATAATGTTTTTGGCCATTCTGCTTTTTTTTATCTCCCCCATCATTTTCAATTTGTTGCAATTCACTGTATCTGAATACTGTTCCCTTTCCGTCGTCTTATTTTGCGTCACACATAAAGTCACACGAAACCTCGCATACAATTAAGCACGCGCTCGCCTCGCTCTCTGTCACAGACATAGACATGTATGCCGTATACTTGGCAACTAACAAAAACGACAGCTAGTCGTGTGGTGGCGGCTACAGTGGGCCAAATGTGAAATTTGAACACAGGGCGCACAAATAATTGATGGAGTTGTGACACAGACAGACAGACAGACAGCTGATACGAGTGTGAAAAGCGTTGAATGGGAATGGAAGAAAGAGAGAGAGCTTGTGCCGGCCGGCACAGACCATGCAGGCATACGCACATGTGTAAATAAATGTACGCATATGAATGAACACAAATAAATGGGGCCTTGATCTACATATGTATGTATTTCATGTGATGTATTTTAAAGTGTGCAATTTGAATGCTATTTGTGCCACTGTCAAGCGGCAATGGGATATCGGCAAAAAGTGTGAGCGTGTGCTCGAGTTGTGTGTGTTTGTGTGGGGCTGGTGCACTAGTATGAGTGTTTAGTTGTCAGCTTAGGACCTCGCTAGCGTACCACCTCACCTCAACCATAGAACAGTAATAGAGGGGTGCTAAAAAAAACTACTTAAAAATTACCTATATACTCGTTTTATTTTCCGGTGGTGTGCGTGTGGAGCGACAAACAAAGCGAGTTTTTTGTTGTGCATGAATCATGCTTTGGTGGACAAAACGACAGAAAATTACAAAATGTGAGAGCAGCGCGCTTGCGGTGTGGTGTGTTGCATAGTGTGGTGAATTTCGAAAATACAACACACGCCACACAGCATGTACACCGTGCTATGTTCGTGTGTGTGTGCAAATGTGCAAATGTTTGCATTCTATGCGTCTCACTATTGTTTTCAATAATTGATTTTCGTTTAGTGGATTGGGAATTGAATGTAGTTTTTTAACTTAATTTTGTGAAAGACTGTGTAACCGCCATTTGTCGTCTGCCTTTTGCCCCTTGGAGATTTGATAACGCACAAACGATGAGTGGAAGCAGGACGACTCTATATGTGGCAGCATGTGAGTATGTTGTGTTGTCGTTTCTCTCTCCGAGGTATTTTCGAAATTCGAATAGAGAGAGCGGCAATGTAGTGGCGGTGGCTCTGGTTCTCTTTGGCCTTCTCTGTTTTCGCTGTTGCTGTGAGTGGCAAAACGGCGGCAAAGTAACTACAACACACACCGTGGAAGAAGCAAAAACATGGAAATGTTTAATCATAAAACGCCTGACGAGCGGCGTCGTCAAAACAGAATAAAAATCAAAACTGAAACCTAAACTTAAACCCACATATAAAAGCAATATGCACTATGTTACGGGATCAACAAAGGGGAGGTGCTCGGAAACAGATTGTGTGTGTTTTAGTCTGAGTGTTGTTCGTGTGTTTTCTGTACATTGAGTGGCAGTGCCCGTGGTCTCCTCGCCGCCCACTTTCATTATTCTGTTATTCTCTCCGTGTTTTGCTTTCTGTTATCTGTTTTCTGCCCTGATTTGTTTCTGCTCTGTTCCCTCTTCTCTTCCGGCCATTCTCACAACTTATTAAGTTTTTGTTTTTGTTTATAAACTATTTGTGCGTGCTACTACCTTTGTTTATGTAACCCCTGGCTCAGTGTTGGGCAATGGGGCCGGAGCCCAACAGGCCAGAGTTGCAAAACAGTGTTGCCGGCAAAAAAAAATTGACGTTTCTCTTGACAAACAAATTTTTCATATTCATTCCAGATTGAAGGCTTGCTGCTAGAACGAAAAGAAAAAAGACTACCCACCACAACTTGGATTAGGAATAAGGAGTAGGAATAAATAAAAAAAACAGTAATCGTCAGGCTATACAATTGGAATTGCAATAAAGCCAGGTGGAAGAAGGATACGACGAGACGTTGGACGACTCCTCGTCGTCCAAACGCCAGCTGGGCCAGCCTCAATACGCCCTGCGTATTGCCCATGCAGTATCTGGAGAATCTGGTAAGTGGAACATTGAAATTTGCACTCGGATGTGAATTGATTAATCCTCGGACTCGTTTGACAGTTGAGGAACATTGCTTAGCATGAAGCAACGGAATACACAACAGCATTATCCATCAATCAGTGGATTATTAATATCGAGGAGAATCGCAGAAGCAAATACAGCAGCAGCAGCAGGAGGACAGGCTTTGGAACCCGCCGAATCAGAAGCAATAGCAACGACTGAAGGAGGAGTCGGACTAGCCGTAGGCGGAACTGGTGGTTTCCTTTATCAATTTTCCAGTAAGGAGAAGAGGACTCACCGGAAGTTAGCTACATAATAGGACTTGTACACGAGCGGGCGATCGCCGCACCGGAGAGGAGACGGACGGAGACGGCCCCGGGCGTGTGTGTTTCTCGTGTCTGTGGTGTCGTGTGTGTGTGTGTCGGCCGTCTCAGTCAAGCATAATCAGCATCAACAGCAGCAGGACAACCAACATTCACTAGCAATCGGTCGCAGCAGGACCAGGGACAGAAGCAAAAGCAACAACCAGAAGCCTCACCATCAGCCAACAGGCGGAGGAGCAGCAGCACCAGCAATAGCACCACCACTCCACTGTTGTCATCATCGTAATTATAACTACCATCATTAAAAACAAAACCATGTCGTCCAACGAACCACCACCTCGCTACGAGCCGCCTGTGGAGCCGATCAATGGCATTGTGCAGCCACCGGTAATGCCTCCAGCGGATAGACCCGGTCGCAATACCAATCAATTGCAGTTTCTGATCAAAACCGTGATGAAGATGATATGGAAACACCATTTTGCGTGGCCCTTTCAGCAGCCCGTCGATGCGAAAAAGCTCAACCTGCCCGACTATCACAAGATCATCAAACAGCCGATGGACATGGGTACGATCAAAAAGCGTTTGGAGAACAACTATTACTGGTCAGCGAAGGAGACCATCCATGACTTCAACACGATGTTTAATAACTGCTACGTGTACAATAAGCCCGGCGAGGATGTGGTCGTGATGGCCCAGACGCTGGAGAAGGTGTTCCTGCAGAAGATCGAGACGATGCCCAAGGAGGAGCTCGAACTGGAACCGGCCACGGCCAAAGGTGGCAAGAAGAAAGCACGTGCCCCGGCCATACCCAAGTCAGGATCAGGTGGTGGAGCGGTATCTGGCACGGGTGCGGCTGTCGCGAATAGCAGTAATGGCAGCAGTAGCAGCGGATCCGTCAATAAGGTAGCACCATCGGCCCAACAGTTGCCCAGCATGGGCAGCGGCCTGGCGGCACAGTCAGCGGGTGCCGGAGGTCACGGATCAGCGGCGGGGTCGGGTACAACATCTCGACCCGTATCAGCGATGGGCGGAACGGTTTCATCGACGGCCGGCGGCGGCGGTGCACCGTCCATACCACCGATTAGCACAATGCCTCCGCACACAGTCCCCGGCAGCACCAATACCACGACGACGGCCACGACGATGGCCGACGCCATTATCGCCAGCATTCGTAATACCAGCCAGGCCGCATATCCGGGCGCCACCCAGGCCACCTCCTTACTGGACGGCAGCAGCAGTGCGGCTGCATCGGTAGCGGCAACAACAGCGGCAGCGGCGGCGGCACAAGCAGCGGCGGCAGCAGCAGCAGCGGCGGCGGCCGCATCAGCGTCTGGCGGAGGAGCGGGAGCTCCCGGCACAGTCAGCACGGCGGGTGGTGTGACAATACCATCCGTTAACACCGTCACCACAAATGTGCACTCCTCCTACGTGAACAGTACGGCGGGCGTTGGAGTCGTCGGTGTGGGTGTCGATGCGGTGATACCGCCCCAACAGCCAGCGAAAATGAAGAAGGGCGTCAAACGGAAGGCGGATACAACGACGCCGACGGCCAATGCATTTGAGTCGCCCTACGCCCAAATGGATTCCAAGTCGGCCAAAATAGCGACGCGTAGGGAATCTAATCGTCAGGTAAAGGGCAAAAAGGTAAGGGGTAAATGGGCATTGCCAGATGTTGTGCTCATCATATATTTGTTGCTGCATCCCCACAGTCAATGCTCCCACGCATATGTTTTGAGGTGTTGCCTCTCGCCTACCCTCCTACCTAACACATGCAGAAACCACACAATTTCGCAAACAATAATTCTCCCCCCCGCAACACCAAACACCAACCACAACAATCAGCCAACAGTGGACCCACCATACACGTGTTCAATTTGAGCTCCAAAGCGTGACTCCAGCCATCGCTGTACATAAACATTCCAAGTACATTTTTACGTTCAAGGCGGGCCTCCTCCATAGAGTCACACGATATAGGGAACCCACTAAATTTCCAATTAGAAACTCAAATAATTAATTTGCATGTGGACATAAAACACACAACTTGCTCACTTCATCCTTTATTAATTCCATTATGCCGAAGATGTAAAGCCCCAAGCATCAGTCCCTTCCTCTTCATTGAAAGACTTGTCAGAGGCAGAAATTCGTGAATGGTGATTGGTGAATGGGTGGTGAAGAAATGAGGAACACACAAGTATAGTAAGGTGGACAAAAATACTATGCGATCATGTTACGATTTTAGTACATAATCAATCGAATCGAATCGAATCAATCAACACACAACACGCTGCCTCCTTGCCTCTTACTCTAATTTCATTTTTCACATTTGATGTATATATACAAATATCATTTATATTTACATTTACATTTACATTTATAAGCAAACAACTAAAAAAGAAAAACAATCAAACGAAAGTGCATACAAGCTAAGGTACAGTGCAGCCTGGCAAGAGTAGCTAGATGCGTGAAATAATTAGTGATGGAACTGAAACGATCTCTTGAGCAAATTAAATTCATTTCCATGAGACTGTACTTTGGTATCATGGACTCAGCTGAAGGCATTTATCATCATCATCATCATCATCATACAGTTTGCATGTTGTATAAGTACTTCTTCAAGTTTCAAAGTAGCAAGAGAAGCTAGAGGGTTGACTCGATCGAGGCCGCACTGTACTACCCTCTTGTACGCATTTTCATAGGTAGGGAACACGAAATACGTTTGCTAATCCAATGTTTGTTTTTTCTTCTTGTTTCTTTTCTTTAATTTTGTTCTGATTTCTTTCGTTTATGTTTTGCACTCCACTCGAACAACCAACAAATGCATCATCCATCATCAACATCAACATCCAACGGCCTACTACAACATGATGAACTGAACTGAACCGCACTGAACCACAGGATCTTACATTCCAGGGCTCGGGTTATGCGATGTCGCCATCGATGGGTGTCGTGCCTGGATTGGCGGCGGGTGTTGCCGCCAGTGTTGCGGCGGCCAAGTCAAAGGAGAAGCTGTCGGACGCACTTAAGTCATGCAACGAGATTCTCAAGGAGCTGTTCAGCAAGAAGCACTCGGGCTATGCCTGGCCCTTCTACAAGCCAGTGGATGCCGAAATGCTGGGACTGCACGACTACCACGACATCATCAAGAAGCCGATGGATTTGGGCACCGTAAAGCGGAAAATGGACAATCGGGAGTACAAGAGCGCACCGGAGTTTGCGGCCGATGTGCGATTAATATTCACCAACTGCTACAAATACAATCCGCCAGATCATGATGTCGTGGCCATGGGCCGGAAGCTGCAAGATGTCTTCGAGATGCGCTACGCCAACATACCCGACGAACCGGTCTCGAATGCGGCCCACCATCATGCCCATACGCACGGACATGGGCACGGGCATGGACATGGCCAGAGCCACGGTCACGGACATGGGCATGGGCACGGGGGCTATTCGAGCGCTTCCCTTAAGCACGATGGCAGCGACTCGTCCAGCGAGGACTCCAGCGACACAGAGAACGAGTCGAACTCGGATGAGGAGCGCAGCGCCAAGCTGAAAATGCTCGAGTCCAAGCTGCTCGGTCTCCAGGAGGAGATCCGAAAACTTTCCGAGGAGGCCTCCGCCAAAAAGAAGGCCAAGAAGAAACTCAAAGAGAAAAAGAAGAGCATCGGTGGGGGATCGGGAGCCGGTTCGGGCTCTCATCATGCCCATGGCTCGGCTGGAGGTGGCGCAGGTGCTCCGTCCGCCAGCCATGGTGGCGTCTCAGTGCCGGCCAGCGTCGTGGCCCTATCGGCGGGCGGTGCAGCGGGAGCCAACCTATCTGCCCTACTCAGCGGTTCGCTGGTAGGCGCTAGCGGAGCGGGCGGCGGAGTGCCCAATGTGTCGGCACTTCATTCGCACGCCCACGACATGACCCTTGCCATGAGCCAACTGACGGGCAATGCGGCAGCGATTGGAGCTGGCTTTACGGCCGGCATACCGCCACCGGGACCAGCGCCGGGCGGCAAGGGAGCCAACATGGCCAGCGCCATGGCTGCGGCGGGAGCGGGTCCTGGTGCCTCTGGTGGAACCGGCGGCAGCAGTAAATCGAAGAGCAAGGGCCAGCGTGGTAAGGGAAGCTCGAGCAATGCGGGAGCGGGCGGCGCCTCCTCTGGTGTGACGGTGAACGCGGGCAGCGGCATCGGTGGTGCTGGCGCAGCGTCCAGCGCTGGCAGTGGCGGCGGCAGTGGGGCCACCGGCCCCAGCGGCAATTCCTCAAAGCGTGGCAAGGGCAGCAATAGTGCCGGAGGCGGCGGCAGTGGCAGTGCTGCCAATGCCGCCAATGCCACCAGTGCAACCGGCGCCGGTGCGCGCGGCAACAGCAAGAAGAAGCCCAGCCAGGTGATGAACTTTGACTCCGAGGAGGAGGACACGGCCAAGCCTATGTCGTACGATGAGAAGCGACAGCTCTCACTGGACATCAACAAGTTGCCAGGTAGGAGTCACAATTCTTTATATTCTCGAGCCAACTGCCGAGCCAAAGTAGTCGCATGCGCCCCAGCCCATGCATTAATCATTCAATAACTAACCAATGATCGTGTTTTTCCCCATCGACAGGCGACAAGCTGGGGCGTGTGGTGCACATTATCCAGAATCGGGAGCCATCGCTGCGTGACTCCAATCCCGACGAGATAGAGATCGACTTTGAGACGCTGAAGCCGTCGACGCTGCGCGAGCTTGAAAGCTATGTGGCGTCGTGTTTGCGCAAGAAAACACGTAAGCCATGTTGTAAGTCTGGAACTAAACCGGGACCACAAAAATCTAGAACAAGAGCAAGCACAAGAACAGCAAGGAGAAGAGGATGTATACATATATACATAACGAGTAGATCAATTAGTTCGAGAAGTAGTTCAAAATGTATACTATCGAGTTAAAGCAGATGTAGAATCGTTTTGGTTGTGTTCTGGCTGACAGATTGCAATCAAAATATAGTCAGTAAAAGACTAGTGCCCGTAGAGGATGTAATGCAAAACCAGAATCAGGAAAGAAATAGGTCAAAGAAGTAGAACCGATGGAAAATTTCGGCCTAAAACGAAGAGCCAAATTGGGGACAATTTTTTGCGTTACAAATTATAAAGAGTGCAGGAAAGTGTCTTCGCGAAGCTAGTCTAGTTTGTATGGAAAATATTTTTGTAAGCAGATAATAGCGTAGACAAAATGCTAGGTACAGTCACCACCAGGACGAGCACAGCAGCAGCAGCTTTGGTATTCAATTAATCTATAGGCGATAGACACTGAACAGATAGAATAAGTTGAAAAGCTTTATTGCTGTTATTGCTCTCTCTCTCTCTTACCCTTGCCTTTTAGCACAAATCCAAATTTTTCCAAATTTCCATTTCAAAACGAATTTTTGTGTGAATTTTCAAACATTATTTGAAGAAAGAAACGAGTGGTCATGATTTAGTTAGCCAAACTCTCAAGTAAAAACAAAACCAAAAACTAAAAAAAAGTTTACATTAAGTTTTCATTTAAATGCGCTCCCACCAACCCCCACTCACTTTCTCACTCTATCTCTTCTGTCTGTCTGTCGACTGTCTCTTGTATCCTCTCTCAATTTGTTTCTGATTTTTGTCTGTAGTTACATTCATATATGAGAAAATGCATGAACCTCCTGTCCTCCTATCTGTTTCGTAGCTTGAGAATGCTGTTTTTTTTTGTAATTCTTCTTGTTGTTGTTGTCTCTGAGAAGGATTCGTTATTTCCCCAAGCAACCAAGCATGCACCCAACCAACCAGCCACCCACCCATTTATATCTATATCCCGCTCCTGCCCTTATACCTTAATCTCTCATTGATCGAGAGTGAATTTGTGCTGTACTAATACACTCCTCCTCACTTTGTCCGTCTCCCCCAATCTGTGTAGATAAAAAGCCTTCCGGCAAATCGAAGGATGAGCAAATGGCGGAAAAGAAGCAGGAGCTGGAAAAGCGGCTGCAGGATGTCACCGGCCAACTGGGGGCCAGCAAGAAAAACGCCAAGAAAGGTAAGTCGGGCGACAGACCAATCCAACATCCTGCCTGACATACAGCGGACTCAGGCAGACCAGGGCCCGTACTGACTACCAAATAACCAATTGAATAATCATCATTCATTCACAGATGATTCCACCTCGAACAAAGTGGAGGCTGTGCAGCCAGCGAATCCCGTGTCGTCGAGTTCCAGTTCCAGCGATTCATCGTCCTCGAGTTCGAGTGATAGCAGTTCGAGTGACTCGAGCGACAGTGAAGCAGGTTAGGACGCGTTTTGTTTGTTTGTTTTACCTTATAACGCCTTTTTTTTTGTTAGTTTATATAGACTTATATATACGTATGCATATATATGTATATATATATATATATATATATATATCTGTATGTATATATAGATATAAATATAAATATTAATATATATGTAATGAAAGAAACGTTTTTAGACAGCAGCAGCAGCATGTAACAGAATCGAACAGATCGACGATCGACAGTAAGACCGACAACTTACGGAATAAACAAAAAGCGTGAGTGCGGTGGATGAAGATGAAGATGGAGGAAGAAGAAGAAGAAGAAGATGATGATGGTATAGCAAGAGCAAGTAAATAGCAGAGGAGAGGAGAGAGTTTGTGCACAATGTGTTGAATTATTTGGGACAAAGGAAAGAGACAAACAGATAAACCGAAAACACTCTGAAAGAAACCATCCTAAACCTTATTTTAGAAAGGCTATTAAAAAGGGAGTGCGCATCGCATTGAATAATTGTAAAAAGAATAAAAAAAACATACTCATAAACTTGTGTGTGTAATTTGAATGTGAGATTGAAAATATTGTGAAAAGATATGGGGGAATTAATGTAGGCGGTAGGCGGGAGAAGTTTTGCAAATTGTAGTAATATTTTGGGCTTAATTAACTGAATTTGGATATATAGATTTATCTAGATATATATATAAATCCATAACTATAAATGTGTATATCTTGTAGTAGCACACACACGCATAATATAAATAGTCGTTTTTAGTTTATAATTTTATACGGATAGGTCAAACGGGAGAACAAGAGAGATGGAGAGCGAGAGAGTGTGTGTTGCTGTTTAATGCTTTGCTTAGTTCTTCTTCCTCTACGTCTTCGTTCATCGTTATCATCGTTCCTGGGCGGGTGTCTGGAAGATGGGTTGCTGCACAATTAATGGGTGTTAAATGGAGAGAGTCCGACTGACTGAGCATTAAGCTCCTCTACACACACACACACACACACACACAATCTCAACTCAATTTATTGAATTTAGCGCATTTTGTTAATGTTTTGGTGTGCTAAAAAAACAAAGAAAAAATAATAGAGGGTGAACAAAACAATCCAACTGGCAAGTCTCCTACGTGCAATAGGCAGGGTCCCTTATACACCCCCTCCCCACCCGTTTACTAACCGTTAACAAAAAAAAGCAGACTGGCAATACGCATCAGAGCTATTTATTATAATATTCCTTTGTTGGTTTCGGAATTGTTTATTTATAAATAAATTAAACAATTAAATTAATAAAATAGATTTTTTTATTGTTGTTAGAAATGACCCAGAACCAAGTTCACGCGAAAAAGTGCAATACGCATTCAATTCTAAGGAAACAAAAGGAACAAAATTCACAGATGAAGCAAAATATTTCTTCTTTCTTATTTTTTTTGTCTTAATAAAACCAACAAAATACTTTTATAAGTTGTGGTAGATAATTAGTTAATTGTTCTTCAGGCGATCCACCACTACATAAATACATACACTCTGATGCTGACTTATGCAGAATTGTTAAACAAATTTGCTGTTTTTTTTTGTTTTTTTTGTTTTTTTTTTCTTCTCGAAATATATTGTACAGTTATGCATTTTGGTACAAGTCTGTCAAAGGGGGGGAGTGGGGGGATGTCCCACCTAATGTAAAAAAGCACCGTGTGCTAAAAACCCCTCTTCCGGCAGGCCCCTGACAGTCGCAAGAAAACCCAACCAAAAAAAAATAATGAACTGAGACAGAGAAATACAAACAGACATACGAGCCAAAATGGTAGTGACAGAGACTAAGAACCACTGCAAACCTTTCTATTACAGATATATACATACATATATACCGATATATATATATATTTATATGTATAAATACTAATTCTAGGTCTAGTTTAGCGTATATACTTCATTATATATACAAATCCATACACAAACTGATAAATACATATATATAAATATATATATATATGTATATATATAGATAAATATATATAAAAAAATATATATGCAAATAGATATTATATTTAAGCATTTCATAGGTATTAAACGAATTGTATTTTTAAATGAAGACAAAAATCAGAACACAACAGAAAACACACAAGAATAATGTGAATATACATACATACATATATCGTTTATGCATATGTCTGTGTATATATATATCTACTTATATATATATATATATGCACTCGTATTGAATAAAACTAAAAGAAAAATAATAACTAAAATCTTACACACACACACAACTATCTGAAAAATAAAAACAGAACAGAAATCGCTTACAAAAAGCTATTTACTTTAAGTCTTTTTTGAAAAAAAAAAACAAAAAAACAAAACAAAAGAAAAACAAACAAGTAAACCTTATTATTACCAATATTATGATTATGATTATTATTATTATTATTATTATTATGAGAATATGCTGAAAAAAATCGTGAAGCAATTGTGTATTGGGGGCAGCCAATTTCAAAAAGAAAGAAATGATTCCAACTCCAACCAACCAAACAAACAACAAACCAACCAACCAACCAACCTATCAATCAATCAGTCAATCAAACAAATCAGAACCAACCAATCAATCAGTCGATTTAACAACAACTTTTCATCAAGTCTTATAAAGCCAAAAGAGCAGCCCTACATGGACAGCAAACATCAACGAATAAAATCGGGCTATAAACGAATCATTCACATAAAGACACAACACCAACACCACCATCACCACCATCGCCATCGCCATCACCATCACCATCTCCATCAAATTAAATTTGTTATACTGTCACTATAAAGTCTAAAGTCCCTGGTTATTCTGATGGTTAGCCCATCAGCCACTGTCCTCTACGCATTTGTTCGTGAGAGCCGTAAAGATCGATTTGTTAAATAGAGATCTGATCTGATTAAGAGATATGATCTAAGAGAAGCAACAGACAAGACATCTATCTACAAAAAAAATCGAAGAGCAGTAGATATTTTCAATTCCATAAGGTTTCATGGTCATGTTAATGTCATACAGTGCACAAATTACAATAGAAATATAACTTAACTCATCTGACAAGTATTTTATCTTACTACTACTCTCGATCTGGCTCAAAAGTGATATCTTACTGCATTCTGTTTGAACTATTCGCTCTATTTATGCCCGTTCCACTTCTTCACCACGACTGTGCTCACAGTTTGGACAATGGGCTCTCTCTCTCTCTCTCTCTCTCTCTCTCTCATTGTCGCCGGTTTCTGTAGAAGCAGGTGGGAGGAGAGGGAGTGTGAGGCCGGGCGAAGCTCTTGCTTATTCCGCTCGCTCTTTTATCTCGAGTTCCATTCCATCTCGTGTTAACATCCGTTTATCCATTCATCCATACAGCCGCACACATAATGAAACATATGTACATACATGCCATACATTACATAGACCATACACCACATTGCCATAGTGTAATGTGATTTGATCCCTGGTCCAGGGTGTCCTTCCACAGTCGAGTCTGATGATTATTTCATTTGTATGGCTTCATGTTTGGGTGTAGGCTCTTGGGATCGGATCCGTGGTCTCGCACTTCCGTTAGAATATATGCTCGTAGAATCCATTGAAAAAATACCACATGAACAACTGGATCCAAAGCAACAACGGCAGGAAGCAGCAGGAAACACACACGCACACAATCACAAATGATGTGTTAAATATAATAATATTGAATCAGAATTATAACCCCCCTCTAATAATACCAAATGTTGAACAATTACCAATATAGTATGTTTAAAATAATGCAGAAAAACAAACAAAACAAAAAAACAAGCAAAAAAAAACTAAAAGCAAATGCAAATGCAAATTCAAAAAGCCAATATGCAACAAAAATATATTTGAAATTCTCTATACACTTGCAGACAATGTGTAAAAACATAGAAGGTATGAAAAGCTTCGAAGCGAAAAGAGAACAAGAAAAAAAAAACAAAAAAAAACCAATAAAACTAAAAAAAAACCACAAGAAGCCTAAAAAAAAAATAACTGGACAAACGTAACTGTACAAATATATCGGGACATCGAGAGAGATAGAGCGTGAGCTGTTAATGACACAGAGAGAGAGGGAGAGAGAGTGGGAGTGGGAGTGGGAGCGGGCTGGGCGAGGTCCAGAAAGTGGGACATATTTCATTAGATAACTTGACAAGAAGACTCAAGACTCCATTCAGCGAGCTGCGAAATATGATATAACCACGTGAACTCGACTAATTGTATACCCTTTAGTATGGTGAAATATCAATATTATTTATTTGTTTTATTGTTTTTTGTATCGTGAAAATAAAGTAGGAAAACACAAGTAGCACAATTCGCGATGAAACCTTCGCACTTCGCAATCGAGGTTAACGTTAACGTGAACTCTATGTAATTTTTGTTGTTGTTCTATTTTATACTATATGTGTACATAAAGATGTAAAATACATGAGAGCAAAACACTGTCTGTTCCGTGTGCCGTGTTACGTTTGTTTGAGGCGCTGTTATTTTCACTCCCTTCCTACCACCAACCCACTGTACCTTGTATGTTATGTATGAGTATTTATTACAAAATATGAAGAAACGGTTCTTCCCATAGACAAGGCTTCCATGCCGCTCTCAAAATTAGGAACAATCGATTCGATTCAAGAAGGCAGCTTTAAAATAAACAAAGATAACCGATAAAATGAGAACTAAAAGAACAAAACGAATAAAATATACCCTACTTACTCTTCGAGTACCGGGTATAAAAAGATTATGTAGAAAACTCCGCGTGTCCAGGGCAGGCCCAGTGTCGATCAGTGTCAGTGTCGGGCTCCCATTTCTGTCACTATCTTCTCTCGGCTCTCTCTTTCACTCTGTCACTGCCTTTTGTGTCTGTAGTAGTGGTTAATATCAGGGGATAAGGCAAGGGACTAAGCGGATACGGAAACGAAACTGAACAGAAACAAGAAAATATGAGTATTTTGCTCTATAGCTAAACTCCAACTAGATGTAGTGATTGTACATAGATATATGCAATACTGCTATGTAGGATAATACTGGTCAGGAGGTATCAAAAACAAAACAAAAAGAAAAACTAAAAAGAAATTACAAAGAAAACAGTAAACCAACAAATGTTTTCCGAAAGCATTTGATTTTATCTTTTTCGGCTGTCGGCTTTCCCCTTTACACATTGTTTGCACGTTTTTTTCAAAAAAAGAAAAAAAAAAAGAAAAAAAAATGGAAAAATAATAAATAAAAATATATATATATACACAAAAGAAATGCATATAGAAGAGGAGAAGGATTGAATGGATGATGATTATGAGAATGCAATGGAAATAAAGAAAACATTTTATAAAAAAAAAAGACAATTGCATAAAAGAATCAATTTAAATATATAAATTTTTACTATTTTAAATAAATCAAATGAAAACGAATGATGGAAGACAAACAGCAACAAACAAACAACAGAAACAATAATAATAACTAACAACAAAATCACAATGAAAGCCAGACATAAATAAAGGGCAGACCATAGTGAGAGAGATAGGATAAAATCAGAAGGACAGAAGGACACTACCAAAAAAGGCAGCAAGAGAGCAGTAGTTTTGACGATCGTCTAAACGATTTGTCGTTTCCACCGATATTTATTTCATCAATGCACATCTCACTGCCAGAAATACGATAAAAGTTTGTTTTGTTTTCAATGAGAGAGTTACTTCCAACTGGCCTTACCATGCAAATGGTGTGAATAGGAGCACAACATGTCAACATTTAAAAAGCAGTCGACAGTCGAAAAGTAGCAAACACGTTGTACATTTCCATACTTTTGTCAATGTTTTTACATTTAATCATTGAGATTTTGATACTTTGGAGACTACTCTTAACGATTACTTGAAGATTACATTTGGGATAGATTTTGTTTCTAACTCGTGAGGTAGAATGGAAGCGTGAGAAACAAAAAGAAAACCAATTATGGAAAACTAACGGAAGTTTCATCGTTTAAAAGATAATGGCAGGAAGATGGGAAGACGAAAGTAAAATCAAACATAATATAAAATAATATAAATAGCAACAAATCTTAGGGAAAGGAAGAGGGTTAGAGAATCGGCTCTTCGATTCTTCAGACACAAGACGGAACACAAAAACTAACAAGCGGAAGGAACTTGAAGTAAGACAACGTAACGAAGACCACACACATATTTAGCATTATAAAAAGCACACACATGCATACACTTAAATATTTATAGTAAAAAATAATAATATTTATTATTAACAAATGGCAGCGCCAAAAACCAACAAAATCAACAACTAAACTAAAACTTAACAAAAAGCAATGAATACAACAACAAACAACACCAACAACAACAACAAAACTGAGAAAAGAAAATGTTTATTAAAAAAAAAGAAAGAAAAAAATAACAAACGTGTGTTCTTCCTCATTCCAAAAACATTTGGCATTCTGCTTGTGGTTTTTTTTTGGTTTTAATATACAATTAAATTATACTATATAGATATTGAACAACAACAACAACAACAACAACAACGATAACGAGTTCGTACATTACCGCATAAAAAACAGATTGAAATAACGGTACAGTAGTCAGCTACCACATGGCAGCTGGTTGGTACAGTGCAAACCCACACTCTCTCACACAAACACATACACACACACATACGCCTAGAAAGAAGATGGTTGGTTTGTTGTGATCGAACGGCTGCCCCCTCCAACCCCCTCGCCGGCTGCAGTGGTGTGTTGGAGCGTGTGGTGTGGATGGTCTTTGTGGGGGTCTTTATTTCCGTTTTGCCCCCGATTGCAGTTCTTCTCATTTACAGTTTAGATAAAAGTGAGAGGGAGAGAGAGTGCGAGAGACAGGGCAGGGAGAGAAGATTGGGAGTAGGATAAACAGAGCTATAGTAAGAGAGGGAGGGCGCGTGCGTGTGCGCTTTCTCCGTATGAGTGAGGAAAGCGCGCATACATCCCAAACCCATCCAATACGCCCCAGTCTCCACTCCCGGCACCACCAACAACACAATTGTTTCATCGATCGATCGGCATTGTAAGAGGTATTTTTAATACACATACTACTATCACTACCACTATTATTATTATTTATATTATATACAAAACCTATGTACCACATATGAATATTATGTTCTCTTTTGTACACGCACATTTAATTAACATGTTTATGCCCCCAACCACCACCCTACCCAATGTAAATCAATTGCTTATCTTTCCACTCAAGTATCACCCATTTTTTTTTCTTGTTTTGCTTTTGTTTAAGCGACGCCCAGCATTAGCTGCAGCCTCGTTTAAGCACAGTGCCAATCAACCCAACCCAACCCAACCCAACCCAACCACTGCTGGTTTTTGTGTGTCTTTCTTTGCTTGTAATTTCTCCGTCTCCCGCCTTGTTCTGCTCTGCCTGGCAACGTGGTCTGTCCGTTACTTAATCTCTCACTCTCTAATTTATCTCCCCACTACAGGTGATGGCGACGAGCGACCTCCGCGCAAAAAGAAGCCACGCGACTCAAATGGCAGCAATGTAAGTAGCAGGAAGCCATAAAGTATATAAACCGCAACCCATAAAGTATATAAATAATAGGTATAAATATATCGTGAATTGATCTATCGATGTCCTGTCCGTCTGTCGCTGCATTTGTTATGTCCACGGTGCATTTCAATCGAATACCAAAGTGTTGCATGTAAAACACAAACTTACTTGTCTCCCATCTTGTCTTCCCCGCTCTCGTTTCCTGCTCGCCGTTCGTTACCTTCTTGTGTCGCTCCACCGGAACACACAGGTAAATAATCCCAGCCTCAACGTTGTTCTGGGAGGAGCCCTGCCGAGTGGCGGCTTGACGCCGACGCTCCTTCACATGGGCCTGGACCACGTGCTGAACCAAAACTCACCCTCGTCACAAATGGGTAATTATCCAATGACCTATCCGATCCGATTGTGTGTGCCCAACTAACCTTTGTGTGTGTTCTACCCTCCTGCTCCTGCTCCATTCCATTCCATTCGCAGCCAATCTGTTGGGCAATCCGAATCCCATGACGGCGGCTGCCATGCTGAACAATAACAACAAGACGACGTTGCAGGTCGGCGGCAGCTTCGGCGGCGCCACCGCGGGCGGCAACAACAGCATGCTGCACGGCTCGGTTGGTGCAACGGCGCACCACAAGAACGGACAAAACGATCACCTAATGACTGGCAAAGTGCCGCCTGGCGGTGGAGCTGCCGGAGCCGCTTCCCTGCCTCCCCACAGCTATGCCGGCAGTGTGCCTACCCAGGCCGCAAGTCTGGGCGGAGGGGGCGGCATACGAATAGCCAGCAATCTGCACAAGCAACCCAATCTGCCCGGTGGCGATCTGGTCGAGAATCACGCGGCGCTGACCGCTGCCTTGACGTCGACCGTCAACAGCAACAGCGGCGTCGGCAGTGGAGCTGGAGGGGGCGCCGGCCTGAGTAACACCAGCAGTGGCACCGCCTCGGGCCACACACATAACACCAACCCAATGGGTGGCCAGGGTGATGGCTTGACGGGCGCCTCGCTGGCATCGGGCCTCAAGCAAATTCCGCAGTTCGACGATCCCGTCGAGCAGTCGCTGGCCTCCCTGGAGTTCAGTGCGGCGGCGGCCTCCACGGGCAAATCGGGCCTAACCGATAACTTTTTGATGGCCCAGCAGGGACACCTGATGCAGCAGCCTGGTCAGCAGCCGCAGCCGCCCTTTGGACACCACCAGCAGCAGCAGCAACATCAGCAGCAACAGCAGCAACAGCAGCAACAGCAGCAGCAGCACCAGATGGACTACATGACGGAACTGTTGACAAAGGGAACTGAGAATGTGCCCGGTATGAACGGAAACCTTTTGAACTTTAACCTCGATATGGCGGCTGCGGCAGCCTATCAACAGAAGCAACACCACGGCCAGCACTCCCAGCAGCAGCAACAGCAGCAACAACAACAGCAGCAGCAGCAGCAACAACAGCAGCAGCAACAACAGCAGCAGCAGCAGCAGGCGCACAACAATGGCTTCAGTGTGGCAGACTTTGGCATGCCAGGATTCGATAATCTGACGGCAACAGCATTCCTTGACCTTGAGCACCTGCAGCAGCAGCACATGCAAATTCAACAGCAGCAACAACAACAACAGCAACAGCAACAACAACAACAACACCAACAACAGCAGCAGCAGCTCCACCATCCACAGCAGTCCCTGCAGCAGCTCCATGCCCACCAGCAGCAGCAGCTGCAGCTGGCCAACAAAATGCTCCTCATACCGAAACCGATCGAGTCGATGATGCCCAGTCCGCCAGACAAGCTGAAGGCAATGCTGAAGGTATCCCAATCGCCCTCCGACCTGAAGATGCACTCAAGCCAGGCGGCGGCAGCCCAGAGTATGCTGGCGCAGTCCTTCAAGGCGGCCGAGCAGAACCTGAAGAACGCCAGCTCGTGGTCTTCGCTGGCATCGGCCAGCTCACCGCAGAACACTTCGAGCAGCTCGAGCAGCAGCAAGCCGAAGCCGGCGATGGACTCATTCCAGCAATTCCGCAATAAAGCCAAAGAACGTGACCGCCTCAAGCTGTTGGAGGCGGCCGAGAAGGAGAAGAAGCACCAAAAGGAGGCTGCCGAGAAGGAGCAGCAGCGCAAGCATCACAAGTCATCCTCGTCTTCATCCGCCTCACAGGCGGCTCAGGCTGCCGCTGCCGCTGCAGCAGCCGCCGCAGCAGCAGCTGCCGCAGCGGCAGCGGCAGCCTCCTCAGCAAACATCTCCACCGGAAATGCGCCTCAGTCTGGGGCAGGACAGATCAGCAGTGATAGGGAGAGGTCAAGCAGTGCTGTGGATGCCACCCGAATGGGCAGCGGTGGTGGTGGTGGTGGAGGCAACGGCGGCCTACTCCTGCCCGGCAATGGCAACAACAGCAGCAACTCGGCCAACAGCAACGGACCCGGCAGTGCGGGCAGCGGCAGTGGGGGCCCCGTCAGTGCTGGTGGTGGTGGTGTTGGTGGTGGCCCGGCAAGTGGCGGCGGACCGAACAGTGGCGGCTGCATCATCGGACCACTGGCAAACACAGGCAGTAACAGCAACAGCGGCGTTGGCAGCGGTGCCACAAGCAGCAACAGCAATAGCAGCGTGGGCGGTGTGGTCGGCAGCGGAGGGCCCGGCTCCAACAGCCAAGGCAGTAGCGGTGGGGGCGGGACCATGGGCAGCGGACTCCTTGAATATGGCCCACAGGCGGTGGTGCTCACTCAGGCGGTGGCGAATGCCCAGGCCCATCACGTATCGACAACAATGGCAGCACAGACCGTTCTGGCTTCCTCGCCCCTCGAGGCCATGGAGAGTGGGAGGTAAGTGTTTATTGATGTTCCTCATTCCATGACGCTAAATGTAATCCACTTGTGACTTACCATAGGAAAAGCGTGCATGACACCCAGTCCCAGATATCTCGTGTTGAAGACATTAAGGCGTCGCCGGGCCAGGGCCAGGGTCAGAGCTCACCGGCACAGCAATCGCCGCAAGATCGAGCAGCTGCCAAGCGTGCGGAGCAGCGAAGAGCGGAGCAGGAGAGACGCAGACGCGAAGCGGTAAGTGGCATACCCCTCGTCTGGACCTCTGCTGGATTCAAATTTTGTTTTTTTCCTTTATTTATTCGACGCAGTTGGCTGGCCAAATCGACATGAACATGCAGAGTGATCTTATGGCAGCGTTTGAGGAGACGTTGTAGGACAAGGCCTTTGGAGGACAGCAACGGACATATACGCATCCCAGAACCAGCATCCTCATTGCTGCTCCGAGAATGCCGTCGTCGCTTTCAAAACGTCGGGCGGCGAGAACGTCAAAGCATCTGCCACAACAGACAACGATGGAGAGTAGCACCAGCAACAGCAACAGCAACAGCAACAGCAACAGCAATAGAGACCATAAGAAACATGCCAGCAGCAGCAGCAGCCACGAACCAAAACACAGTAGCAGCAGCGTTGGCAGTAACCCCGACCACAAACAACGCAGCAACAGCAGCAACACCGACCACAAACGCAGTCATCACAAACGTAGCAGCAGAAACAATGAGGAGAAACGCAGCACCTCCAGTCTGGAACACAAGCCCACGCATCACGACAACAAACGCAGCAGCGGCGCCGGAACCAACAACAATAACAACAACAACAACACAGACCATAAACGCAGCAGTAGCGGCTCCAGCCACGACCAAAGTAAGCACAGCAGCAGCGTTAGCAGCAGTCAGCCCGAGCCTAAACCCAGCAGCAGCAGCCGCAGCCGCAGCGGCGGCAGTCACCACAAGCAGCAGCGCAGCAGCAGTAGCAAAGACGGCAGTCATCACGATCACAAGCACAGCAGCAGCGGCAGCAGCAGTCGCCATAACAACAAGCCGCGAAACAGCAGCAGCAACAGCACCAGCGGCAACAGTCACCACAAGCAGCAGCGCAGCAGCAGCAGAAAGACCGACGACGGCAATTTAAAGAAGCAGCAAAACAAGAAAGCAACATAAAAACAATTAAGCAATGTTTTAAGGCGTACTCTTCATACGTACATTTAGTAAGTATCTTCTATAGGGGCATATACATATACAAAGGATCGCTGCCCGATCCTGCATCTACAGCGACAGCAAGCAGCAGCAAAAAGAACAACAGCAAAAACAAAAACAACAACAACAACAACAAGAAAAAACACGCAACATCTGAAGCGGAAGCAGCATCTGCAACATCAGCAGTAGCAACACGCTGCAGCAACATGCAGTAGATTCGAAAAGGCAACAATTTCCTTTGGTTCATAAAATTGTTTATGGGATTCTTCAATTGAATCGGCGATTATATATATATATAAATAAATATAAATTTATTTGTAAAATGTTCACTTGCGATTGTGGTTTGGTATTACGATTATATGATATAATGATACAACTAATTTAAGCGATGATGATGATGATGAGACAATGATGATGATGATCGATATCCGACTACCTTAATGAACACGATTCAAATCTTATTATTATGTTAAATATTGTATTGATTTCTTAGGGAAGTCTAGCCAGTAGTTCTTTATACATTACACTTTTTCTTTTTTTTTTTTTACTCGTCTTAAGTATCCACACACACACACAAAAAACATATGCTTAGAGTTGTTAACTAATTTAAAAGAAACGAAATCAATCAATTCACATGTATCTATATTTATCCAAGCGGTCGGAAGGGTGTGTGGGGGGGGAGTTTGGGGGATCGCAATACAGAGTCCGATTAAATTTGAATACCTTAATTAACAGTAACAACAGCGCCACCCCAGCACTCACTTATCTGGTCTTGATGGTCCATTCTTACACTTGTAATTAACACACAAACTGGAAAACACAAAACACGACTCTCACACACGTGCACTATAACCCCATATGCTCTGTGGCTCTATTTTGTAGTAGTTACATTTCGTTAATGTATAGGACAGGTCAGAAGAGAATGAATCCCTCTCAGCAATCACCTCAAGCAGAAATGCCCACAACCCAGAAGCAACCCCCCTTCTAGAAATTATGAAATTGTAAGAAATGTAGCTCTTAAGTAGACAACGAAGATTTTCTATTGTGACGCGATTGTGAAAACCATTAACAGAAACTGAAAAAAGAACTAGCAACAAAGCAACAACAATGCTTTTTTGCAAAATAAAACATACAGAAATACACTCACACACACAGACAAACACTGACAAGCACATATACATTTACAGATACTATATATATATTTGATTTGGTATTTCATAATGTAAGAAGTTTATACAAAAGCAGGATGATCCCTCAAAAGAAATTGCAGTGACAATTATGTATGTATGTATGTATGTATTTATGTATGTATGTATGTATGTATGTATGTATGTATGTATGTATGTATATCGATATATGTATGTATGTATAACTCGGTTTAATCCCTGCTGTCTTCCATAGCACTTCAACTAGCGCTGGCAAGTACAGATTCAGATTCAGATCCAGTCTCCCGTTTTTGCCTTTGTCTCCGTCTCCATCTCCGTTTCCGTCGTTGTCTCTCTAGAACAATAAGCTAGAAATGTTTGTAGCCAACCCCTCCCCCTCGTTTGTGGTCCTATGTGTGTTGTACCTGTATGTATATGTATATATAGTGTACCATGTAGATCTGAAATGGATGTCTTGGGCTCCCAATGCCAGTCAGAGCTCTCCCCCCACTCCTGTGAAGCAGGTTTGTGGCGAGTGTCCAGGCAGGAGAGAGCCAGACCATATATGGTATATAAGTACATCTGTCTGTACGTATGTATGTATGTAGTAATATTACCAACTAAGCTGATGACTTTATACTAGTATATCTTATCTTTATTCTAATTGTAATTCTAATTGTAATTGTAATTGTATTTATATTTATATTTGAGTACGTTACATACACATACATATATTTAGCGAAAATTCAAATTGTAAACCTAGTAATAGTGCCTAGTGAATAGTACTAGGGTTTACCAAGGGTGTCTGGGTGGGGTGGGTGGGGTCTGTGCTTGAGAATGGGTTGACTTCTCTCGCTCTCTCCTGCGTGCGTGTGCAGTGTGCAGTTTGTGTGTTTGTGTGTGTCCCTCCTGTACGTGTGTATGTTCTGCTATGTATATATATATATTTATATGTATTAAGTAGTTGTGTGTGTAACTAATACCAATATCTACGTATGGGTATGTGTATCCCCCCGGCATCACATCCTTCCTTATGTTGTTAAACCTCCCCCCACCCCCACTCCGCAACGTCATTTGATTATGTAAATTCGTTTTGAAAAATCTTCTACAAGTACGAGTATGTATGTACATAAGTATGTATTATGGAGACTTCGGATAAACCATACATATGCAAAAAGAGAAATATTTTTTTTCTATACTTAATTTTAGCATTTAATTAAAAAAAAAACAAAAATCACATAAAAAAGAACACGAGAATAAACAATTGATAAATTGTCATCTGTATAAAAAGAAAAATTGAGAGCAAAAAAATATAAACCGAAAATGAAGAACAAATTAAAAAAAAAAAATGTTTTTAATTCAATAGTAAATTTCTTCTTCCTCATAGGGTAGGTGCTCACGCCTCACGATAACCAGTAGCAACTAGTAAAATCAGCTAACAGCGTGAGGGGACACTCCTGCACCTCCATTCGGCTCCTGCCCACTGCCCGCTGCAAATTTCAACGACAGAGAAAGATTAAGATTCTTCCAGCCATCAGTCCGATCGAACAATCTAAATCAGAGCTCAGCACGGCCCTGAACTTTTTCGAAAACAATGATTTTTGATGCTGTTTTGTGTCAAGAACGACTCGCTAGAAATATCAAAAACGTCTCACACAAGATATCAAACGAGAAGGGACGTGTGAGACGCTTCTTACGCGTCACAACTTTTATACCCGGCACTCAGTACTACATCTGCACCTTAGCGGTGTTTTGTCAACTTTTAAATTTTTTTTTTTTTATTTGGTGGCTCTAGCTCTTATAGACTCTGAGAACTAGCCGACAAACGCGACGGACAGACGGACGGACGGACAGACGGACAGACGGGCAGATAGACAGACAGATATGGCTCTATCGACTCGGCTATTGATGCTGATCAAGAATATATATACTTTATGGGGTCGGAAACGTTTCCTTCTGTGCGTTACACACAGCCGTTATTCCCCACAAATACAATATACCCTATTTACTGTGGGGGTATGGGTGCCGAGCCCTTATCTAAATAGTCTGTTGGCAAAGCCTATGGTCAAATGTATATATTTTTCGTATTCCAACAGATTTCCAATCTAGAATCTAGATTATAAAATTAGCAAAAGACACAGCGGCCTGAATTAATGTTCTCATTGCCAGAGACTAGCCATATTGTACTTTCAAATTTAACAGCCTGGCAGTGCCCTTTATCTGAACCACTAACCAAATATACAGCAGTATATAGTAGACTCTCAATTTAAGCCAAGCGAAACGTCACCGCTCAATGTGCGTCTCGAAGTCCCAGGCCTCTGCCAACGTCGCAGCTACAAGTATTAGTGCGTGTAGAACACGCAGCTAGATGTCCCAGCTACATGTGTATTAGTGCGTGAAGCCAATGATTTTTTAGCGCTCCAAACCGATTTTGTCTTGATTCACACGGACACTACAAGTAATGTATGTGTTGGTGTGCTGACTTTCTGAATTGCGATGGAACGAAAATTCGTTTTGATGTTTTGATTTTGTTTTCGGGGCTTGGTGTATGAACCTGACCTGCCGCAACATGTGCAGAATGGGGGGTGGGGGTTGGTGGCCGGACCCTTGGGGCACTAACCAAATAATATAGTAGACTATCAGCTGCCTATAAGCGAAACTTCACCGCAGAATATGCGTCGGGAAGTCCCAGGCCTCTGCCAGCGTCGCAGCTACAAGTATTAGTGCGTGTAGAACACGCAGCTAGCAGTCCCAGCTACATTTGTATTAGTGCGTGTAGAGCACGCAGCCAGAAGTCCCAGCTACATCTGTGTAAGTGCGTGTAGCCAATGAATTTTTAGCGCTCCAAACCGGTTCTGGCTTGATTCACACGGACACTGCAAGTAATGTATGTGTTGGTGCGCTGACTTTCTGAAGTGCGATGGAACGAAAATTCGTTTTGATGATTTGATTTTGTTTTCGGGGCTTGGCGTATGAAACTGACCTACCGCAACATGTGCAGAATGAGGGGGGGGGGGGGGGGGGGGGGGGGGGGGGGATTGGTGGCCGGACCTTTGAGGGTTGGAAAAAATAAATATACCAATAAAAGTTGTTATTGTATTTGAATGCTGTAATTGTTTTGAATGCAGATTTTATACTGCTTTATTCAAAATTGTATGCATATTATGGAAACGCCGTCGCTTCTCGACTTCGTTGCTGCCGTATTATCAACATTGTTACCAAATCCATCTTTTACAGACAAATCTTTTCAGATAAATATAAAAACATATATATGTATACAAGCATATATGTAAACACATA